TGTTAAATATCATTATTTTCATTTGATATTACTATGCCGCTTTTTTATTTCTCTAGACTTTTCTTGCGCTTCCTACGTTGTGTCTTCTTTCCTCTATCCAAAGGTTGTCTCGAAGCTTATGTGATAAGACCGCCTTTTGTATCTTAATACTCTAATTTATAGTCTTTGTTATTTACTTCTGATGCAACAAAGAGTGAATATATAAAAAAATATCAGATATTAATGTGTACATTGTAGGCTATATACAAAGTAATATGTCTGAGAATCTTTATCTCGTCTATTTCAGACGCCAAGCACCTTGCTTTGGAAGATGTGTTTGAAATAAAGAGTGAGATAAGGCAGTAAAATTACAGGGTATGGAACCATCATCTGAGTTCATCAGAAATCAAACTCATAAGAAGCACCATAGATATTATATGATAATGTTATGTATATCGTGCATTCATATATATGACTAACGATATAAAAAAAATACGCATCGGTGATGTCAGATAATGTTAGAAAAGTAGATCAAGTACCTTAAGTACTAAACCTTCATGAATTAGTAATAGCAATGAATTGGCAGAGAGATAACGAGATTTAATAAATTATTCTAATAAAATTAATCATTCATGACCGGCAATGGCAAGTAAAGTTCACATAAACACCAACTATTTCAAATTCACATAAAACACTATACATAATATACTACACTGTTAAACATATAGAAACAAAAATTGTTTTACGAAGGCACAAATCAATACAAAATGTTTAGATGAAATAACTATATACTATGATTTTAATTATATACCACCTTCATGAGATACAAGTTCTTGCTAGTTTCATGTGTTAATTAATAACTCTGTTCTAGCACTCTACCTATATCTCGAGGCGTTGCCAGCGCTATCTGTGTAGCGTATCTAATTCCTATCCGTATACTTTTTGCGTCAAAAAGTTCCAAATGTCCATGCATCTTAATAAAATTGCACGTCCATAATATTAGTAAGTATATGCTTGAAACCATATCAGGCTACGAAATTTTTGCAGTTAGTAAAACGCTATTGTCATTACTATAATGATGACGTTTTGCAGGTATTTCTTTTAATTGGTTACACATAATATATATAGTAGTATTACTTTGATTTTTAATTAACTAATTAGATGCCTAACCAATTCCATTAAAACAACTGGCAAAAGCAAACCATAAACAGGCTGTAATTTAACTTCATTATTTTCCACAGTGCACAGTGCATTACCGACATAAAAATGAGAGTTAACGAAGTGGCAAATGTTTGAAAGCTTTCAGTTTCTGCAGGTGACATCTTGGAGACGGGAAATGGTTAGCGACACGCTAGCTCGGGATAAACTCTAACGAGCGATCCAAATGACTAGATACCACTATATAGGTATGTGTAATTGCACATTATATGAACATGATTTTTTGTAATGTAAAACAGTAGATGGCCCACCTGATGGGCTAGATACGCCAATTGCGGACATTGCATTATCATGTAAGGTCCGTGATTTCAATCATGCGTTGCCATTCTGGAGGACTAAGATATCATGCCTCTTCAATCGAAACACAGTTTCAACGCAAGCTTTGGATATAAGACTCTAACTTAGCTTAGGTATATTTGTCAATCGTCCTCTACCTCCTTTATGATTTCAGACTGAAGAAAAATATATGTACGATATTATGAATTTAATGTTTATAACGATTCTTAATATTTTTAACCTATACCTATCTAATAGATATATACAGCTAGTAGATATATAAGTAAAGATAGAAAATAAGGATATAATAAGCACTAGTATAATAAATAGCGTTAGAAAATAAAAATGTATAAGAAAAGATGTAAAAAGTGGAAATAGTTTAAAGTAGAACCAATGTATAAGTATAACTCCTTAAATTATATTCCTAAGTAGTCCGTAAGAAGTAAGAAATGTGTCCAATAAATCCTGGAAATTAAAATCCGGGCCAAAATTAAATAAAAAAAAACCTTTTAGATTTATTGACAAACTAGTTAAAAGTGTCATGTGTCATGTATATATATACATTGCTAATACGGCAGTAGAGCAATAGATAGAGCAAGTATGTCCTGATCATGTATTTAGACGAAGGTTACCGATTAAAATCTGATGGTCTGTAAGGTTATTTGTCATTCCAATACATCAAAATTCTTAGTTGAATAGTGTTAAATATCGAGGGACATGATAATTTCTGTAGAACACTACAATATACTTGTTTTTAACTCCACGTACAAGGGTAATTTACCAAACAGTGGCACTTGGAACAAAGCTCATGCTATATTGTATGAGAAAAATGTGTAACTCACAAAACTTGTTTCATTTTATGCATGGTCGTAGAACAATGGAGGTACCTGTGTCATACATAAAAATGTAGTACAAATAAAAAAGTTATATCCTTAGTATGAGCACGTCAAACTATGGTTAATGGCATGTCTCAAACATGTTGATATATAATATAAACGTTGGTGAATTTAATGAGATGTCTTCTCAATATTTCATCTTCCAAAAATCAAGAAATTCATCAACCAAAAACAGTAAGATATCCCTGTTTGCCCCTATGATTAACTTGGAGAAAATCCCTAAAGGTGGTCCACCCTGTAAACCTTTATTTGTGTGTTAAAGTTTTAATATAATATCATCAGCTGGTTTAGGTAAAAGAGAGTCAATTTATTGTACAGTTCTATATGACAGGAGAATGTTAACGGTAGAAGTTAACATTTAATTTAATATCAAGATGATGTGGTATTTAAATGACTAGTGGTAAAGTACGTAAAATCATTGTTTTTGTTTATTTATTTATAATTATATATTTAAACTACTAAAATAAAATTTGGTACACAGATGTCTAGACTCTGAAAATGGAAATAAAAAAGGGTTGTGAGGGGATTAAAAGGGGATATGAAAGATTGCATGACAGTATCGTCATTTTTAAAGCTAGAAGCTAGAAACCTATTTATAAGCCTATTGAATAAATATAAATTAAGAAGAAAGGGTTGTAAGGGGTCGAAAGGGGATATGAAAGATTGTATGGATGTATCAACTTTTTAGGCTGATAAAATATAAATAGATAAAAAGTTTTAAAGGGTTGATAAGGGACATGAATGGTAGTATGGAAGTATTGTCATTTTGAAAGCTTGAGATTTATATTTTAGCCTGTTCATTAAATATACATAAATAACGAAAAATGATTGTAAGGGCTTGAAAAGGAAATGAAAGATTATATGGAATTATTGTTATTTTCAAAGCTAGAAGCCTGAAACTTATTTTCTAGGATGTTGATTGAGTAGTATGGAATTCTGTATTAAAATTCATCTTTTTTGAAGCTAGAATGATCAATCTTTTTTATTTGACTTCTATGTGTTAGATTATTAAATAATTTTAATTATTTATTTAAGGGCACTATCTAAAAAAATCGTTATCTTGATATTAAATTAATGGTGAAATAATACTGTTTTCAGAAATCATTTCTAATAATATGCTATTTGATGGATGAAGTAGATTTTGTAAATCTGATTATTATTACTACTGTAATTATCAGTTACTCACTTCTATATACATGTCTAATATTATGTTCTTCCTATACTACAGATCACAAGTTACTTCTACATTGGGCAGGTATATAGATCATATAGTTAATTTACTGACAGACGAACTATGAAGATGATATTGACACTTAAAATATTCTATCATGTCTGCGCAATGTAGTTTTGAGTAAGGATTCGTTTCGGTTTATAGGTGTGCTTATATATTTTTAACATTACCCTCTCGTACATTGAAAAAAATTACAGCGACCTAAGACTAAAGCCACAACTATGTCAGTGAAGTTTTGTAGGACCATCTTTATTTTTCCTTATACACTTCCGGAGACAGTATCTAGGGGGTAAACCATAGTTTAGACAGGTTTACGCGAAACAGGCCATAAACATCTTAATAAATATTGAAGAAATTGTCACATTTGTATTATAAAGAAAAGTATATTATATAATTGATCAACACATATCTACATAACGTTCAGGGGTTCTATAATAGCTGAAATGGAGGTATGTGGTGATGTACCTGATGAGAGGTATTGAGGGTTTTATGAGGTAAAATACGGACATAAAAAAAATGCGACTAATACGGCAGCGATATATAATAAACTGATACAAAAAGAATATGACAAAAAAAATGTGATTAAAATATTCAAAAATAATATAAGAACCTATCAAAGGAGTTCGTTACAATAGCTGTGCGATGTGAATGTCTATATACCGAAAACTCTTGTTATTTTCGTTTCTTTTTTACATCGAAACAAATTTTATTATATTCATTGCCTTCTTTGCCATATAATTAATCCAAATCTACTAAAAACTATTTTGGAAGAACCTACTTAATAATATAGAAACTTGAAAAATTATTTACATCATGAAAGTACACACTGAGTCTCATCATCTATAATAATAGCATGCTAGAGCTAAACGATGATTCAACCACAGTCGACTGTCAATTGCACTCGTCTCTGACAATTTAACATATCAGCAATCCATTAATCATGCCCTGACATTACAACCACCAACAGCATCTCGTTCTAACCTCTTGCTTCTTTCAGATTAAGAAACGTGACTTGTCCAAGTGGATCGATACACGCATATAATCGTATAACCAGTGAAACGGGTCACGCGGTATACTCTTAGACGCCCTAACGATGTACTCAATCACTGACATCTTTCTCTCTACAGACTCTGTCCCATCACCACCTCAATTGGAGTTTGATCTTTGTAAAACGATTCTACCATATCTTCTTTTATTAAGCGTGATGGAGAAGGAAAACAAACACTATCCAGTATTTATGTAAGAAAATCATATTCCATTTTCTTCATTTTTCATTTGTCAAATCTTGGTAACTTATTTTCTATAATTTTATTGCTGCTGCAATCACTAAAAGTACACATAAGTACATGGAAACTTAAGTATGTATGAGGTCGCCGGCTCGTGATATGTGTATCACTCACCTGGCACTGTTCACACGTGTGTACGGAGTAGGACTGGTCGCAGTCGTAGCGACTGAGGATGTCGACGAAGTCGCAGTGCACGCGCGCGACCATCGCGTCGAGGCCAAGGAGGTCGTGCAGCGTGCGCTCGCAGCGTTCCCCGCCGGCTTGTACTTCGGCGCGCGCGCCTTGGTCCAGTGCGGAGGCGGGCGAGCGCTCGCAGCAGGCGCGCAGCCGCAACTCGGCAAGGCGTCGTGCTCGTGCAACAGCCCCCAGCGCGCACAGGTGCGGCACGTCGCGCACCGTCAGCGACTCGGCCGCGCCGCCGCCGCCGCCGCACGCCGCGCCCCCGCACTCGCGCACGCCGCTCGCGCCCTCCTCCTCCAGGTCGCACGCGCTCAGCCAGGGGTTGAGGCGCGCGAGCGGACTCACGGCCAGGCCCGCGGCCGCCATCAGCAGCAGCAGCAGCAGCGGCGGCGCTCGCATGGCGGGGGCGGCGCCGCTAGCGGGGGCCGGCCCGCCGGGCGCGGCGCTGCCTCATACCGCATCGCGCATGGCGACCTACTCGCGCGGCCCGGGCCGCGGGGCCGCCGCGCGGGGTGGGCGCGCCGCCATGTCGCTCGCTCGCCGCTCGACTGACTCCCCCCGGGCGCGCATCGATCGCCCCGCGCCCCGCACACGCCGCAGCGCGCGCTCCTGAAACCTCCACCGTAGTTATGTAACCGTGCGCGCGCATCCCTGAACCCCACCCGCCTTCGCCTTCTCCATCTCTTGACAGAGAAGATTAACTGCCCGCTTCATTCCGCTTATGAATACCACAACAGAACATAATTCTTTGATTTACGTACAGATGGCACTTTGTAGTAGCAAGTAGAGAGTTTCAAGAAAATGTGAAAGCATTTGTAAATGTGCTGACATCTATACACTATTTAGTAAATAATAATAACATGAAAACATACTAGTAGAAAAACAACAAATTGAAAAATAATATTAGACTTAATACGTAGAAAGAAAACTAAGAGGGTGCACATTGTAGATATTCGTACAATTATAATGAGTAACATATTAAAGCGTTGGGAAGCAGGATTTATACGTCAGCATCTTTTTTACAACTTATGAAATGTTATTAGACGGTGGGTGTTTAATTCATCACAATTATAGAAGATATATAGGCTGAATGAAGTGAAATAAACTTAAATTTAAGCGTTTTGAATAGTCATACCATAGATAAGATAATGTTACGTAGACTTATTTTTTTAATCTAGGTACCACTTATTCGTCACTCAAGAAACAGGCAAGAAAGTTGCCTGTTGCTCTTAAATAATTTCTAAACCATTGTTACATAGTACTATTCTGATATTAACTAACTGTCTTGGCAAACGTTGTCTGCCATATAAATTTAAGTACTAATATCACTATTAAATGGGGGTTGGTGGTCAAAGGGTGAAAATTAATTTAAGGTATTTGTAATACCACATCATAAATAAATGAAAAATACTTTATCACTTAGGGGTATGAAAAGTAGTTAGTATGAACTCAGACCATACATATAAAATTTCATAAAAATCGGTCCAGTCGTTTCGGAGGTTTTCAGAGAATTTTATATATAAGATAAATACGTTATATACAAATATTTCAGACCTAGAATAATTAAACAGTGAGTATTAACTTTCAAATAATAGGAAGGTATTAAACAATAATGGATATTAGTAATTTATAAAAATTACGTACGTAAAGACAATTGAATTAATATATATTAATTCATACAGCAACTCAACTCAACTCTTTGGGTGGTCGACTTGGTACTCCTTATTGATAAAATATGGTAGGTACGTAATACTAAGTTACATACAATTGTCCGTTCGCAAATTCGCAATATTATTATCATATAGAAGTTTACGAGCCTTTTGTCTTCCACATTAAGCTATAATCTAAGCTATCAATGTATTCTCGATAATTCGTTTGCGAAAAAAAGGACGATGTAGAGAGATGTAGAGATGTAGGTGCAGAAAATAATTTCAAGTATAATCTTTATTGCACACATATATCTAATGCGATCGTAATTACGCGTCTATAAAATTTCTGTCGGTAAATAAGTAAGCGCATATTACGTGAGTCTTTTTTTATCTCTATCACTCGCGGTAGGGTATCGAATGTGGTCTCGCTTCCACTTTGCGTGACGTAAGGCGCCCGCGCACTTCGAACAGTGCCCTCACTCATCGTATAAACATCGAAAGACTATAACGCTACATTCTACCATATTTACTACATCGAAACTATATAGATTTTGGTATTAATTTGTGTTTGCTAAAAGAATAAATAGTTGTTTAATTTTAATTTATCTGGACTTGATTATAGTACTTAGTAACAATTTAGAAAGGATTTAGAAATCAGCACGAAGGTTACAGTTTCCTCACAATGGACGCAACAAGTAAGTAAACTGGTTTCAAGTGTGATCACTAAAATAATATGAAATCTTAAGTAGAATCATTGTAGTAATTGAGTTTTGATTCCCTGACAATAATCAAATACGATAAGTTTTTAAAGCAATAGGTACCATAATAATAATGACTTTTTTATATACAAACACTAAATATCTACTTGAACAGTAAATATGTATTTATATGCAAAATTTCCTATTTGTCAAGTACTTTAAATTATTTTGTGATGGTAAATTAGTTTTTAATTTGTCCTGTATTTTCACCTTTATTATTACCGCAATAAAATGAAGGTTCAATTCGTTTAGAATATTTTAGTATATTTACATTATTTGGATATGTCATGACTTATATTATGCTAAAGAGACTATATGCAATCTAGGATAATAATAGGAATCTCTCACATTAGACATCATAACTAAAAGTTCGTTTTAACTTAAACTTACGAAACCCGTTTGCCGATAGTGGGAATGTGAACACACTAGGCCCTACTAACAGATGCCTTTTCGTGCTATCGATAGATATTTTTCTTTGTTTTTTGCAAACTCCTTGGCGGGTAATGTTGGTCTCTGATTGGGGTCTTCCCTCCAAGTTTGGGAGTTTAGTAGTGATTGGTTAATAAAATATTGGTTAGAAGTGATTGGATAATATTTAAAATAGACAATTTCCGCGGTATATACGCACTTTTAAAGTCTTTTAATATAAAGGCAAATTGTAAATAAAATAAATATATACATATAATATTATTCTAGATGTCGCAATACAAGACATGTAGTCTACGTTTTGCTAACAATAATTGAATCCAATACGGCAGATGAATCTGTTGTTACTGCTACCCATTTTAACATTGATTAATATCGGTGTTTCTATCACCTGAGAGTTATTTTTCTACTGTATCTAACTATCCAATAGAAACTCTTGAGCTTTGGGTTCTGTTCGGGATTGTAAACTAGAAACGTGACATTGTGGTATATAGTATAAAACAGAAAAGAAGAACAATTAATATTTATTATGGTTTTTATATAATAATATAATGTTAAATAAATATTTTTTATCGCTTGACAAAATTAGTACAAAATATGATTTAGCTTATCATTTCCAGGCTTGAGAATTACAAGGGCATATTATTCGAGTATTATTTTTAAATCAAAATGAACATATGTATATGTATTACAGAATGAACACGCATGTGGAGACTATAAATATTGTATTATTACTCCTATTTTAATCTTGATTTTTTTTACAAAGGGATTGTGGTCGTCACATTTAGGGCACAAAAATAGTGAGTAAATAACAAAAAAAACAACTATTAATGATACCAGCCACTAGGTACAATAACTTAGCTGCATCAGAAGCTGGCTCTGGCAATATACCGTGGAATAGACCTACATCTAAATTATTTATTTTTTATTTCATTATCACATAGACTTTTCATATTGATGTATTGATCATTACGTTTCCTGTAAGTACCACAAGAAATTCTGGTGATTCCATTCACATTGAACCTTGTACGACACGCCCTGATTGCAGCGTAGTTAATTTCGACAGTGTTATTATTTTAACTTATTTCTGAACAAGATACTAGTAGTGTGATGTCGCAATATTTGTGCGATTTGATATAATTTATCAGTATTACTATTAGAACTACTTGAAGATACATGATATCTAATTTAGTAATCACTACATTTTATCTCAAACTTGAAATGTTGAAACGAATACTGTTAGGTATATTAATATAATATGCTATAGTATTAGTATTATAGTATATATATTATTAGTATGTAATACTACCTTCTACCTTCTTCCTTCCTTCTTTTCCTTTCTTCCTACCTTCTACTCAGTATACACCTCAAATTGTCTTAGGATTCATTCTTACTGGATTACTACAACGCAGAAGGAATCTGTTCTCAAAATTTGTAAGCACCGATTCCTATACTTCTGTTGTACCCACATAAACATCAGTCGGCCAGGACAAATTTATTTACAAGTAATATGAAAATGTAAAACAAAAAATAAATTACATTGTAACTCAGTCTATATATTAAAATATTTACTCATTAGACATTCAATTTTAAAATCGTTTCTATAGCTTTTAGTAAAACCTAGTAGGTAGCAATAGAACGAATTAGTCATTTGACATTTCATACTAGCAATCAATGAATTTTGCAGCTGTAGCTGTGCTAATGTTTATTCCAATAATAAAGTTAACACAGGTCAAACGAATGACACATCATCTTAATATAACAATGAATATATTTTCTTAAGTGTTTCGTAATCATACAATATGAAATTGTTAACATAAATGTCGTTATCGTATAATATAAATATTTGCCTTAAGTCAACCAAGAAACTTAAATAATTAGATACATCGCACTCTGTTCTCTTTATTAAACTGCAAAATTACATTAAAACTAATGATAGATTATATAAAGTCAGAATAATAAAATAACTAAATAGATGTTTTTTTCTCTATTTATATCGCCTGCTGTAATAAAGATATATTTAATTTATCGTAGGTAAAGTACCTATGAAAATACTTAAATTAGGTACACTATTCTATATGCTAAAATTATTTTACAGTAAATAGAAATGTAGACCTCAGATATTTAGATTTTATTCATTAGAACCAAATGTGCTTACAAAAACGGACTATTAGGAATTTTATTTTTCATATAGTCTTGTCAAGAACTGAAATTAATGTAGAGTTTACACCATATTAAACACTATACTTACATGGGTATGAATGAAGATTGCTTTTATATTTTTTTTAATTATTGACCAGCGTTTATCCTGGTATGCCCATATAAATGTTGTAATGTCCAGAATGCATAAACTCGTATGGCTATTTAGAACATTAAGGTTAGTAACAAATAAGGAATTGTTAAATCAAATATATACATCAATAGCTCAATCTATTCTAACTTATTGTATTCCTGTCTGGGGTGGAGCAGCAAAGACTAAATTCCTAGAACTTGAGAGAGCTCAGAGATCCTTATTAAAAGTTATGTATTTCCAGAAACATAGATTTCCTACGGAAAAGCTCTATCAGATGTGTGATCTTCTTTCTTCCAGGCAACTTTACATAATCCAAGTAATATTAAGAGTACATAAAAACCTCTTTTATGACTCCAAATCTTTAAGCAAAATAAGGAAGCACAACGTAGCACCTGTACAACCCGTTAGATCGACCTATGCTGGAAGACAGTTTGGTAAACAATCGACTTATATTTATAACGCTGTAAATAAAATTCTTAACATCTACCCTATGAATCTTTATACCTGTAAAAAAGTTTTAACAAAATGGCTAAAATCTAAAAACTATAACGAAATTGAAGCTATTTTGTACAGTTCTGGATGACAGCATGGTCTATGAGCGATTGGACTGTAGTCCTGAGGAATGTAGTCACAATGTAATATACACCCTTCCACACTTACATACACACACACACACACACACACACACACACACGCACGCACACAGTCTTTTACAGTAGAAACAAATTCTTAATATAATAATAAATAACCCTAGAAGAGCGTGATCTCCTATCACAAGTATTTAATTATGCTTACAAGGAGATCCCAGCCCCGGCTTAAGGAAGTATATAAATAAGAATATGTGATTGTTGATATGTAAAAAAAAAAAAATAATTGTAAAACATCTATGGTAATAAAATAAATTTATTATTTATTATTATTTTCAATTATAAATAGAAAAGTACGCGGCAACAATATAAACCATATTTGGAATGTACATACTAGCGATCCTTCGTATGTTGGGTACCTGAATAACCAATAGAGCTACAAGTAGTTAATAAGGAAATTCAAAAGAAAGTTTATGTATAAGATTCTTGTAATATTTTTTTACTATAGCTTTCAGTCGACAACATATGAAACTATTAAAAATTGCAATTTAGTGTCAGTAAAGTAGTTAGACAGACTGACGGAGGACCTCTCTTACTCGCCTATTGTAAACTTTTCCTATTTTTTCAATTTTAACAAAGTTTATAACAATCATCTAAATAATTTCAATTTTCCAAGTTTGAAAATTTAGTAGACATATGGCATTATTTTCAGTGGAAAACAAAATGGGCCTGCCGCCACCATACGAGTCAACGGCCACATTTCCAGCACCACCACCCTCTTACTTCGGCAGTAACCCGCCACCACCAGGCATAAATGTACCTTCGGCACCACCGAGGACTACAGTCATCACCTCCCCACCTGTAGTTACAGTTGTACGACCAGGAAAACTAGGACCGGGCCCCACGGGTACCACGTGCGCGACGTGCAACAAATCCATAGTGACCAGAGTCGAATACGTAGCCAACAATCGAACACACATCGCTTCCGCAGCTCTATGTATTTTAGCTGGGTGAGTACATAAATATACCATAAACATTTATAAAATCTTTTGTTATTAAATACAATTAACAAATGTCTATTACGCCATTGTTGCGATTGTGTGTAAAGAACTGCCCGTGATCTTGAATGTGTCACGTAATTTGTAAATTAAAGATTTTTATATAAATTGTAGCTTAATGTTATGTACATACCGATCATATTTGTATAACTGGACATACTTAGTTTTACTAATCATTATTATCTATATATATATATATATATATATATTATACTTTGCGAACTACACGAAATAAATTTCTTCAAAACATTCAAAATTATAACCATCCTTTTAAACTCCCATCGGGCTGAATATATGCATAATAGAATCCCGTCGCTATATCAAATAATACGCAATTTCAATAGTAAAAGAAAGTAACTAAATAAAAAATAACTTCTACATACGGGAATTTAACCGCACCTACAAGGCGATCTTCCACACACTTATGCAGTCATTGATTGCGTGTTTACAAATTCTTATAAATTAACGGTACCTAGACTTGCAATACAAACCAGAGTTCTGTTAAAGAACAGCGCACAGGTTCCAGGCAGAATAAGACATCCGGGTGACATGAAAATAGAGTCGGTCTTTTGCGAAAAATAACGAAACAGCATTTGCAAAATACTGTATATAACAGCACAGATAACATAATATTTGAACACAGACAGTATCTTCGTCTAGAAGTGATTTTTCAGAACTGTGTTGTATAACGCCTATCGGTATAAAAATCTTATATCATAGGTATTTTATTAATGACAGAAGACGACCTATATTTTCTTTTTTTTCATTTAAATGATTTTTTGCTTTATTAGCGGCCAGTTATATATTTCAGAAATCCTTTGCGTATGTGTCCCGGAATATTCAACCAATAAGTGATCGATAGGATATAGGTATACGAAGCTGGTTAGTTAAGTAAAGTATTGTATGTGGAAGGTACATTAATATTTAAACGACGTAACCACTACTATAAAATCTTACTGTAGAATTATGTTCGTATTTCAACTTGTTCTTTGGAAAAACTGTTCAATTTCGATTAGTGAACACTGTGAACATCCATTACGTGACGTAATATCACACGGTAAGGGTGCATCGTCAAAGTGTGACATTGTTTAGAAATCAACGAAGTGGGCATGGGTGGATAAAAGGAGAACACTTTTTAAAATTTTAGAAAATGTGACGTTACACTTTGCGGGTTGGGTGTCTCACAAATGTGACTAACTGATATACACTAAAATATTTTATGTATTTCTGTGTATATACCGAGCCGTATGGCATCATAGCATATTATTGTTTGATATTATATTTTTGTTGAAAACGTTCCTTTATTTTTTTCTTTTTTATTTTATACCTAATCATATTTCGCCTGTTCCAGATGCTGCTGTGGCTGCCTCATACCTTACTGCATGAGATCATGCAAGACCACCAACCACTACTGTCCTTCATGCAAAGCTTTCATCGGCACTCATATGCCGTCCTGATTAAATACTGCTAGGTGCGAATCAGGCTCCACAATCTTAAAGTATTAAAACGCTAAATAGAATCTTATATGGCCACACTCGAATTGAATTGTATTTGAATACATATATATAAACATGTAGATATAGTTAGTATTAATAACTAATTTCGAATTGTCTGATACATGTAAGTTATAGCATTAGGTCTTGCCTTATGACTACTCTATCTCTCAAGTTTTATAGAAATCTATTTGTATTTAAAACGGCGGTATTCTAATCGGTTTGTCATTCTTCGTATAATAATGTATTTAATGTATATCACTGCGAAGCATGCAACTGTTGGTATTTGTTTATATTTTCTTTAACAACAAATGGGTTCTACATGATATTGTCGAAGTGAACAATCATTAGCAGGAATGCCGTTATGAATGTACATTGCCTGTATAATTTCTACCTATTCAAACCGTTGACTGTATTGTATAAATTGAATTACCTATATATATTATGTGTTATACAAAGGTACTAATTAAGCAGACTTTGGAAAAATGACGCCATATGGATATATTCAGAGCTATTTATTTTTATCTAACTTCGAACTTGGATTCGCCCGGGATCCATTAATATACAAAACTAGGGCACAAACCACTGATTTTACACAATCAAAGTCGCAACTCCAGTAGTAATATTTTCTATTGAAGTTTAGTTAATAATTAACTAAACCTCAATAGAGAAAACGCTAAAACAATAACTGGCTACTGTCCTATATATAAACACTTGTATACAATAGGTTCTATAAACAATACTCTTTTTCGGAGCTGTTTTTAAGCAAGAGCCAACGTCCGCTTACGTAATATTGGAATGGTGATGTAGCTTCGTGAAGCCTGTGAAGATACCAGGAGGGCTATGCGTTATATATATAGAAAAAGCTTGACTAGCTATATTAGTAGTCTCAGCTCTACAGGCACAACAGACCAGATGAGAGACTAAATACATACTAGCATTAATGGTCTCTTTAAAAAAATCTCAATCTAATCACACCCTAATACGGTGTGGAGTTCTTCACTACTTATTTATATTTTGTACTTATTGCATAAATAAGATATATACTGAATAATAGTAATAGTAAAATGAAGAAAAGAAAAATCATATTCTGTGATATGTTTATTTTTATATAAGGTAATAAATAGGCAAAATGTCGCAATATACCTAAACGTAATTTTAAATTATATCAAATAATATTTATGACCAAAGTCTTCATCTGTATAGTAACTACATAAATATAGATATTATACTTGTCTACTAAATATGAAAATAAAACAGGCAGAACATTTTAATTAAGTCAGTTTATTGTATTTTATATGTAAAACATCTCTCTATGATTATGTCGAAACTATTTGGACTAAAATAGTCTAGCCTAAATGTATTTATTTGTTTTTATTATTGCTTTTTCTTTACTGTGATAATATTTATACAACAATACAATTATATTGTAATTAAAATAAATATATTTCTATATTAAGGCTTTTTTTTTATTTATAAAAATATTACATAGCATTGTAACAATACTATTATTTGCATCGGACTTGGACAAAAGGACTATACTATAATATTTAATTATTATCTACTATTAATAATATATATACTATACATAAATATAAGATTAGAAGTAATTTTACTTGTGGTAGGTATTAGTTATTATTATTACTTAATATTTAACTTTATAATGAAATAGTCATGTGTTTTGTTGATTATATAATATAATGATGACAAACAACTTATTTTATTTATTGGTCATGCCATGCTAACAAGAATGTAACTAATAAAAATAATAATAAAGTAAATTAGTGTATCTAATATTCAACGAAATAGTAGAATTCATGATATGAAATAATTAAGTCTATTATTGATTAATCACGTTATAAAGTTAAACGTCGTTTCCAATTTTTTGTCATTTGTCATTGCTCAACTTTGATTCAAATAGGATATGTAGATTGTGAAGTTTCTAGAACTTCTTTGAGGGTTTTAAATAAGAATTGCCGGCTAGTCTGGTGCATTTATTAACTACAAAACAACTGGAATTCTCAATTTGACTATATTTTTTCTATATGTAATAATAATATATATATATAGGATATATATATTATATATTCATTTAGATGATTATATTTGCAATCTATAGTACATCGATAGATATTTTTTTATGGATCAGAACAAGTGGGTACTAGTAATAGTTAAATAGTTAAATTTCCATACGATTAAAATACTATTTTTCTAATGTTTACTTAACTGCTTATTTGATATTCGTAACCTCGATCAGGTTATCAATACAAATGATAATAAACTGATAATACACAATCAGTCTGTTACAATCTGTGTTTTTGTATAGGTACTGAAATACAATATTTATATAGATAATTATGGCAATACAGACATACAAACAAATTTTGTTTTTAGTTCCAACCGAAATTCTCAAAGCATCTGTAATATCTCGTCAAATTGAGACTCGAAATATTATATTACATTGATTACAATAAATTTTGCTTATATTGTGATATTATATTAGATATATGTAATAATGTCCCTAAAAGAATTAGTACAGTCATATGACCAATAATGTCGAATATATTCATTACAATGATAGATAATTGTATGAACTTATCTATTTTTATATTAAAAGTAATGTTTCCAGCGATAGCGTAAATTGATAAATCATTAAGATAATTTAGCGACATACCTTGGTATTTGGCGACCCCTTAAGTTTTCTACGTATTTGGAGACTAAATCACACTACATAAGTAGGTAGATATTGATCAACGTACTTATACAATAAGCAGACTATTTTTTATATCATCATCATTGCCTTGCCTTTATCCCATTATTTGGGGTCGGCGCATAGACTATTTTTATATATATTATAATAAAAAAAAATAAGCAACAGTACGTCGTACCTACACATATAATGCAGCTAATTGTGAAATTTAAAGTAACGTATATGAATGTAATGGTTTCAAAAACTATTTACATATCTACAAAAACTTAAAACACTATATATGTGTAGCAAGGGTATGACATATGTATCTATGTGGGAAGTAAAGTCAGAAATTATCAAAATATTAACAAAACAATACAGTAATACTTTATTTGTGACTTTACTATGGCAATAATAAAATTTACTGAAAACAGTTTTTATTATTAACAAAATGGTAACTAAGAACTTAAATTTAAGTTTATTTGAATTAAGAATTATCTATTCTACACTAAAAAGGAATTCTATGTTGAAACTATTTATTCACATGTATTTTCTGCGACACTTTGAAAATACTTTCAAATGAGTTATATTAAGATCCGTTAAGTCGTTTAGTCGTAAAAAGGTAACATCTCCGTATTTATAACATTAGTATGAATTAGTATGAATCAGTATGAATTAGTCTACATTTAAATAATTTGATTATTATGCAATAACTTAACTATGCCTTACTATTCGTATACCTACGCCTATAAGTAACGGAAACAGGAAAGACAAAGAAACCTAGTAATTATAGCTAGATATTTTTTAAAACAATTAGGGATATTTATTGTAAATATATTAGACTCTATTTTGTTTAGTTAGAAATAAAATATTTCTAACTAAAAAACCATTCTTGCATCTGGAGTCATAATTGACATTAAATATTTAAAAATAATGTTCAAACCAGTTTCAATTAATAATTCCCAAACCTTTATTAAAATTCTCTATTCCTTTAAACGAAATTACATGATAACAGGCATGACTTCTTAGTTCTTCGCAATAGTAACACATGTCTGATGATGATCCATCCACATTAGATAGACCATTAACTTGTTTACCATTCCAGTTACCTACATAAAAAAAACATTATTCGGTGAAAGCTGGATTTCAATTTATAATCCTCTTTCCGTTACATTCTATCGTGTCAAGCCTTTATAATATAGAATTTTTTGCATGAACGCCCAAATACCTATGACAATTCGGGCAGTAATGTTCAACGTTTTTCCATCTTTTCACGACATATGGTATTATACAACAACACATCCACCTGAAACAGACAACTAGAATTTAATACTTTATTGCATAACATAATTCTAACTCCGACTTCAATCGTGGTGAAACTATGTAGTATGGAATTAATAAATAAAAACAATTTTATCAATGACAGATCATATTGACTCATTGTTTTCATGATTATTTCGATTTAAGTAATTTTTAAAAATAAAATAATCCACGATAGTTTTGTGGCAGCCTGATTTCTAACTCAAGATTTTTGGGTTCAAGTTGGCGTATTAAATAAATGCTTTTATGTCTCACAATTCAATAAAAAATAATTATCTTTGTCTACTTAATATTTGGCTACTGACTGGTACCTTCGAGTCAATATACAGTACAATAATACTAACCAGAAGAATATGGCTAGTACTGCGGCAACGATATGTGTCGTGCTTGTGTTCCTGTAGCTGGCCCTCGTCATGATGTCTTCATGGCAGAACATGCAACGCATACCCATCGGCTCCGAACCCGCTTGCAACAGCTCCATCTCTATACTGACGCCATGAGATATTTGACCTATTTGCTGGTAGTCGTTGGGCTGCACTGTAAATTTGAAACGAAGTATTTTATAACTAACGGACGTCCTATCTAAATTTAGGTACACTAGACTGCGCGCTAACCTGCGCCACGTCGCGTCGTCTGATCCCCTTTTCATTGATGATCTGGTCCTGTTGGCCGTAGTATAATATAGCCTATAGCCGTTCTGAATAAATATAGCCTACATATAACTTCACGCTACGATCAATAGGAACTGAGCTGCAATGAAAAATATCACGCAGACGATAATAGAAGCATTTTAAACTTTCAAGCATCTATTCTATATGATTAGGTCACTGTTATTTAAACAATATTTCAATTTTTTAACCGATTTCTTTAGAATAATCGTTACTGGAATAGCTAACATGGTATGACTAATAAATAGAACTTTATTATATTGTCAATTACATATTGTTATAAAAAACACTACTACCCGATATAGGATAAGGATAGGATAAGAGCCAGTAGATAGGAGTAAACATTATTAAGATAGTTATACGAGTGTTAACACGAATTAGGTATTCGTTCCCATGATTCACTTTTGAGCCTAACACATAGGTATACACGTAAAAAGATCTTTTGTATACATAATACAAAATATCAAATAGTACCTACAATTTTAGGAAAAATAATAATTAAACAACAAAAGAAGTTTAAATGATACAAACAGCTTCAGTTGAGCCAAATAACTGTAATTGAAAAACAAAACAAAATCAATAGAATCCTCCGGTAATCTAATCAATAAATTCTTAAAATTCTTACTAATCAATAAATTCATAATAGATAGTCAGACACATATATACCTATATATATGCATACATGTATAGTTTATGTGTGTAATCCACATACGTCAATATTTAATAACATTTGGTACTTACTTTTATAATAATTTAGTACACTTTCCGATTGTAAGAGAAACCACCCAGTAACCACTTATTTTTTTATGAACAGAATATTTAACTATTATACATATGCAATAATTTTATTATTCACTACTGAATAAGTACGTTCGAAAACAAAATTTGCTAAAATTTCTTTTTCGACAGCACTAGCGTCGGTGTAATTGGAAATGATAACTACAAAAACTTCGATATTCGCTGGTTATCACAAAGATAAGACACATTAGCACGGATCACGCTTTGGCCATATTTCTATATGCGCCTCGATTTATAATCTTACAGGGCTGTAATTTTAATTACTGACATAAACAGTAGTGCCACAAAGGATGCAAGTGTAATACTTTGCGGTACTAGACAGACACAAATATCATCATATAAGTATCTATTAGTCCTTTACATAGTTAAGTTCAATTTGTCCTGTGTGAGCACAGGCTGAAAGCTTTTCTTTCAGAATGCTGTACATATAATTATTTATAGTAGTGCTTAGGTAGATTTTGCTCTATACCTACAGCAACATACCAGTAAACTCACGGCCTAATATGCAGCTCAGTAGATAATATAAAATTACATGTACACAAAGGCCTTAAAAATTGCAACTTGTATAATTCACCTCAAACATATTATTATGTTCATGAGTTTTAATAAATATTTGCCGTGTTCCAATTAACGGTAGGTCCAGTCTAAGGCGACAGGTGATAATTGTTACTGCAAATGAAATCGTGAACAGAACTGTTGGCAAACAGTCATTAATCGCCGCATTGAAGGTGCGAGCCTCCTGCAGTGACTATCCTACCTATCCTCCTCTGTAGAGATACGTGCGGAGCGGGAGAGGTCTTTGTGAGCTTCAATATCAGGGTTCTTGTCTGCCGTCCATACAAAGGGAGTTGAAATGGTGGTACGGAGACGAGGGAACGGGAAAAAAATCCTTATTGAGCTCACGCGGGTCACAAAACCACGGTACTGTAGGTACTCAACGGCCCCGTGACTCTGACACTATGGTGAGGTAGATTGTCATCAGATTTTTAATCGGTAAGGCCGGCGATGCCCACTTATCCAACCCCTGAGGCAGTCAGGTGACCAGAATGGATTATCCCCACTTTAAAAAAATTTAGTCCAGCGTTGCGGGCGAAAGACTCTGGCAGTATCAGTATAATTACTAATTCCAGGTGAATTAGTCATATTAGCTGTCTTTACATGACACGTTCTTTCTCGTTCTTTTTGTCTATATTTACATGCACATTAGGTATATCCTGTTTAACTGTGCTTCGCCCGTGAAAGTGAATATGCATAAAGCCACTTATTGGGCTGCGATAGAAATTCATTCTATACTGATTCATTTCAATATTTTTTATCCCAAAATCCAGTTCAGAATATAGAATTCAATCCCCGAAAATTAGTTTTAAATACATAGTATAATAACTGGCAATTCTGCGGAATTGTCATCTAGCCATTTTTTACTACATTTTTCTTCAGTGATAGCATGAGAAAAATAGAGGAATATAGCTATAATGACATATTCTTAAAATACCTACAAGTAATTGAAATAATGATTATATATAAGAATTTTATGCATACTTTAAAGACAATTATATCCTACAGTGTAGCCACGGGCGAATAACATAAATTCGCCAGAACAAAATCGCCGGAGCCAGAAAAAAAACAATTGACACATGACAGCACAGAGCACATGTCAAATGCTTAATAATAAACTGATACAAGTATAGATAGAATGATTGTTAGGAATTCAACTCTAGTGCATTAGTTTTAAAGACAATTACCCATTTATTATAGTTTGAGTTAATTTAAAACTGCGATATTTGTGATCTACAAATAAAATAATTTATTTTCAAAATCGAATTAAATTTTATGAAGTATAAATAATAACATTTATTTGTACCTTGAATTATCGTCATTATTACAATAATAACATTTCATAACGGTTTAATTACCAATAGTCATGGATGTAGATCTATTACGACCGGGCACTGTACCTATATCTCCTGACACTATATTATGGTTCGAATTTCTGCTTAATCAAGACCTCCTCAAAAGCCATTTAAATAAACCAAATCCAGGTAAGTTTCATCGTGCCGTGTTTTAAAAAATAATTATATCTCATAACCTTAACCTAAGAAAAGGTTCCTGTTTTTTCTATTTAATAGTTGACATTATTCAGCATTAAATATTCTCACACACTCAATCATTGTTAATTGTTGATTGGATTTTAATTAATTTTGTAATAAAGTTACATTGTATCCTAATCACAGCCATATGCTATCTGATGTCTTAGAAAAACAGTTTTGAATTAGCAAAATAGGTAATGAAGGTTTGTGCAGATGATGAGGTAGGATGTGGTTAACAACTAGTAATATATAAAATTTATGTTTACAGAGCCATCACCATGTGAATTAATAGAAGAATTTCTATCTGTGGATACTAAAAACGCAAACTCAAAGCCAACAAGTGAACGAGTTTTAGATGTAGATGCCCCACCAAGCCCACCATCTGAGACGACACCAACATCTTTGCAATTTAGTCGTAAACAGCTTGCTCTGAAAATTTTAGCTCTCAAAGTAGCAGCAACACTTCACTGGAACTTAGGTATGCAAGTATTAAATGTAATACTTTTATTTTATTTTCATAAATTTCAATGGCAAACAATCTGATCGCTCACCCAATAATAAGTAGCAACTGTTTTTTTTTATGACAATGACATGACAATAGAATAATGGATCCGTACTAACAATATGAGCTGAAGGGGCACTAGTGGAGGTAAGATGAGAATGAGATAAGGTCATTTAGCCAATCTTGATCACTTGGTTTCCAGGGGAACTGCATGGAGGTCAATATGACATGGTAAATTGCTATCATTAGGGTCCTATTCCCTATTACTAACCTCATCAGTAGGGGGAAGGGGATTGTTAGTGTTAGTAATGTGGACTGATGATCCCATTACTAACAATGTATCATGTCAGGTTGACCTCCACGCGGTTCCCCCATCGCGGAAACCATTGTGATAAACTCCCGATGAGCTTATCACGACTGGCTAACTGACCAGACTTCATGTTCATCTTATCCTCCATCCTCCACTGGTGCCCCATCAGCGTAAACCGTTAGCGCACGCGGGTGCATCATTCCATTATCATCCAATAAAAAAACCTCATCAGTAGCCACTAAAACTGAAAACTGTTGTTTGCTTCTATAATTAAATGTTTTGTTTTGTTTTATAGATGTGTTGGAAACTAAACTACCTCCTCAAATCCAGCAACAATTGATGCAAGATTTGGTATACATGGCATCTGATTTAGCATTTCTTATACCACCACAGGTATGACACTTTTATCTTTTGTATTCCTGTCATTATTTCTAAATAATTTGTTTTACTCCTTATTTAAATGAATCTATTTTAAAGAGGTATTATATGTACCTACTATATATATGTATATATAATGAACATAACTTATTAGGTAGGCTTATAACTTGAGCAATCTTTTTCTGACACCCTTTAAAAATAAATCATATTTAGGTTTACAACACAAGTTAATTCATACATCAATGTAATATTGGACAGAATCTCATTTCACTAATTACAAAAACACACAGTTCTATGATTTAAATAATAAATGAGCATTCAATATTTTGCTGTTTTAAATGTGTCTTTTAGTTTTATGAGAATACATATATACATAATAAAGATCTTTTTCTTTTGTTATATTTGGTTACAGGAGATTTCACAAGATTTATTACAACAGCCGCAGGTTCAGTTTGCTTTAACTCTGTACCATAGGTGGATACTAAGATTTCCAGTGAAAGCTGCATTATATGCCAAATCAACAAAAATGTCTTTTATGCATATGTAAGTCTAAACATTACTATAACATGCTCTTTCTAAAATATTGAATTAATGGAACTGGTAAATTAATAAAATTAAATAAATGGCTTCTACTTCTATTTGTAAACAAATTATTTTAGTATAATAATAAACCCTTGAGAAATGCCGTGAAATTGCTGATATCATTTACTTGATCAAAGTAGCCTCCGGTGTCATAGACTGTCCTGAGTTACTTTCAAAATTTAATTTTAATGTACCAGCTAAACGTACCAGATTTACTCCTATTTCTATACCTTCTGTATCATCTAACTATAGGCAAAACAGTTATATGTGGCGAGCAAGTAATAACTTCAATAGATTAAGTAGGGTGTTAGATATTGATTTGTTTTCCGATACAATATCTTTAGCGAGGGCCGTGATGAGCAGGCAATTCTTTGAGTTATAGGTATTGAATTTAATGTTACTTATATGCATTTCCATTATTCAAAAATGTTTGTTTGTTAATTTCAGCATATGTTTTAATTTAGTGGATTGTTATTGTTTGATATATGATTTTATGAGTATTTATAACACAAACACGCCTCTCGTGTTAGCACTGTAATTTATTTTATATTACGTTTCTATCCGTGAAAACCTATAAGTGGCCGTTATCATTTAATTATGTTTATAACTATGTTTGTAAATAGCCTTGGTTTTCCGAAAATAAATAAATAAATAAATAAAAAATAATTTAATTTTTTTTTGCCTTAGGCCTGGTATGCAAGCAGATAGCGGGTATGTACCATTAAATCAAAATTTCGAGAAGATCTTAAGAATGTCAGAGGTATCGCGAATGAATAGCATACGATACTTAGAAGAAATATTATCTTACTTTGAATTGTCACCAGAAAGGCGAAGAGAACCAACAAAAATTAAAATTCCAAGCATGGATGCATTTGCCCACCTCACTGAGGACTCTAATGATATAAACCACAACTGGAATGCTGGAAATATTGTAATTAATCAGTATGAATTTGCAATGCAAATTCACTTCGATCTCTGTTACAATTATTTTTTTTATGGTCAACATGATATGGCCACAAAACATATACTTGGTTGTAGGGAAAACTCAAATTTATTGGAAAGAGAGGTATCCCTATATGGATATGGCTCCCACAAGGACATGCCTTGGGGGGATTTTTATTATGCAAGTATGGCCAAGGAAGACATATTGGGGTACATCAGAGCTTTAAATTTAGGCAGTGAAGTACTGAATGAGGAACCCTCATTGTTACAAAAATTACAGGAGTCTATTGCCAATCACTATACGGGAATTATAGCTGTACTTCAAGCAGACAATTTAACACGAGAGATTCCAATGGTTCATAGGCAAGTAGTGGAACTGGACATCCAAGGGTCAGCATCTAGTGGAGCCTTCACTGTTGCTAGGGATCTTCTTAATAGAGTATCAGCACTCAACGCCGTAAGATATGCACTTGAAGGAGGTTTACCTTCAACTCATCCTGATTTTCTAAACAAATTCAAAACAGTTGGCATTAAGTTCTTTGATCTCTTGTTTTGGGCGTTAGCACCAGTTTTAATGTCTAAATTATCGAATGATGATTGGGCTAATTTAAAAATGTTCTTCCTTCATTTAGCTACATCTCAATGTAGGTTACCTGTAGAAAGAATAGATGAGTACTTAAAAAAACACGTTGGTGAATCTGCTGAACGTATAAGAAAGAAATTAATAACAGATGAAGAATTACAGACCATAATCAATGACCCAATAAACAATGATGATGAGAATATGGACATACCACGTGAGTTGCTCACGGATGATTGGGAAACACCAGATTTTGAACTCAAAACCGTGCCTGAACTAGAAATGGGAAGATTAAAAAAACGGCTTATAGAATCATCTACAGCCGACGACGTGCGAATGTGCTTGGTGAAACTAGCTATGACTGCACCTTCATCACCTTTATGGAAATTAAGCCCCTCTTGGAAACCCGTCGGTGGTTTAGGCAATGCTTTGACATCGTTGCCTAGAGGATTTTTGCAAGACTTTGGTTACGTAGTATCAGGAACGGCGCGTGCTCGCGCTGAAGCGGGATGCTCTCGCACTGCGTTATCTTTGCTATCAGTATTAGAAGGTGAAGTTCGAAACCAACTGGGTGGAGGGACCGATACAACTTTATATAGACTTTGTCGCCAGTTATCCTGGGAAGTTTTATTGTTGCAAGTAAATGTAATGCTTAGCGAATGGCCGCACCATCGCATCAATTTGAGTGGACTCGCGAATAAATGCAAAGCTTGTATAGCTGCGGCGAACTCCGGTGATGGAATCGTGCCAAGACCACAGGTATATCCCAATTTCGTTATGTAATATGCATTGAAAGTAGGTAAAGACAGATTACTTCGACTTAGCTCTACTCTGTAGAGTCAGTTTGGTAACTAGAGCTTTTCGGCTTTCAGCAAATAGAATGCAAGAGACATTTTACTTGAAGAATTTTACTTTTGAAGAAGAAAAAATTTTACTTTCCAACCGAATTTTCAAACATGTTTTGCAGTTTTCTATGGCGTCTATCTTATAAATGTTTATATAATAAAGAAGTATTAGTGTCAATAAATCATTTTCTTCTCTAGATAATGATGAATGAAGTATTTAAATAACAGAAATAATTATTACAGGTAATAGAAGCATGCTGGATTTGTTTAGTGAACGCTTGCGAGTGGGAGGGCGTGGTTCCGACAACCGGTCCAGGCGAGATAGCCGCCGCTCTATGTGCCGCTTGCTTTGAACTACAGAGGGGAAAAGCCACCAGAAAATTCCCTAGGCCTCTATGGGATATTGGTATGGCATCAAATACTATGCAATTAAACGTAACATTTTACAACGTCCTTTGTATAACTGTTACTATGATCTAGGCTTGTTCAAAGATTTTTTGCAAATGTTGATAAATACGTACATACATATAAATAAAGAATCTGGTAAATGTGTAAGAAAACTGGGTAATATACTCTAAAGGAAGGATTCATATTGTGCATAATTTTCAATAGGACGCCTTCAATTTTATTAAAAAATTAATAGAAGGCGCTATATAGATGCTTTATTTATTGTTGTTATTTGAACTATCATGAAAAGTAGTCAATTTACAAAGTGTTAAGAGCTCTTGATTGACTCGTATTAAATGTTTGTTTCAGCTTTATCAATATATAACAATGGCTCCAGTGGTCCTGTAAAGCGTAATGCCGGCGGTGTACCGTCACACTCTCGAGACGTTCCAAACGCAACCACAGATGCAAGGAACGCTTTCAACGCATTCTTGGCTACACTCCGCGAGCCACTAGCTATCAGTGTGATGTTCTCCCTTCTTGCTAAAATTCACAACCTTCTAATAGATGACAGTTCCCTAGAACTCGTGGTCGAGTACACGTCACTGTGGCCATCAACTATATCGAATGTTAACAATTACAGTAGCAACTTAAAATATATTCTTGAATCTGTGACGGATCTGTTGGAACGAAGTTTGAAGTTGTATCCATATAATACATCATGGTGAGTACCTATTCAGTAGGGTATGCTGAAAGTTATAAAAATTCAAGATTAGCGACTCATAGTATATTTTAGTTGAAGGTATTTATTTTAAAATTATTACCAAGTTCACTGATCGCCGGAAACGAGTATAGTAATATTATCAATGCACATGAATGTACTGGGATGAAACTCCCGTATTTCATACGAGGATCCTCGTACGGTCGGCATGCCAGTTTACGGGTGTGGTACGCGGTCGCAGGCTGCGGCTGTACGGCGACGTGGAGGCGACGGGCGGGCGGTGGGGCGCGGCGCTGCGGCGGTACCTGTGCGCGCTGGCGGCGGGCTCGTGGCACTTCGCGAAGCGCGCGCCCGACGAGGGCGGCGTGGCGCGCCGCGCCGCACGCTGCTGCCAGGCGCTGGCCGCGCCCACGCAGGCCGCCGCGCTCGCGCAGCTACCCGACGAGCCCGACTACGCCGCCGCCTTTAAGTGCCTCGCGGAAAAGGTATGCTCGCCGTGCAAAACTCGACACTATACGTTCTTCTGTACTGACACTAGTACGGAAAAGTGGACAAGGTATAAAAAAAGGTGCATTACCTGTGCTAAGACCGGGAAGATCGCTAGTTAAAATATAAAAAGGCCTACTCACCTTTTGTAAAATTGACTGAGTTATTAGGTATTGTAATTTCAGCCTTGTATCGACTCGATTTCTTGATTTTAGTCTGATGACACCGCGTCAGACTAAAATTATACCTCAAGAGTTTGTTTTCAGCCGCTCCTTAAGTCACGAGTATTGAGTACCCTTTGTACTTGTCTCCATTTTTTGCTAGGTGGAGCTACAAAGTCCAAGGGTAGTTATTAACCAACAGCATTAGAATAGTTCGAAAAACAAACCCTCCGTTAAGTTATTATTAATTAATACTTAGTCTTAGAACGCATTGACGTTCTTCTACCTAACTTAGTAAAATATGTACTTAAAAATTCGTATTCGCACTAGATGACTATATAATATTTGAATGAGCTTTTAATTATTTGTGTAAATTTTCAGACGGGCACCGCAGCGGACGCTATGGACGCGTACTACGGATGCCTGTGGGACGGCACGTTGCTGGAGGTGTGCGTGGCGCTGCACGCGCGGCGCGGAGAAGGCGGGAGACGCGCGCGGGCCGTGGCCGCCGCCGGCGCGCTCGAACTCAACGCCAACAACAGCGAAGACATACAGCGCGAAGCCGCCGCCACGCGCCGCGCACGCCTTCTACGGGCGCTCACCAACCAGTACGTCGCCTGAACCGGTAGAATATACCAATCGAAGCCGTGCAAGTTTTTTGCGAGCGATTACCAACTAGTACGTCGGCTGAACCTGTACGGTATAAAAAGCGAATCCGCGCAATTCTTTAACGAGTACTCATTAACCAGTACGTCGCCTGAACCTGTACAACTTACCGATCTAAAGGTGCCCGTGTACTAGGTAGCGCACCGCATGAACATGGTCGCTACTACAGACAACATATGACGCAAAACCGTGCAATATGCCAATGCGGCCGCTTATTGCTCACTATGTCACGTGAATATGGACATCACCGCAGTTGATATGAGCCTGAGGATGCTACACTAATGTTCTACCGGTGTTCACTAACATAATCATGAAAGACATGAAGCTTCCCACAGTAAAAAGATTCAATGGTAATCTGAGAATTTTGGTGGCACAGAGCCTTAATAACGGCTACATTTAGCAGTAAGCTGTCGCAATGTTCCTAAAAGCTTTTCACGAAGCTGTAATAATAGGAAATATATATAATCCGAATCAAACCATTTGAGGGCGCTTAAAATTATTATTATTATTATTATAACACTTTATTGCACCAACATATAAAGGACATGAACGAATTAAAAACAAAAAAAAAAACTAAGTACAAAAGGCGGTCTTATCGCTAATGCAATCTCTTACAGACAACCTTTGGAAAGAGAGTATTTACAAAAAAAAAAATAGAGTAATTGGCGCATTAGTGGAAACATAAAAATTGTATACACTTATGTAAACAAAATAAAATATAGTACATACACAAATTTACATATATATACATACATACGAATACACAATAATATAATATAATAATATAGTATACATCAAATAATTATACATAATCAAATATTACACATATAAACTCTATATGTATCAGACATAATTTTTTTAATATATAAATATGATCATTATTATTGTAAATATCTTTACAGAAATAAGCTTTCAGATATAAATGTAATTATATGTTGTCCCAATAGTATATTTCTCCGATACTGTATATTTATCAGTATTGCATATATACAACTAATATAGTAAATACTTTTATGCGTTACTTTGTTTTTTTTTTTACTGTACATTACCATGGTCATACACAGATGTGACAAGCAAGTCATATATTCTCTATATATAGAATTATAAGATTTTATATTGTCGCGTTTATAGATTTTCTGCATTTAGATGTTTCTTTACTGATTACACAATATTCATAGCATAAGCATATAATCATGTATTGTAGAGGGGTTCCTACATTAGAATGGAAATTAACTTGGCTAGATTGTCGAATTGCAAAAATAAATTAAGTTAGAACTTAGTGCATGTTATTATATCCATGAAAAACACAAAACAATAAAATAAAAAAAATTGATTACATTAATACAAGTTTATTTATTCCTTGCAATAAATTAAAATACCTGTATAAAATTTTTTAGAACGCATATGAAATTGTGGTCTCGGGTATAGTGAATGATATTTTTTTATAATTAAACTAGATATTTGCAGAAATGTTGGCTAAACATAAGATGTCACTTTAACAATGACGAGTCTTTGTTTACATTTTTGGTCTCGAAATTTCATTTCCAACTATAGTAGAGTAGCATATTATTTTTTTCATAACGACAATAGCTTCGATAAATGTCTTTAATGTAATTAAAGGAATTGAATATTGATTACAATTAAATGTGTATAAGATTGTATTGTGCGCTTTTCCTTACACAACTAGACATCTTCATAGAAAAATTAACAGTAAGGTACATTACCTGAATAACTTATTACATACATTGACATGTCGTCATAGTGACATTTTTACATTTTTTGATACTAATAGTTTTGTTAGTGATTTTTATTTGACAAAAGATGCAATGTATCTTTCTAAATCATCTAAAAATAAATAAGCCACTTTAGTGGCTTATAATATTGACTACATGAACAGTTTACATGGTAAACTTAAACATAAAAATACTGACATAACAAATAATTCTATTAATATTTGTGACATAAGTACTATGACTGCAGATTTAAACTGCTCACAAAGACAAAGGGAAAGCAATCAGAATTAATAATTGTTCATCAGAACATACAAAGTTTTCCCGACAGCGAGTTAATTGTACAATTATTTTTAGAAAAGTATAATATTGATATTGTCTGTTTTACAGAACATTGGCTTAAAGAGAGCAATATGATGTTCAATTTAAATTAATATAACGTTGTCAGCTGCTTCAATAGAAAGTCAGTTAACAGAGGTGGGTCTATCATAATTGCAAGAAATAATATTAAAGTAAAGGAACTTGCTGACATTGTTAGACTTTCTATTGAGTGTTGTATAGAACTAGAAAATTATATCCTTATATGTGTGTACAGGCCTCCTAATAGTGATTACAATGTTTTTGAATAGGTGATGGAGGATATATTAAAAAAGTATCTAAGTTTTTTTTTTCGGACTACTCTATTGCTGTTGGCTGTAGCTGGCCTCTACAGCTTCACCGGACGTTATGGGGCGAGTGCAGATGGCACTCCAAACCCGCGGAAGGACTTATGGAGCGGCTGAAGGCCAACTCCTGCCCTACGAATACGACTTTAGTCTGAGGGCACCACTAGGGGTTCGAACCTCGGCTCAGACCGTCGTAATTTCGATCCCCGTTTGAATTGGACGGGGGATCGATCGGAGGGGTATTTAATAGTATTAAAAAAAATATTGTATGTGGAGATTTTAACGTTGATATTTTTTGTAACACACCCACATGTACAAAAATTATTAGTTTATTTCAGTCGTTTGATTTAAGTCATGTCTTTCATGAACCCACTCGTGTAACTGCCACGTCTGCTACTTGTCTTGACAATGTTTTTTCTAACTGCGAGTATACAGAAAAAATCATAATAAATAAACTTCCTTCAGACCACTGTGGTCAAGTTGTTAAGTTTAGCACTCAAATCAATAAAGTCGACAATAATAAAAAATCAAAAAGACATTTATCGAAGCTATTGTCGTTATGAAAAAAATAATATGCTACTCTACTATAGTTGGAAAAAGTCAAAAATAATAAAAAATCAAAAAGACAAATAAATGTTTACAATATTAATAAATACAAAAGCGCGATTAAAAATAAATTGGATTTGCCATTACACTATTTTTAATAAATGTATTGACAATGGCGTTTTTCCACAATTAATGAAATTTAGCAAATTAATCCCATTATTTAAAACAGGAGATAAATTTAAGCCAGGGAACTATAGACCTACATCTATTTTGTCAGTTCTAAGTAAGGTGTTTGAAAAGATAATGTTAAATCAAATATTACAACATTTCAGGGATAACGGACTGTTTCACAGTCAGCAATATGGTTTCACCGCCGGCAAGTCTACCACTGACGCAGGTGTAGCGCTAATAACACATATTTTCGAATCATGGGAGAAGTCACAGGATGCACTCGGAGTTTTTTGTGACCTATCAAAGGCATTTGATTGCGTGGATCATAAAACGCTTTTGTACAAGCTCGAACATTATGGTATAAGAGATAATGATCTAAAATTAATGAAAACTTATTTAGAGGATAGGGTCCAAACTGTAGATATTGACGGTGTAAAATCTAAGGGAGCTAATATTAAGATGGGCGTTCCACAAGGGTCAATCTTAGGCCCCTTTCTCTTTTTAATTTACATAAATGACCTTCCCTGTATGGTAGAGAAAATTACAGATATAGTGCTGTTTGCGGATGTAATTTCGTTAGTGTTTAAAATTGGACGTCAAAGTAATCAATTAGACGATGTAAATTATACTATGTCTGCTATATAAAATTGGTTTACATGTAATAAATAACCTATTATTAAATTCCAGCAAAACAAAGTGTATAAAAGTTACACTTCCTAATGTAAGACTAATAAAAACACAATTATTGCTTAATGACGAAATAGTAAATTTTATTAATGATACAGTTTTTTTTTCTTGATTTAATTATTTTAGAAATATGAAAGCGTAGTGGTTTTTGTATTGATTGCCGCATGCATTCTTATGTAAAATGTGAATACTATAACTATCAGATGGCAATTGTAAGTAGCTTTGACGTGGTCAAGTGTTTTGAGTAGTCATGCTCACAAAAAGTCCAGACTTGTGGCGGCGTGGTGGGCCGGGTCATTGGGCTCCCTAAAATATGGTCGAGCGCAGTGATGGCTGGTTCATCCGTCATACTCGTGAACGGGTGCTGCTTGTAGGGACTGGTCTGCTCTAATCACTATGACAGATTTCCTCTTATTAATTGTTTAACCAATTAGTTATGTATTCAATATTTTTTTCTATTTGAGTATTTAATTGAATTAGTGCTAATTGGTGGTTTGTATTCACACAGTTAAACTTAACAATGTAAAGTAATAATAAAAAGATTTAAAAGAGCAACAAGCAAGTTTCTTGCGATGAGACAGCTTTCCGAATGAGCGGTAGATTAAAAAAATGTAATGACTATTCAAAAGTGCTTCAATATAAGTTTTTTTGAATAAATGATTTCTATTCTATTCTAATGGTTATAATCAAACTTTATAGTCCATAGTTTGGTGTTGTGTTGCAGGTAACAGATAAATAAAAAAAATTAACATTCGTTTTGCGATATCAAATCTCATATATCTATATGAAATTGTACCTATACCTACCTACTTCAGTAGCATGAATGTGAATTTCAATTAAATTATTTTTTGACTACCGATTTTCATTATTCACTTTGCAATGAGGTTTACTTCCGTGTAAATTTTATCATAAGGTATTGTTGCGTGATTTTTTTTCCAAAAAATATGGAAGTTCAATATTTGATTCTAATATAATTAACTTAGTTAATAGGCATTAAATGAATACTATAAGGTAGTTAAATTGCTTTATTTTATTTTAGTAATATAGAAAAATACAGTCAAGAGAGAATGTCAATGTAGATAGATAAAAAAATTAGTTTCTGTAAATCTTAATATCTATAAGTAACAAAACAATATATTTTATGTTTATAAACTATTTTAATATCGGATTAACATTGATATACTTATCTAGAAATAGAAATATACTAGATATATAGTCATGAAAGTCAAGATACCTGAGGAGACGCTACTTGTACCTTAGGTACATATTAACAAAAAATAAATGCATAAATTTGAACTTCAGTCGATAATTGAGGTAAAATACTTAACAGGTTTAAATGGCACATGATTATTATATGTATTAATTATATTACCTGTTTGTATTATTACAAATATAATGTATAATTTCTTAACATATAGGTTCGTAATTATATATTATATTGATATGTTAATTGTAGATTTTACACAAAAATAACACATGCACTTCATAATAAGGTAGATTCAGGCACGAATGGGCATAAAAACAAACATTTAAAATAGTATTACCTAAGCAAATTATTCTTTGTCAATTTTAGATAGTTGACTTATTTCTATCATTAATAGATATAGCAATATTTTGTATTACATATATATTATTGGTATAGTCGTCTTCATTTATGCTGGAGGCAAAAAAAAACAGGGAAAAACTTGAGTCTAAAAATAACGAATATCCCCATTAGCGCTACCACCAATTTTTCAACCGGCAATAATCACTCGGTTATTGTTCAATCATCCAACATCCACTTGTAGGCGTTGTGCTTGTTATATCTAGTAAATAAAATCTTCGTAATTACCAGGTAGATTTTAGTATTTAAGTCTGTTGCTAAGACGAGCTTGAAACTTAAAAGATATAATCGCTTAATTAAAACATTCTAAATTATATGGCCTTTGAGAATTTCAGATACCTCCATACAAACAGAGTTACATTAGTTCAGGTATGCCAATCGTACTAGGGATACTGATACCAGTAGGTACGAGGTTTTTGGCCTCCAGTACAAGGACCTTTACATCCTCGTACAAGTTTATGCGAAATTTTACCTACCTAAAATCTGTCAAATTAGGTACAATGGCGGGTAGGGAGCCAAAGTAAGTAAATATAGTATAATATGTAGATTCTTGTTCTTGGTATCTTCGTAGGAGGCTTTGGCAATCCTGCATCAGTTGTATTATCAAATTGTACACATATATGCTGCCACAATAGTGTATTGCTGAAGCTATAGATACAATGGACTTCTAAATAATAATTGAATCAACTTATGTGTACAAGTAGATCATACAACGACAAATTGCGAATATGCAAGGGCATAATAATTAAATTTAAAAACATTATTGGAACACCAAAGTATATGGTCAATATGTATCAACTTACATACTTACACATTAAAAATAATTTTATTATTTTAATCAAATAATACAAAGTAATTCGTGTAATGCATTATAATAGATTCGTTCTAGCGAATATTTACTTCTCGTACGTGCCGAGATATTTGTGGCAATTAGGACAATAGTGATCAGTATTTTTCGCCGATTCAGATAAATACGGTATGCAACAACAGCAGCTGTAAAACAAAACCAAAGATTAATATATAAAATTTTATGTTAGGCCTTGAAGAAAATGGGATCCAATGCTTAGTGACCCAAAGAAAGAAGTATACCTACATGGTTACGAGTAAAAGGTATATTGAGGCGAAAACCAAATAAAATAGGTATCTATACTCATGGAACCAAATCACTTTCACCAGGAAACAATATTAAAAATAGACAATAATTTCAAAAACTTTCATAAGTTTACTAGTGAAAAAATATATTTTTATTCCATTTTGTCTATTAAAGTGATTTAGTACCTGGCTTACTAACGAATAACGAAAATATAGACACTTAGAATTATAACTATCCATCCAAATGCATAAAGCCTGCAAAAGCGTCGTTCTATTTCCGGGAAGGTTGTCTCTGTTACACTGGTTTTATTGTCTAAGTAAAAACAAGTAAGTACATAAAATATTAGTTACTATATGTTAGAGCAGCTTACTTAATCTGAAAACTATACTTCTAGTCCTTCACAATGATAAGTAAGCATTCTTCCGCTGTTAAAAGTATTATAAAAAAATTCCCAACTTACCATGCAATACAGCAGAGGGCAGCAGATATATGAGTACGCGTAGTGACAGTGTACCTCACTGAGGTTTTTATTGACGCGTGGCAGAATTGACACACAGTATAGCTGTTGTCAGGTCCCACTAAAGTCGGCACCTTGAATTATATGAAACATGAATAGGATTGTGCAGTTTGCCAATGAAATATATAGTTAGGAAGTAACAATAAAAATAATATAAATTCCTTCAGAAGCGTATTAGAGCAAGAGCCCACGACGGCCAGATATACGTCTTATTAGTAAACGTGAAAGTTCTTGTATGTGTGTCCCCAATACAGGTAAGAACGATCCCCAAACATGAAACCTGGATCATGGTTCCTTTGGCAGGTAACAGGTAACAAAGGTGTAAAAAATTTCATATCAAATTCGTTATTTTAAGAAACTCCATATTTTTATATATTGTTCGTAGCATTATTATAATTTGCGCTGCTCATTGCCAGACACTTAGTGTGGTTCAAACCCCCCGCCGGACCCCCCTAAACTATACTATTTTATAAATAAACTTACGTTATTTTAATAAAGCTGAATTTTATATATATTATTGAGAGAACTATTAAACTGAGTTTCCTAAATTGCCAGACAATTTTCTTGGTTCTTCATCCTACCAGACTCATTGAAACCGTATATTAGATAACAACGGTGTATACAATTTCATACCAAATTCGTTAGTTTATGAAACTAACTTTTTTTATATATTGCTCGTAACATTGATATGAAAATTTTTACACCTTTGTTACCTGTTACCTCCCAAAGGAACCACGGTCCAGGATTCATGTTTGGGGATCGTTCTTACCTGTGTTGGGGACACACATACAAGAACTTTCACGTTTACTAATAAGACGTATGTCTGGCCGTCGTGGGCTCTTGGGCTATATTGGACTACCGCAAAATAATATCTAAATCGATAAAATATATTCTCTATAACCATTATCTAATATTAGTAAATACCACGGGCAGTCAAATTTTGTTTGAGGCATTAATTTGAAAAAATCATGTTATCCATTTTCCCATGTAGAGTTCCAGGAATTCCATAGATTCCATACATCAAGAGAGAGAGAGTAGAGTAATTACCAAGGTACTCTTTGTAAAAAGACATATGCGTGAGTACTTCAGTCTCACCTATTTCAGCCGACAAGCAGCTTGCTTTGTACGCTTAAGATGTGTTTCAATTGAAGGGTGGGGCAGTAAAATGATAGGATAAAAGGCATTACATAGATCAGTTGGGTAGGGTCACATGATAACCTGATTTCCTTCGTGCTGTTCATGTATATAGGCGACGGTGACCATTAGTAGGACCGTCAGCATGTTTGCCATTTCAATTATGTAAAAAAATAATAAGTTCAGACAACAACACTTTGGCTCGGTTAGATGACAGATTACATGATTATATTGTAGTACAAAAGGTGTTTGTGCTTACCGGTAGTGGGTTAGGAGAAGGTTGGCTTGTCAATAAAACAGGAGCAGAATTATCCATCTTCTTTGTAATCTAAGTAATAAAATATGATTGACTTATTACCTAATATTTCAAAATAATACATTGAAAAACTATGCAACCAATTAACAACCAATATATAGATACATATATTTTCTCTCGAACTGAAGCAGTTGGTAGGATTCATCAATTAGGTGAAATCACACATATGATAAAACAATAAGAATAATAACAATAAAACAAGGAAGTATGTTAACTACAAACTAATGTACAAGCTCGTGTGATGTATATGAGACTGTATATGATGTAGGTATATGGACTTAACGCTGTATACTAAAACACCTTTCCAATAACAAATTAAAACTACATTATTTATTGTAATTAATTAATTAAATGTGTATGTTACTTAAAATTTCTGTTTGCTGACAAAATAAAAATACAATCTATCACTACTTATATTTATACCTAGTAAAGCAATTTTTTAAAAGATTGAAATAGGTGAGACAGAAGTACAAAATGTCTCCCTCAGTACGTCGTAGTAAACAATAAATTATTTACCTGAGCTGAAGGATATACTTGAGGATATAAGGGTACCGCGTTGTCATCCATTTCTTTACTTTTCCTTTGAAAAAAAAAAAACATCTAAATCATAATTATGTTGAACAGATATTTTCCTGCTGCAAATAGCACCATATACCTATTTTAAGTTAGAACTCTAGCAATACATGAAAACATGCTGGCGTAGTTTTTGCGAGATACGTGACATACATACAACAAACTTATAATACTAATAGAATAATCAAAGTTTATATATGTACCTATATCTCTGTCTATATCTAACCGTATTGTGTATAAGCTCAAAGTGTCCCGCGTCTTTCTTTCTGTTCACGATAATCACAAAAACTACTAAACTAATTTTCTTTTTGTCTTCAATCATCAGTCCCTAGTTGCATACAAAACAATTGGTGATCTTGCTTATAATGAGAGGTCATATACACCAAAGCAGTTTATCGTGTTTAAAATAATAACTGTTAGTTATTACATACATCTGAGTTGTTCTATTTAAGTACAGATTATATCTATCTTTTACGACACCATTCTAAGAGATATTTTTCTCTGCTACAAAAGTTAATCAATCATGTAACGAGAATCTTTAAAATTATGTCAAATATTTGAAAAATGAAATACATAAATTGATTTTTTGTGATGCGGCGCCATATGATTTGGTTAGAATTATTACGATAGCCATCTGGGAGTATTCATCGCAAACGCTGTACAAACCGTTTGAGATATAACAAAAAATACCTATATGACGGGATTACGAACTCGCTTGCCTATACGCTGGATTCGCTGTAGCTATAGAAAAATGTACATATGTTTCCTCTACCTACTCGTGTGAAGTCCGGGCCTGTTGCTGCTAAACTATAATTATATATGCATATTGCACATACCTACACTATACCTATATATACACACATCTTAACTCCGATCATATAAATAATTTAAACTCGTTTCTAATTTTATGTTAATTATTGAATCTATTTAAATGTGTAGAAACATAACAGTTTGTAGTGAGGTTCGTACAATAATAATGGATAAGGTTATAATGTTAGATACTTCACATGTCTAAGATTACTATTATGGTTTGGGTTTATAACATTTTCTGGTATTTACAAGTTCCAATTAAGTATTAAATATGTATTTGATATCCACGAATATAAAAACAATAATGTCATTTCATTGTGTTCATAAGAAAGTTTATTCAAAAATGAACTTTAATTTTTTTTTTTTGCCCACTTACATTATATTAAAACAACATTGACTACATAACAATTAGGTACCTACGTATGGTAAAGTAGAGAGTAATTTTTCCACTTTCAGTGAGGGATTTAAAAAAGCTGTTAAAGTACCTATACCTATGTAGATCCTTTAATTCAGTAGCAAAGAATCACCTATACAAACCCGAATTGTATATCTATACATATAAATAAAATTGAAATGTCTGTTTGGAATATTGAGTTTACCGTTTTATAATATATGAATAGAAAATGTACCGTACATACACAAAAATAAGATTTTTTGTCTGTCTGTCTGTTTGTTCCGGCTAATCTCAGAAAGAGCTGGACCGATTTTGACGGGACTTTTATTGGCAGGTAGCTGATATAATAGGGAGTAACTTAGGTTACTTTTATTTTAGAAACTGAAAGTTAAATTCCACGCGGACGAAGTCGCGGGAACAGCTAGTTGAAAATAAAAATGCAGTTTCCTGCTTGACTTTTGTTTATAATGTACCGAAATATGATTTGTTCGTCCATGCACATTGTAATTTTGCTGATACGTCTCACATGTAACGTTGCCAGACGTCTCTTATTTCACGGGACGTCCCATATTTCTTACGTAAATTTCAATATATAATTAAATTCTGTTGATACAATAAAATCGAACTGCTGATATTTTTAAAATTATATGTTTATTTATAAAATAAATATGTACCTATAATTTTAAGTCTAATTAAGTAAAACCAAAAACATAACAAAAAGTACTGTTTCTTTGTTCGAGATAGAAAGTTTCCCGTATTTTTTTAAATACTTGAGTTTTTTGAGGTTGACCTCCACGCGGTTTCCCATAGAAACCAACGTGACAAATTCCTGGTGAATTTGTTACGATGGGCCTGACCTCATGCTCATCTTATCCTCCTCCTCTTTGGCCCCGCCAGCATAAACCATTAGCGCAGGCGAGTGTACTATTCCACAATCAGCCGTTTAAAAAAATGTATGCCAGAGATATATATGTAAGCTTAATATGAATGGCACAATAATATATGTCTCAAATTGTAGACAGGTAAGCTACAAAAAACGTATCCGCATTGGAAAAACACAATACTTGGTAATACTATTCCAGGTATCTAACGTCTATTAATATTATTTAGGCAACACCCGACTTTATACATTCCTAGAAACTTAAATGTAAATAAAATACACCAACATATATAGCTTACCTGTTGCGAAGAAGAAAGAATTTAAAGGCACTCAAAACAAACGCCGCGATAAAATCGCTTGTTTTACACTCACAATATACCTAGTTAAAGTAGAAATCGACGTACTCGTATTGCAAGGTCAACCGCCGAGCATGGAATAAAATATTGTGTTATACTTATAGCAGCGGGGAAACATCGGATATGGGAGGGGAATCTCGACTCGAATTTAAATGGAGCTTGAAGTAACGCTACAGAAGCAGGCTGTGTGGGCTGTGATGCCTGCTGGGGTGAAATTCCCCCATTTTGAGGGAAACTTTTAGAAATCAAGCAATGTCTCTAAAATTGCGTCAATTCTTATCCATAAAGATGTAAAAGTGTAATGTGTCTATCTGTCTGTTAGTAAGTAAATAAGTATGTCGTATTACGAACCGATGTAAATAAATTAAGCAACAGTGATATTAGTAGACAGCGCTGTAATATGCCTTTTCTCAGTAGCCATTTTTATTACTAAACCTAACAATTACATTCTTATTTGATATTTAATACTTATTCATTACAATTTATTATACATTAAAAATCACTTCATTTTTATTCATAATATTTATAATTTAAAAAATCGTCTGTGAGTAAAAACAGTGCACTAACAGCCATTTGGTCAATTTATTTTTAAAATGTTGTCCAGTCAATTCTTTTAAATCTATTTGTTAAATTCTAACTACAAAATGCCTAAACGAATCTTAATAAAGTTTATAATTATGATAAATTATTTAAGTAACAACTAATAAAACATCAAATTTAAAGTTATACCACTCGTTTCGTGGCGATAGCGTTATAAAAACAACATGAATTTCAAATCAAAGTGAGAGTCTGAATGATATATCAAGAATAATACCGATAATTTATTACCTAGGATAAAATTTTATTTATTTTTGCTGTTATTGTTACAATTTCATATTTAACTTTAAGGGAATTTTTACTACCGTTTGGGAAAAACCTTGATGTAATCTGGCAATGCAGAACTTGAAAAACACAAGCTTCTTGGCGGGCTTTTCAAGTAAACAGCCGCGAAGGGAAAATATACAAAAAAATATTTATATTTATTGTTAATTCCACTGTAAATAGTATACTTTTACTTATTAGAGTTATTACGTCATATATAGTTATTGAATACCTATCCTAGTATCATACCTTAGGGAGGCGGCCATATCCCGCATCGTGGACGAAAAAGTGAGTTGTCCTTATGGGATCCTAAGTATCGCGACTAATTCATCAGAAACTTATAACGATGGTTTCTATGGGAAACCGTGTGGACTCAACTGGCATGGTACATTGCTAGCATTAGGATCATTAGTACACATTACTAACAATAAACTTCCCCTGCGTGTTCCCATTAATGAGTATGGCTATTTCTTTATTATTATGTAACGTAATGATTTCTTTGTGCTTTCTGGTTAAACAGGCATATTTAAAGAGAGTCACGTAACAATGAAACTACAAACTCAAATTGGAATAATAATATATATCACATTCCTCAATCTTACTGTACAACTAAATTAGACTACAGACAAGCACTTATAATATATTATAAGAATAATTATGTATATATTTTAAATAAATTCACAAAACGCCAAAGAGTACATTAGGCGTTGGAGTCCCACTCAATGAGATAGGCGGGAGGTGCGGCGGGCGCTAGGCGTCGAGCGAGTACACGAAACGTCTGTCCTGCTCGGAAGTACGACTGCACGCTGGACTTAAGCGCCGACAACTGTTGCGCATCCACCTCCGCGGCCACGTTGTTCGTTTTATGTGGACTCAGTTGCAGGCTTTTCACACTATTATTATTACTAGTACTATTATTAGTATTCCGCCGCGCATTCTCATAGTAGTTTTTCTCCTGTCTCTGTCTCAGTCTTCTACCGTGAAATTTCACGTTGTTGTTATGTGCGCTCTGTTGTCCGACTACTGCATTCTCTGTTTGAGTTGGGGCTGCTTTGTTCGTTTCATCAGGCAGAGGACATGATTTATTTAACTGTAAATACAAATAAAGTTATGAACATAAATGAATGTAGAACATAATTGTAAAGTTAATAAGGAATATTGCAATTACTGACAAAACATGCCTCTTTTGAGTTGTGACATTTACAACAACAGTTACAAAATATGTTCCTTCTAGATAAAAACGTCAATCATCTACAAACCTATTTCAGCTATCATAATTTGAAATGAAGGTGAGTAAACAATTCTTAAACTGAGTTTGTGCTAATATGTAGGCTGTTTTTCTATAACAATAATAATTAAATAAGAAAAGTAAATTCTGACATACCTGCATTTGTAAATACTTTCGTGGTCTTCTATACTTTCTCCTTTTAACCTCCCCATTAGGACCTATTATTATATCCTTCTCACTTAATTTTCGTTTTAGCGGTCTTATCATAGGTCCCATTAATGGATTTAATTGAACAGGTAGAGAAAATCTAGCATGAAAATGATTTTGTTTTCCATTATGTTTACTTTGTTTTTTATAAATATTAGCATTGTTCATTGCTTTTGTGGTATTTTGCATTAAAAATGGATTATTTTTACCCTGAAAATCTTTTAATGGTGGAATTATGGCATCAAGTGTACCTCTACTAGATGTTTCATCACCTGAGGACTCTATATCATGGCTAAAGTTACTGCTATACGGAATTATACTGTCCATGTGCTGCAGTGACATTATTTTGGAATGTTCAATAATGTTCTTGGTGGATAACTTAGATATTTCTAAGTTCATTGTTGCTATTCTAGAGGAGTGTGTATTTATTACATTGATGCTACTAGGTTTACTTTTGTTTATATCGATAGAGTCTGTATTCTCTTTGGAACTATTATCTAACTTCACAGAGCACGGAAGTAATGATGTATTGATAGATGGCACTAAAGAGTTTTCACAACTTGACTTCGCTTCATTAGTCTCAATTTCGTTTAGCTCAGATACTTTGTCTAAATTATCGTCTTTGGCATCAGATTTTCTAGCGGTAGAAGTACAAACTGTAGGGGAGCGCTGTTCTGTATCAATAGGTTTTATAGATTCATAGGAACTAGTGGAATCATTTTCGGAATTAGAATTAGAGTTGAGATTTTCATGAAAACGTTTCCCCATCATTAAATTTAGCCAGTGGCCATCCACTGGTACTATCATATGTTGGTTATGAGTTTTATAGGAACTTTTTTCACTGTTGCTACTTGAAGGTTGTGAACTGAAAAATAAAAAAATATAAAATGTTATCTTTTTGTCACATTTGTAGACACGAATGTGAGCCAATATTGTGTGGACAGAAGACCACACTATATTGGCTCACTTTTTTTTAATGTTGTATACTGAAACTTGTACTATCCACTACCGACCCTGTCATGAAATAATGTTAACCCCTATTTACCCCTTGGAATTTTTATCGTCTTATTAGAGAAAACTAGTCTCAGAAATCGAAGGACCATTGCAAATTCGATTTTCGGTTACGTTGTGATTTATTTTCCTTGAACTCTTAAAAAAGATGTTTCAACTCTATTTACTCATTCAAATGCCATTTTCCATACATCTGAATAATAAAATTGTATTGTTTTGTAATGAAGTGTAAATTACCTGTCATCTATAAATGGTTGAGTTTGTGGCGACGGCGCTCTTGGTAAGAAGCGAAGTCTGGGTGCATATTCTTTCACTAAATCATCAGTCAACGGTTCACCTTTCTTTATCTGTTAATTTAAAACACAATAAATAACAGCGTCTTCTAATTCCGAACTTAGCAGTTTCTAATATGGCTCGCTATCGTATTGCTAAATACTTGGTGATACTAAATGCACACAGAAGGTGTAAAATAATTTGAATTTTTTGGTATAATGATTTCACCAAGGGAGATTATACAAAATTCTACCGCCTACCAATTTGGTATGTAAGCTGTTATTTTCTTGGTGAGATCCAGCAGTGACATTACAGAGTATGCAAGCTTGAGTCGTCTTTAGGAATGGCAATACATAAAGGGCATCACAAATTAATTTTGTTATATTCATGGTGCATTATATATAGAGAAATGCTGCTATTTTCTATCAAAAAGGTAGACCTTTTCCCTATTGAAGTTTTATAATTTAATAAATTCTTATAAAACTTATCATTATTTACAAACATTACGTAAGAATAATAAGTTCGTCAATAAATACCTGTTCTAAAGCTGATAATTGCATTGGCTGAGGCGGTGGGCGTCGAAGGCGTAAACCCCAAATTGTAGCGCGTTTCTTCATCTCACGGCCACATTTGAAACGCTTCCGCGACGATGTTAAAGCTGTAAGAATTTTCTCACGACGCTCGTTCACAGGGGTTCGCCACATCTATTAATGTATATTCCATAAGTATATTAAAACAGCGCTAATAAAATATATATAGAATAATATACAAGAAAATCAATAGATAGTTATGAAGTATACTAAACTAAGCCAGGTAGTATATGTACTTATTAAACCAAGAATAATGAAAACATTAAATTTCTGATAAAATAATAAACACCTGACCACTTCTGAATGAAAGTTATATAAATTGTTTTCAATTTTACTTCTGAGTAAAAATTGTTCGGTTTTATTATTACTGTCACTGATGCTGGTGTTTACTATAATTTACTCACCTTCTCAGGTAACTGCAATGCATGCCAGTTATCCATTATATACGGCATTATAACATTATCTAAGTCGAAGTAATTTGGTGCATTATACGCTGTTAAATTATACAGTGCTAAATGAGCCAAGTCCAACCAACAAAGCTCCAACCGTCGTAAATATTCTATACCACCATTACAATTAGCACAAGCAAATATGTAGAGTCTGAAAAAAAAAAGAAATGTTAAATGCAATAAAAACATAATATAATAATTACCACTTAACTATTTTATTATAATAGCATTTCATATACCCAAATTAATATATGAACATTATTATGACAATATAACAGCTTGTGTAGCTTCATTTCTCAATTTTTGGGACCATAAGTAGAATATAAACAAGTTGACTGCCTGCTGGTGCTGTCGATCTGACAAGTGACATTTATATAACCAGACATAATCATCATAAATGAAACAAGTCTTTTGTTTACACTTGAACCATCAAATCTGATTTGTCAATACTATGCTCCCACATTGGTTATGCTAATACTCTCTTATCTATGATTATGCTAAGAATGTGAAGATAAAGTAATATTTAAATTACGATTATTGTTACTTACTTGTCTCCAGCATATAGGGGATATTGTAAACTCGACACGCATCTTTGGTGGAACCAACGGGAACATCGGCAGCATAACAACATCTGTATAAAAATAATTTATTTATAAATTACTTCTCCTCCTCTTGGTCTTTTTTAACATATAATAAATAGTTGTGGATATATTATACACCTATCTATCCTATACCTAGTAATAAACTATGATGTGCATACTACAAAGGCAAAAATTTAAAACATCCTGACCAATACAAATAGATACACAGATATGAATACAAATAAGTGTATTTTGCGGGAATAAATTCCGCGATCATAGGCAGAGTTATTCCTGACATTTATAAACGTGTGTTTACAGAACTACATAGTCTTTAATACATTTTTTACAAAATAATTTGACCATCACCAATTAATTCTCAGTACAGCCAACTTAGGGAATCTGTAAATTTTGTAAATTTGTTCGTGGCGTCAATCTCGATCTCTGTACACGTACATTTTATAATAGGTATCTACTTAATTTAAAGAATTCGTAGCGAAATCTAAGCATTTAACAAATAACTATTTAATATTAATATACCGAATAATTTAAATAAAATGACTCTTTTAAGGAATTTAAACAGTTCGGTTCTGTTCTCTACTAGAGGGAAACATTCAGTCTGATTATCTGTTGAATACGTGAACACGCGAGTTTTTCCAAATGTAGTATACTCTGATCAGTATAATATAAAATGTTTATTAGCTTAGTTATATATATTTCCTTACCTGTGCAAGCCAGTCACTTTTTTCACCACAATAGCAATGTGTTTCATTCTGGTCTTTTCCTGCTTCTGAAGCTGTTGAAGATGTTGTGGATGCAGTCTGTATAAAACAATAAAGTTGTTTTAGTTGTAAATAGTAGGTAGAAACAATATTTTGTTCATTGGAACACTTTTAGACCCACATCACATGGTGGAGTTAGCTCTTGTTGCTGCCGCCTTTGCTGTCCCCCTTTGAATCTGAACAAATCTGATCGCTTCAATGCTCTGTTTTCTGCTGCAGCTACTCTGTATCTTTGGTCGACGCATCTTTTGCAATTCCACGACGCTCCTAAACAAATGTAAAAAAAACCATTAGACATGTTTAAACTACCAATAAAAGATCCTGTAATCAATTATACTGTAGTTACCATTTATCCACGATTCAACAGGTGGGGAGTGGCACTTGGCATGATATCCACGACCGCACATGTCACATGCAATGATAGCGTTAATGGCGGGACTCGCAGCGGGCCCCTCACGGCGTTTGCACACAACGCACATAATGCGCCCGTCATCCGCTGGCGGTGCAATGAGCAGCTTGAGCGTCGACACCGGCGCCCAAGAGTGTGTTCCATCGCCGAATTTGACGAGGCATCTCGCGACGCCCATTCCAACTTCACAGGAATCATTGTCATTATTGGTGCTCAACTCCACTATAGTTCCTGTAGTCATATATTCTGTTGTTATTTAGAATCATTTATTTTAAAAACAAACAATATTTAAATACTATAAAACTAGTCAATACATTATGGATTGATTGTGGCTTTAAGTTACTTTCGAACAAAGGATGAAGTTTAAATTGAAAATAGTTTCTTGTATAAAACATATTTTTAAAAATACAAAATTTTCTAATCATCCAGTATAAACATAAAGCACTTAATAAATTAATGGTATCATATGGTATAGACCTTTATTATTATACCTATATTACCTTTAGACTTTATGAACAAATTATAATTCATTCATCATCAAGAAATTTGATCTCACATTTATAATGTAAGAAAATTATTTTATTTTTTACGAACCTAAATAATATTTCCCGTCTTTATTAGGTACGAGCACATCATCACCACAATGGAATGGGTTGGCATTGTTTTTCTCCGTGTTGGTTGTTGAGTCTGGCATGGCATTCTGTATTTCTTCTTCTTTTTTCTCATTCTTTTTATTAGCACATGGTGTAATCGTTTTGTCAAGGTCGCTCAGAAGAACATCGAGTAGTGATTGAGTTGAGACCTCTATAGACAATAATATATTTGTTTAAAACTGTTTGCTGCAAAATTTTTATAAGTACTAACATCATAATTGTTAAAATGTGTGTGGCTGTATGTAACCTTTGCAGGACTAAACTTTTAACCTGAGCTTGATAAAACTTGACATGACGATACATTATATCTCAAAGTTGCAGACTGCAACCTGTGTGATATGAAACACAATTCTGTGCAGGAAAGAACATGTCGAAACATATTAACTTGTTTCCCCCTAAACAAGCTAAGGTTTATTGATGCAATATCATATATAGTTCTCACAAAATTTCATTTAATATGACATAAAGCTAATAATAGTAACAATTATCAATTACTTTAATACTTCATAGAATAGTGAATCATACAACTCAAATTGTAACTGAAACTGCCAAATGTTTTGTAATAGTACCATAATAAAATATATTTCCAAAATTGTTAAGTGCACCATCAAGTCAATGATCATTATTGCATGAAATGGATCAAGGACATGGATTGTTTGATTCTAGATTTTAAAGACATTGTGATATATGATTACTAATAATAAATCATCAAGACACTACCACAAAGTTGTTACTATAGAAAAACTACTATTTTATCTGCTATTACTACAATAAGTAATCTGTTTAATACACAGTTGTATTTACAGGATTCCTTCACTTGTACCATCCTACTGCGTTTTGTTCTTCAATTTGTCCTAATGTCCTAATACCCAGTGTCTGTCTAGAGACACTGTGTTATTTGTTAGGAATTACACTTTTTGGCTTCAGTACTGGTTGTCAAATAGTTTGTCTATAAATTATCTCTTCTTTCATTTTACTTCAATCATTTGCCACATTGGCATAGTATTTATGCCATTCTTACTGAATCCAATTTATAGAAGTTCATGCATTTTTTCTAAAAATGACTAATAAAACCAATAAATAGTCTGTCATCAAGTTATTCAAATAAATTATGTAAATAAATACTTTAGGGCAAATTCAAATCTACACCATATGAGTTATGATTGTGTCATCTAACAAATGTATAAATATTATTGGTATCTGTTAGTTGATTTGCTGCTTATATAGCAGCAAATGAATCTCTTAAATCAAATCTCTCAAATAAATATCTTTTGGGCAATCTTTAATATGTTACAAGTTGGGATGTATGTTTGATTGTGACCACAGTGATATAAAATAAATATACTAGGCAAGACTTGACAATATTAGTTTTTATAGTTGTTTAAGTAGATAAGTAGGACTTTTTAACTGAGGTAGGCTTTGTACAAAGTTATTTGCAAGAGTATCTCTTTCTAATGTATTTCAAGCCTGATCTGCCACATTATGATGTATTGTCCGTGGTACTGTTCCTGTATATATGTGATGGTTACCAGTTACCATCAGGTGTGCATCAGTTTGTTTACTATTTGTTTAGTATTAGTAAACTATATTCAACAGATTGCAAGGTAGCAGCAGTTCTAAGTCAATAAAGTATATTTCCCTGTGTATTAGTAATATACTGCATGAATGTATAAGCAATATAAATTAATAAATAGACAGTAATTCTATCATAATTGAAACAGTATTGATAAAGTGGGTTATGAATAATAAAAACCTCAAGCTTACTACTACTCTACAGAAAATATACTGCAATTTATTATTAATATACATATGTATTGAATGAAATTAATTAGTGTATAGTATTATCATATAATTTTATTTATAATTCTATTATTTGGAAATGATCTTTCTATATATAATCTAGTTATGTTTAATCATCCTGTTATGTTTAATTGAGAGCAGGAATCTCACAATTAACAAATACATGAAATCAACATTATGTTGAATAATATGTCATACTTACTTGTAAAGATTAATCCATCAATTTGACAGCAAATTTGACAAAAAATATGCATTTATTTAATTTACAAGACATATTTAAATAAAAAAAAGGAAAAATGCTATTACTGACATGTAGATAACATTAAAAATGAAATATTTATTAGTAGTATGGCATATCACAAGAAGTAACCAGCTATTTATTAATGAAGCCTCTTTTGTAAAATCGTCTAGAAATAATGCTAAAGAGAAAATGTAGATATTGTTTGTTTTGATATAACTTCCATGAGTTGTTCAACTATATGTTGAACCTAGAAGCCTAAAGATATTGATAAGCACATAGTTTTTTAGTAAAAAGTGCTACCAAATACCATCTCCTCGTTCTGCAATTACACAGGTAAAATCTATGTTTCACTGACTGATATAATATCAATTTATACACCTCTGGTGAAAATATAATAATTCGTGCAGGCATCTCCTACAAAACAGTTTTATTTCGCTTACTGTTCCACTCCTTTTTTTATTTTCGTTTATGATTTTTAATATACAGTAATGTAATTGGTATACAAAGTTATTATTGGACAATTTAGCGTTAGTAACATTATGAGAATTTAAATTATTTGTGATAAATGCAGACACGTCGAAGAGTACAAGTAAAGCGATCTTCCTTAATTACATTTTGAAGTTGACTAAAATGCTTTAATAATTTTATATTAAATAATTCATACTTACCAGTATTGATATCCATTTCAAATTCAATCTTGTAACTCATAAATAGCAATGAATAATCATAATTTAAACAGCAAATTTTATTCTATTGTAACAAACATGAAGAGTATTGGCGCTATTGCGGCCATTATTGTAGTCAAACGTTTCAGAATTTTCCCGCGGTAACTAAGTTAATGATATACATGTGGATTAATCATAATGGAAACGAATACATTTTAAATCGTCATTCTGCTTTTATTACATTACACAGTTATTTAAAGCGCTTTTTTAATAAATATAATTTATTTCATATAAATAACCCCCGAAGGTTTCACTGGGATCAGCCCGTTTGTAAGGTGCGTTCCAGATCCGATAATATTCAGAAATTGTGATAACTTTATGTCAGTTGATCGCTCGCCTTCATTACAAATAACTTTATTATAAAATATACAGACGATTATATAATGTCAGTATTTTGATTCATTTACTTTCTATGATGATAAATAAGAAATATTAAAGACAATCTGGATAACATTTACGGTACAAAATATTTTTAGAGAATCTAATGAAAGATTCCCTAATTTTTTAAGCATATTTGAAAAAGAAGTTTTTGGTTAAGCTAATTCAGATTTCAATTTATCATCGTTGTTAGCGTTATAATTTTAATTCATTACTTGAACGCGCTCTTAACTAAAATAAAACTTATGAACCACAATCCGCACTAACTAAACGCATCAAAACTATTGTTTAACTTTTTTTATAAAACGCATCCGGAGTAATTACATACCTACCTATTCGTAAATCATGTTGTAATTTGAAGATTGTTATTTTTTTACTTCAAGCACACATGATCTACTAAAGAGTATAGTGATAATCTAAAAAAACTTGTTCAAATGTCATCAATAATTTTATATTGTAAATATACATATTTCAAGACATTACAGTGGATATTAATATTGTCAAAACGACGTACATGCGATTACTTAGTTAATAGTTATGAGTATTTTATAAGGAAAAATCATATTTACCAACGCCGCCACTTACATTTACAATGAATGCTTTCTATGAAAAGTTATGTTTTAGTGAGAGCTAGGAAGTCACAGTCATGGAAGATTTTTTCAACTATGTAAATGAACTTTGAGTAATGAAAACAATGATTAGCAAGTGTAGCTTCCAATTACATAATTATTATTAATGTTTTCAATTTAACAAGTACCCGGTTACATAGAAATGTCTCTGCTTTCTTGTCTATAGCAAAAAAGTAATATACCAATTCCAAACCTAATAGTTTCCTTTCCAATTGTATTTAACTAAATGTTACATTACTAATATAGGCAGTTTTTTGACAGTTTCATGTTTGGTATTTATTTAAAAGTTGTTGCAAATGTCATGCCAGCCTCAATTAACATTAAATTCATAAACAAACATGGCTGTACAGGCACAATCCCCTTTGCCTTTCTAAAGTAATAAATATTACAAAAAAAGAAGTCAATGTTGTCGGATGCTCGCTTCTATAAGAGAATATCGATATCGACAACGATATATTCATATCTGTCTGTCATCATCATCATCATTGCAGTACGGAAGTATCTGTCAATGTATGATAAATAAAACATAACTATTCATATAACATCGTGGTCATCCCATTGATTTATCTTTTTTTTTGTCATTTTGCGTTCCCAATTTTAAATTCTTAAATTTTTGGCCATAATATTATAGGAGACTTAACATCGACATAGAATCCATGTTTCATGAACATCGATATTTATCGATCTTCCCTACAATATTAGTAAATTTCTATTTCTCTAATACTTATATGGTTTTCATTCCTTTATAGGTATTTATCTGATAAATATTATATTGTTAAAGTGATATCCTTTTTCAAATGTATCGTGTTTTTTTTACATTGTAATTGTTTCATTATTTTAGCAAATAATTTTTTATCTCTGAACAGTCATGAAGTTGTGATTTTCATAAATTTTATTAGAATTGCGGTTGTTTACTCTATATCATCTGTAAGGAATTGTACTAATACCCATACTAATTAAATTAAAATATTTATATTATTATTATTATTAATATTTATATTATACCTTAACTTCTCATTTATAATAATAATTCGTCCAATAGTGTGAATTCAAGTTAAATTTCTTTTAGTGTTTTGGAATGCGCAATGGGCAATACAAGTCAAAAACAACATTATGAAACTGCTTCGAAGACGGGTGTTCTTCAATTATCTGATTATAGATTAAAGGAAATACCAGCCGAAGTGATAAATTTATCTGATGTACTAAGAAACCTTGATCTGTCAAAGAATAAAATAGCATTTCTGTCTGAGGATATTGTTAAATTCAAGCAACTCAAACAATTAAATTTGGACACTAACAAATTGGAAGTACTGCCAAATTTACTGGGTAATTTAAAGAAACTTGAATTATTTAATATTTCTAATAATTCAGTGTTGTTACTGCCCCAGTCATTTGCTAATTTAGTCAATCTAAAACAAGTTTATTTGAATAACAATAATTTTAAGGAGTTCCCTACACAATTATTAGGCTTAATCAACTTAGAGGTGGTTGAATTATCAAATAATAAAATTACTAAAATCCCTGATGGAATGTCACAATTTTATGCAATGGAATTAAATTTAAGCCAAAATGAAATATCAGTAATTAGCGAGGATATGCATCGAGCACCAAGACTGAAAATATTAAGATTAGAAGAGAATTGTTTGAGTTTAGATGCAATTCAGCCAAGTTTATTAAGAGATTCAAAAATACATACAATAAATTTGGATGGAAATTTATTTGAGGCGAAACAGTTAGCATCTGTTGAGGGATACAATGAATACACAGAGAGATACACTGCAATGAAGAAGAAGATGTTTTGATGGAACACAACTAGCACTATTTTCTTAAATAGATTACAGTACAGTATCAGTTTAAAAAATTGTATAATAGCTGGATTCTAGGATGTACAGGAAAGAGATACTTATAAATTATGTCTTGATACTAATTTTATCTAATTCTGTATTTTTCTCAATGCAAAACTATATAGCAAATTATTGCATCTTTAGAATTTTGTAAATAAATATATATTATATACTTTAAGTACTGTAAATGTATTTAGAAAGTATGGTTTTAATATATTGACATTGTTTTGTTGTTCATGTATGGAGATGATGGTAATTACTTATCATTATGAGAGCCTTTAGCTTGTATGCCATTACACTGTATGTATCATTATGACCGTTAATATAAATGTTGACAACCTCAGTGGTCTAGTGGTTTAGCACACCGCTTTACATCCGATGGTTGCGAGTTTGATTCCAAGCATGGCACAAACATTTGTATTCATGAGTATGAGTGTTTGTGTCGGTCTGGGTGTATTCTCTGTATAATATGTATGTATTTACGAAAAAAAAACTATCTATGTATTTGTATCAGTTGTCTAGTACCCATAACACAAGCTTTAGCTAGCTTAACTTGGGCCTAGATGATGCTGTGTGAATTGAAAAAATAAAAAAAAATTGTCCAGTATATGCTCAAATACAAAAATTTTAAATGTTATTTTAATATTGTATTTACTACAGTACAGTAGAGTAACAGTTGATAAGGCCTCTAAGAATATGTTTAGAATCATACATATTTTGTTATTGATAGTAAAAAGCAAAACTTGTGGTATTTTAAATTTAAATTGTCTAGAAAAAATACTTTTAACATGTCTCCTACTAGAAATTGAATATATTTCCTAAAATCTCCACATTACACAATAATTTATTATTTTTAATAAAGGCAATTGCAGTCATGTATATACTTGTTATGTGGAAAAAGAAGAAAAATGTAAATTATTTTAAATAAACTATTTTATTCAAATATACACTAAATATTTAATGTTATTTATTTTATTTATCGAAAATAATGGTGAAAGTACTGACCTTGTTATGAATATACATTTCTATTATATTATTACACATGTTACGTGTATACCTGAACTAAATTGTATTATCACAGAACACATGCCTTCATTACAATCCTCATCATGTTGCTTCGAATAACTCAAATGTTATCTGTTATACCTCTTAATTTAGCTATATTTTTAATGGATGATAATGGAATGATGCCCTCACTACAAGTGGTGCATCAGTGCAGAATGATAGGATGAATATGAACTGTTCAGTTACGAATTCACAGGGGATTAAAGAACTGTGTTTTCCTGGGGATCGCGTGGAGGTCGACCCTACATGGTAAATTATTAGCAATAGTGTTACTATTCCCAATTACTAATAATTCCTTCACCCTGATTCAGCAATTCGAAATGATATAAATGATTCATAATAATGGTTAGACCACTTTTCTGACGGAAAATTATTAGTAGTTATGTTACCTTAGGGTCAAAAATAATAACGTAGCTACAGGCGCTAACTAGACAGGTGGCCTCCTCCGATAGATCCCCAGTCTCATTACATGAGTCGAGTTTCGAACTACATATTTGTGTTTGTGTGACTTAGTTGTGTTCTGTTTAGTTATTTCCATAGCATTATGTCATATGGCATACTGCTATGGGGTAAAGCTGCCGATATAAATACTATATTTATTTTACAAAAGAGAGCAATACGTTCTATTTATGGGTTCTAGAGAGTCATTACGTCAATGCTTTAAACAATCAAATATCCTCACCGTTGCCTCACAGTACATTTATGAAAATATTATGTATACAAGGAAAAACTTAGATAGTTTCAAGAAACTTAAAGACTGTACAAGTAGAAACTTACGCAATAAAAATAAGCTAATTTTACCTAAATGCCGTCTACACAAAGTTAGTAATTCATTTTATGGTAATTGCTTAAGATTCTATAATAAACTGCCAGAGTCTACGCTAAATCTTACAGAGAGGCAATTCAAATCTTATATTAAACAAATGTTATGTAAAAAAGCCTATTATAAGATAGATGAATTTATAGATGATAGCAATATATAGCAAGAATAAGTTTATTTGCGGACAACGTTATAATTTTAATTTTCATACTGCTTTCTTGATATATGATAGCGTAGCGGCTTTTGTATTGATTGCCGCATGCATCCTTATGTAAAGTGCGAATACTGTAACTACCATATAGTAATTTTTGTAGCTGTGACGTGGTCGTGTGGAATGAGTAGTCATGCTCACTAAAATGTCCAGACATGTGGCGGCGTGGTGGGCCGGGTCAATGGGCTCCCTAAAATATGGTCGAGCGCAGTGATGGCTGGCTCATCCGTCATACTCGTGAACGAGTGCTGCTTGTAGGGACTGGTCTGCTCTTATCACTACGACTGATTTAATCTTATTGCATGATTATATTTGACCCAAAAAATTAGTGCTTGTTGGTAGTTTGTATTCACACGTTTCGACTTGTAAATGTAAACTTACAAGGATTATTTAAAAGAGCAACACACAAGTTTCTTGCTCGTTCTCCTTGTGATGAGACAGCTTTCCGAACGAGTGGTAGATAAAAAACAAATTGTTATGACTATTCAAAAGTGCTTAAATTAAGTTTATTTGAATAAATGATTTTCTATTCTATTCTATTCTATTCTATTCCGATTCGTCGACTAAAGTATTGTCCTTAAGGCAGGGAGCTGACATTTACTCGTTACCCGGCCAGCTGCGTTAGAAAAAAAGTTAAGTATGTTAATCTATAAGGTGTTATATCATATTGTTTATTATATAGTTATATTATTATTGTCTAATAATTTAATTGATATTTATTATTCATAATCACTAATAAAAAATAAAAGTGCAAGTCCAACGCGGACTCGCGGGTTCGATGCTCTCACGGTTACAAATATTTATATTCAAGACTAGCTGTTCCCGCGACTTCGTCCGCGTGCAATTTAACTTTATTTTTCTAAAATAAAAGTAGCCTAAGTTACTCCTTATTATATCAGCTACCTGCCAAAAAAGTCCCGTCAAAATCGGTCCAGCCATTTCAGAGATTAGCCGGAACAAACAGACAGACATACAAAAATTGTAAAAAATGTTATTTTGGTGTCTGTACCGTATTTATATTCATATACATATTGTAAACAACGGTTATTTCAATATTACAAACGGACACTCCAATTTTATTTATATGTATAGATGTCTAGATTATGATTAGATACATAGCATACCTATGTACGTATTTATGAAAAAAACTTATGTATTTCTATCTGTAGTACAATTTTCCTTTTCCTTATTATAAGTTTTTTTCTGCGATATATGTATTTATGTTTATTTAATATATGTATCTATACTCTTCCTTAAATTCACAGAAGCGAAAGTACCTTGTACAGTCTAAATAATTTATTGATAGCTCATGTTTATAAGCATATCGGGTTTCTAATAAAACAAATAAAGGGCTGTGTACATGAGACGTGTATCTATAATCTTGCTTCGCGTAGTGTATCTACTGGCTGATGGGTTAGCTTATGAACCGGCTGTGAGTCGGTGTTTATCGCATTTAAATACCGGGCGTGTAGTAGCGTGGTCAACTGTAGAACAAATGATTCAGTGTTGTGTTTATTGCAGACGTAGTAACTGTGTGAAGCTTTACGATCTTTTACGTCCCGTAAGAAGTAAAAATATTTCTCAAGTGTAACAGAAAACCTGGACTCGTTTTAATTGAACGCTATTAAATTCAATGTTTTATAATATAATAAGTGTGTGATAGTAATTTTTGAATTTTGCTACAAAAAGGTTAGACTACAATAATATTTTTAAATATTTTAGTATTGTTTTATGTTGCTGTTATGAAATAAAAAATGCCAGTTTTATTTATGTACGATGATGGAATGGCTATATTGCTTGCACTTTTATTTAGTTTATGCTAGCGGGACACATGAAACATTCAATGAGAATTCAGCGAGAAATACTGCAATGGTTTTCAGGGAGTACCGCTTCCTTAGTTATGCTTTGCAATAGAGTTAATGATATAGAACATTGGTAGTATAGTATAATAGTATAGTATAATATAGTATTTATTTTTCGTATATTTATATATACCAATAGTCAATTTATATAATTTTCAGCCTCTAAACAAAAACGTAGTACCAAATATAAACCGTAAACAATGTCAACCATACCGAGAAATGTAGGTTGATATTGTTATCAACGGAATGTGATGCAATTAGCTTTTATTTGAAATCTTTTAGAAAGTGAAAGTTGAGACTTCCTACATAAGTGTTATCTTTAGGGAAAGTGAGTAGTAACTTACGAGACGCACAAAATCAAATAGGTACTGTTTTAGCTTATTTTAAATTTTAAAAGACTTAATACCTAATCTATTCTTGGTCATTTACAAATATTTTGCTATAAATTTTATGTAACGAGATACAATGTTAATTAAATAGCAGTAGAAGGGCAAGGGGAGAAGGGATCGTTAATATTGTTTGCTACTGGTCCCATTGCTAACAATACACCATCTCAGATTGACTTCCACACGGTCTCTCCTGGAAGCCAAATTGAATAATTTTTAGTGAATTTGTGATGACGTACTCGTTGACCTGACTCTCTGCTCATTTATATAATTTTTTTACTGATGCCCCGCCAGCGTACACAGACACAGATTATTAACATAGATATGGTTTACTATGTTTTACCATAAACATATATGATCTCGGTGGTCTTGTGGTTTAGCACTCCGCCTTACTTCCGATGGTTGAGGGTTCGATTCCTCGTACGGTACATACTATTGTATTCATGAGCACGATTGTATGTATTCGTCTGATGTTTTCTATATAATGTGTAGGTATGTAGTTATAAAAAAAATGTGTAGTAGTATTTGTATCAGTTGTATAGTGCCCATAATGCAAGCTCAGCTTAGTTATTGGGACTAAAAGGCGCTGTGTAATTATTATTATTATATATTTTATCCTAATATTTTTATTATTTAATAATTTTCGATTCTTAATATATACGTTATGTTATTAATAGCTAACGATGTATGTATAAAATAAATATAGTTATATTATTTCTATATTTGCATGGTAATTGAATATTTGATAGTAGATAGATACAAACATTGAAAAAAAATCGTGCTTATATTATTTACAAAATAAATACTAAATCTGGCATGTAATGAAAGGCAGAAAATAATGTTTTTTACCTTAGTGTATTATATATAATAAACCATTACCTACCCTCGTTTCTAGCAATGGGCTCGATCCGGCGATGTTCACTCAGTTCTCTCTGGAAACTAATAGGCTACATTCCTAAATAATTCACTCGATGTTTGAATTGTTCTGATTATAATTTTATCTTTTTATCCTCTGGTGATGTTCTGTTGATAAATATCATTAGACGAATTATCAGGAAATGAGGTAACTGTCTTCAATTACAGGCGTTCTGAGTCACTTTTGTTATTATTACTTCCATTCATCTATTTCACAATAAAGACAATATTCTAGAAATTTTTGCACTTTGGACTCGTGTCCGACATTGGTCGTGATTATAGATACTTACTTATTTTATTACATGAGGGATTCAAATTGTTTGTAATAATGTAATGTATTGTATATAATACAATAACGCTGGCGGGGCACCAGTGGAGGATGATAAGATGAGCATGAGGTCAGGTCAGTTAGCCCATCGTGACAAATTCACCAGGAATTTAACACGATGGTTTCCAGGGGGAACCGCGTGGAGGTCGTCCTGACATGGTACATTGCTAGCGATGGGGTTATCAATCCACATTACTAACAATCCACTTCCCCCTCGGACTGTAGGGTTCAGGCCTGGAATATAAGCTCCTTGCCTGTGCATTCTGCTGGGGTAGACTGTACAATACAATACATTTTGCACTGACATTTTTATAACTTAGTTACTATACTGAGGGAAAGGAACTGAAAGGAAAGGAAGAAAACTTTTTATTTTTTATTTTATTTGTTTCACTGACATTCTTTCTTATTAACATATTGAAAGGTACTAAGTAATTCATATTGTTAGTTGCTATGACTATTATTAACTAACTATGACTTTTTACGCATTTACTACCAAGATTGCATTGATCAGATAAATTAATGCAATCTCTGATAAGTTTTTGACAGTCGTCGAAGAAATGAAGTGCTTTCAGCAGTAAACGTATCTATTATTTAAATTGTGTTGATTTTATTCATATTTGTCTATATACAAACAAATTATAAACCATTGTTATTAAAGTCACGGGCGTACCTAGTCAGTTATATCACAGATAACATAATATTCCATAGTTATATTAAGATTGTAATAAAGCGTACGAATTAAATAGGAAATGGCAAATAGTGTTAGCAATATACTTACTTCGAAAATTATCTAATTATGTATCTTATGCAAGTATGTATGTTTCATTAACTAATTAATTACTAATAACATCTTGTTTAAATACAAATGAGAACAAAGTTTACGTCACAGGGCAGTGACCAACATATTGTTTGTTATCTATACATAAACGTGTTCTGAGAACAATATGTGATACAGAACTAAAAACAAATAATTACTACTAACATACTGACGGCCTCGGTGGTCTAGGGATTTAACACATTAACTTATTTCCAATGTTGTGGCATCGATTCTATGTTAGTACATACCTGAGGTATGTATTAACAAAAAAAATCTATCAGTTGTTTAGTACACAAGATCAGCTTAGCTTGGGCTAGATGGCGCTGTGTTAATTGTACAAGTATATTTTCTTTTTCCTCTCATTTACAGAATCATTAATAAAAAAAGGCGTCTCCCGCATCGACATTAATAAAACAAAGTTTTATTTTGGTTTTTTTGAGAACATGAAAGAACTTACGCGACCTATCCCAATTGCAATTCTAAATTGGCAATGATGTTTTTTTATTCAAGTTTTTGATACGATTTCGATGTTATCTATTTCTGATTTTTTTTTGTTATGTATTATAATTACACTAGTTTTTGTTTGTTTTATAAATACGCTATCTACAAAGGTTTTCCTTTGATTAGATATATACTTTTATGAATACTATACATTTAAAATAATCATTTTAATATCAGTTCATTTTAAAGTGAATTTATGCACAGCCATGTTCAATTTCTACACAATATTTTAACATGACTTAAGGCAATTCTTAGTAACGAGGACTAGGTTTTTTTTTTTATAACACAGGGGACAAACGAGCATGCGGCTCACCTGATGGTAAGTGATTACCGCCGCCCATGAGCACCCGCAACACCAGGGGAATTGCAAGTACGTTGTCGGCCTTTTAAAAAGGAATAAGCTCTTTTCTTGAAGGTTTCAATATCGTATCGGTTCGGAAATACCATTGCCGGAAGGTGATTCCACAATGTGGTTGTGCGAGGCAAAAAGTTTCTAGAAAACTGCACTGTGGAAGACCGCCATTCATCCAGATGATCAGGATGGTATTTCAGTTTCTGGCGGGTGGTGCGGTGGTGAAACTCAGCAGCTGGTATTAATCCGAACAATTCCTCAGAACACTCCCCGTGATATATGCTATAGAAAATGCACAGAGATGCAATATCACGCCGCAAAGACAATGGGTCGAGTCTGTCACATAGACGTTGATTACCAATGATTCTGGCTGTTCGGTTCTGAATGCGGTCAAATGGATGTAGCTGGTATTGTGGTGCTCCCGCCCAGAGATGAGAACAGTATTCCATGTGCGGCCGGATCTGCGCCTTGTATAATTGCAAGCGATGGGCCGACGTGAAATACCGTCTCACTCTACTGAGCACACCAAGCTTTTTTGAGGCTATTTTAGCCTTGTCCTCCAAATGACCGCAAAACTGAACGTCACTGGATATATCAACGCCAAGGACCTCGAGATTTGGCTTCACATCAAGGAGAGTGTCTTGAAACTGAGGAGATACGATAAATGGATTCTTTTTAGCGGTAAACGCGCAAACTTGTGTCTTCTTGGGGTTGAATTGAACACAATTTTCCTGACCCCAAACCGAAACTCCGGTACTGTCATCCGCATAGCAATGAATGTTGTTGATTTGTAACATGTCATTGATATGCAGAAGGAACAGAATCGGAGACAGCACTCAGCCTTGTGGAACACCACCATTCACAGAGTGTGGGTCGGAGCAAGCACCATCGACAACGCATTTGCATAACTTCGCAGGAAACCCGAAGGATGGTAGCTTTGAAAGAAGAGCCTTGTGCCAAACCCGATCAAAGGCCTTCGCAATATCCAGACTAACAGATAGGGCCTCCCCCTTACTCTCAATAGCCTCTGCCCATCGATGTGTCAAATACACTAGAAGATCACCAGCTGAGCGACACTGGCGAAAGCCATACTGACGATCAGAAATCAACTGGTTCACTTCTAGGTATCGTAGGAGTTGACGGTTGACAATCGACTCCATGGTCTTTGAGAATAAGGAGGTGATGGCTATGGGCCTATAGTTAGCTGGATCTGAGCGATCTCCCTTCTTAGGGATCGGATGAACCAAAGCCGTCTTCCAAAGTTTCGGGACTACACCTGTAGAGTAGCAGTACCGGAAAAGACGCGTTATTACCGGAGCCAACTCAGGTGCACACGTCCTGAGCACAATAGCAGGAATACCGTCAGGCCCACTCGATTTGTGGATATCAAGGGAGAAAAGAGACTTACGTACCAGCTTTTGGGTAAATTTTACCTCTGGCATAAAAGTCTCACACCGCGAGATGACCGGCGGTGATTGCTCCCTATCGTCCAGTGTCGAGTTGGATGCAAAAAGAGACCCAAGGAGATCGGCCTTCTCTTTACCATGTTGGGCCAACGACTTATCCTCTCTGCGCAGTGGTGGAAAAGATGGCTGACAGAAATTCCCCTGAGCAGCTTTGGCAAGAGACCAAAAAGCCCGGGATCCAGATGGAAGATTGTTTAGTCTCTTACCAATTCTGCTGATATGCTCCGACTTTGCTGTGGCTATAACTCTTTTGAAGGACCTGGAAGCGGAGTTATACTTCCTTTTATGGGCACTGGTATCTGGATCAGTCGACTTCACAGCTGCAATCCAGGCACGGAAGCATTCCTGCTTATGGACAGACGCCGATCTACAGGATCCGCCATACCAGGACTGAGATCTACCACCGACAGGTACCTGGGAATTTGGAATAAACATCTCCATTCCCTGAAGTACTACATCGGTGGTAATAGTCTCATTGCGAGCAGTTTATTATGTTAGGCCATATTTATTCTTATCATCTTTCAGTAGTGATAGTCCTGCTTATACCGTTTGTGCAGGCGGGTGCACTATTCGTTGTCTCCCATACAAAAATATATAACTTACAAGGTTTAAGTGAGGTAATTATATATAGCATGGTGATACTGAGTATAATTATGTTATTTAAATATGCGAGGTATAAATCTCTGGATCTGGTATAATTTTAGAATTTCTTTTACAATACATCAACTCTGAATTTAATTAGATATCACATTATCCTGTAATTGGTTGTTTCTGTTTTATTGAATATACTAAGCCTTCGTTAATGACCTACGTTTTTGTGATTTGTATGCCGGCCGCCCGCACAGTGCACAGTATTATAATGCGCGGAATATTATTAGGTACAAGTCATACAAGAAATAAAAGTTCTACAAATTTAAGGACCATTAGAAACTATTCCACTTTTCGATTAAACCTAAATAACTAAAATGTGTAGTGTTACAAAAGTATTTACGCCTAATTGGTTTTGCTACTAACGTAAAATTTAATATTGAAATAAAATTGTTACTTTTCCAAATGTATCTTATTTATAAGATACAATATTAAAAAAAACATATCTGTATATTAATAAATAATTCACGATCAATTACAGCCCATTGCAAGATACGAAACAATGATAATGAAAAATTGCTATTCTATTCACAAAGCCTATATAGAATTTATGAAGCAAAACAATTATTGTTACTTAGGTTTTGCACTATCGTATTTCGTAAATAATTACACCGTGACATCATCGTTCCATTTATTTCTGCCAATTTTTCATTATCGACGATTAATTAGCCATTGAGAAGCTCGATTACTAAATAGTTGTTGTTTCTGTTTGCCTCTAACTTCGGCAGTTATCTAGTGCATTCAGGTACCACAATATATAATTTCTATTTAAAACTATTAAATATACATAATTATTGAAATGGTAATTTCAATCTTTTTCAAAGAAGAATTCATAGCTACATAATTATGTAGTTATATAACATATATAGTTGATGCGCTGGTTTGTAATGTATACCCAATGGTTACATAATATGGTCATCATTGAGTATAGATGCATGCACTCAGGAATTGACCATATGAGAGATAAATATTTGAATTATGGTGTTATAATGTGATATCCATAGGTTTGCTGAATTGCTCACTCATATTGACATAGACATGAGATGGGACCATAATTTTTTTATCACATAGGTTTAGCGACCTGTCTGATAAAAAGCCCATGGCCCTTGATCATCGTAGACGTTTAAAAGTATCGTCGAAGAAAAACTATTAAGTAGAGTAAATAGGTGTTGTAAGTACATTTTACGTGAGGACTACTAAGGACGAAAAGAGTGAGTCCTAGCATTTACCCAACACTGAGATATAGTGGTTTCCAGAGACTTTTTATAAAAGATGCCATATATTCGTCGTCGTGTTTTACTGTACCTGTACGTCAAATTTAATTTAGAATCGGTTAGTCATTTAGTTGTTAAAACGTAGCAAACAGATGGAAATACTTTCGAATTTATGACAGTATTGACGGATTTCTTGGCAATTAATCTGTGATTTTAATTTCTAGGTTTTATGAAGACAATACGATGGCGGCATTCAACGTGGTCAACGTGGTGTTAGGATGCGTCATGGCGCTTCTTATTATATTATTTACAATCAGCTCTATCGCCAGGTACTACATAAAGGTACGTATTTATTTAAATCTATTAATCAACAATATCCGTCCTCGTAATACAATCTATGTCATACATATCATGTCTAATTAAGATCCGTTCCGCTGTTTGGTCATCACGAAGCTACAGACAGACCGACAGGCAGAGATATTTTCATGTTTATAATTACCTAGTATTGTTTCTCATTCGTCGTTTTGACAATATACTTAAATTGCTTTTCAAAAATATTCTAATTTTATCAATTTTCTGGCACATCAACATATTTGTCTACACGTACCTATGTTATCACAATGGCTGGTATCATACCTACTTAGTATAACAAGACAGAGAAATTAGTGTCAACGGCCTTTAATCGGCGTAAAAGGAGCTAATTGACTGGTTTATCAATGTACAGCCTGCACTACGAACTAATTATATAAATTTAAAACAGTAATTCTTTGTCAGGTTATTACGTGTAGATAATACACCATGTAACAGTTAATATTCTGGTTTGATGGTAATCTTTTCACATGGCGCCGTGTAATGCACAGATTGCCCAGATGTGTGGTTTGTTTTGTCTTTATACACATAGGTATCTACTTATGTGCATACTATAATTTATCTGATTTCCATTATAAATATATTTATTTTAATAGTAATTATACGTAGTGCGTTTTATTGGTAAAGTACTAGAAATTCTCTTTAAAGTAATAAATTTATATTATCTATTCCGCAGTAGAAAATAAAAAAAAAGGATAGTTTTTACTTTATTTTTAATTAAGGTTATCCAAGTTATATTTAATTTTATCTGTTTATCTATAATATACTAATGCATTGTTGATGATAATTAAGTACTTAGTCCTTGAATAACTTTGATATCTCATCATTTCAATATCGGATTACCTATGTTTATTTAGCCAGGTATAGGGTTTTGGGGTCCGGTATTTTTATTTATATATATTAATATTATTATTATAATGATAATTGAGAAAATACATTTGTAATCATAATTTAATATTTGTGTAGGTCTAACATAAAAATACGTTAATTTTATCGTAGGTACTTATACCATTGATAAGAAAACTTTTGTTGTTCCCATGAGGTCCTGTCACCTCTAATTTGTTTCTAATAAGTAGGTATTACTATAAAAATAAAGAAAAGAAAGAAAAATATTGTATTCAGTGCTTTTCAACAATGTAAAAAATACAATACGATCATACAATATAGAAAACAAACGAAAAAAATATCGTACAATAATTTGTACACACAATATACGTACTATATCTGTCAAAATCCTGAATGTTTATAAGTTCTATTCTTGTAAAGTTATAATTATCCTGGATGGGTTGATCTCATTATAGACGGACGTTACCATTAAGGTTTCCGTTTTACCTTTCTGAGATTCTAAATGTAGATTAGGTTTTACAATAATTATGTTATGACGATTATCAATAATATATAAACACATTTGTACCTTGTCACTATAATATTTTTTGGCAATATATATTATGTGAAAATGTTTGAGAGTGATAAATAATGTAATTGTGAAAAGGTACTAAAGTATTTGCGCATTTATTATACGCTCGCTAGAAATTACGATACTGTATGCAAGGTCGATTAACATAGTCAGTACCTTCCTTCCTATTTTTATTGCTTAATGTTATGAAATTAAATTAATTAATTATTAACTAAATTATTTGTTTTCTTTTAGTTCATCCTGTTCGTGGTTATGTCAATGATATTTGCAACAGCCCCAGTACCTTTGATGCTTCTAAAACCGTTTGACCCAAGGAACGCTTTGTAAGTAATTACTTATTTACTGATTTAATTACAGCTGCGCCCTCGGCTTTGTATATATATATTATTTATAATATAATAATATATATATATATATATATATTACGGGTAGCTTCATACAAACAAACACACATTCAATGAATCAAAAAAATCTCACAATCCAACAACACAAATTTCAAAAACAATTATGTTTGGTCTTATTAGTGGTCAGACATCCACGAGTAGGTATTATTTGTTTAATTAGTATTTGACATGTATGTATTCACGAAAAAATATATGTTTATTTTTTCTAACAGTTACAGTTTACCTCAGTTGACTAACTGTTACTTGCTTACAACTCTGGTTAGTTTGAGACTAGACGATGCTATAGGAATGAATTAAATTTAGTTCAAGTTTCCTGTGTTATTAAATTATAATTTTATTGAAGTATATATTTGTACACACACGATTTTTTAGGTACGATTATATTAAGGCTCCGTAAATTATCTATTTTTAACTACTTGACTGATGTTTGTTGTATGCGTGTTTCGTCGTTTGCTTCTATATAGTCCACATGCAGAATTGCAGATACCTTTAAACTGACTGGCAATACATTATCGCCCGTTAAACTTCGAACATACGTAATTAAATGTTTAGTTTAATAATTAATGGGATTATTCGAAAGCGGAGTCTATGTGTCCGCACATTAAGTATCTACTTATTTGTTAACAATAGATATGTCATATCCTCCGCACAATACAATCATTTTGTATTCGTGATATATTGTGGGCATTTTTAAGTATATTAGGTATATCCAACTGTCGTGGACTTATAACTTTAGCATGCTGTGTAAGATTAATAAAAAACAAAACAAAAATTAAATTAAATTAAATGATTATCCTTATTATATACATGTCAATGAATTTGTTCCCACTCTTCTCTCATGGATGATATAATAATATTCAAGAATAGTTTCTTCCAACCTGGCATTGTATTTACATTCAGTTTTCACGATATAATTTCTTCTAGAAGGTTTCTACATTTAATAAATGAAATATATTGTAATTAAAAATAATTAGCAGAGCGGGTGGTCAACTGGCTCTCACCAATTGTCTGTACGTCAACGATTTGCGTAGAAAGTTCTAGTGCACCATACACGTGACTATATATACTAACGACAGTACAGTTACGTGCATAAATATGTAAACACTTTTGCACTTTGTTATGATAATAGTATTGACAATGCCACATATTTTTATCTAGGTGGGCTTTGTATAAAATTGTCTGGGCAGGTGTGTCTCACGGTTCTCACCAATTTCAGGTTGAAGCGTGAGGATAAGTCAATGAAATTACAGAGCAAGAAGCACGATCTTAGTAGGTACTCCGGAATGCCAACACAGGAGGAATACAACCACTATTTATACATATCTTATTAGGTGGATCAACCAAAGCTTGTTTGCCATTCAGTAACAAAAAAAAATATAGTGCATGACATTTTAGTTGAGCGGACTGTACATAGAGTACCTACATACTATAATATATCTTTGAACAATGGGTAATGATAGAATTGTCTATAGAGCGCATTGTATACTCGTAGTGGTTATATAGGAGTATTAATTACCATATAATTGCATTTTGAAATAATTATAACGAAGATAAAAATACCTATCTTCGATATAACAATAACACAGATTGTGTAGACGTCATTCAAATAATATCATACAATTTTAAATAATATATAATGTTAGATTATTTGAGTGAACATTGGCTTATTGGCTCCAAATTCTATCAAGGGATTAATTACGGAGTGTAAGCATTAGGAGTGACTCAGATGTCACGTGATAATGTGATGTTTGTGGTGCGGTTCATGTAGGCCTTTTGACTCTTACGATCAGGTGAGTCGTCGACTTGTTTGTCATTACAGTTACGTAATAAAATAAATATTATGCAAGTGATTCCACGAGGAGGGAGGAATTATTAGGTGACAAAATATATATGCTAAAGTAAATTAACCATGTCACCTACATTACATGATACATTAAACATTCGTGTCATCAAACATGGACAGATAGATACTTGAAAGATAGAAGATAGAGAAATAGTCGAATAAAACAGTTAATTAGCGTGATCAAATCATAATGTTATTTCATATCTATTTCGAAAATGTATAAGGAAGTAGAGTTTTAGTTTATTCAAGATTGAAGTTTTATTTACCTCAAGATTAATAATTAGAAATTAATATTATTATGTGTTGATAATCGCAAAGTAATTAGGTAGGACAGTACAGAGTCACAGATGACTACCTGTAATATGCAGCCTCTTATCTTTATTAAATATGTTTAGCGAAACACAATATAAAGATAGCAATAGATCATCGATGTAAAAACCCTGAGAATTTATTTTGGTAGTTGCTAGGGCTATATATAGATATGTTTTTTTGGGTCCTAGATAATAGATAACATTGAATTTACAAATTCTTATAATCACAAAATAATCTATACTATACAGAGATATGTATATAGTTTAGGAATGTTATACTGACATCGCATAGCGTTTCTAAATAAACCAATATATTTTTTTATGTATTTGGAATGGCTTACTCATGCAACCTACCTACATACAACCAAAAAAGCCTACAAAGCAAGCTTGGGAATACAAAATTACGTTTTGTATTTCCAAGCTTGCTTTGTAGGCTTTTTAGGTAGCTTGGAAAATCATACTCATGAATATAAACGTCTGTACAGTGCAAGAAGAATTGAACCTGCGAACGTTGGAAGTATGGCGGTGCGCTAATCCGCCAGACCATTGAGACTGTTATAATGTATCTTCAAACAGTGAAAGAATTTCTTTAATCGATGCAGTAATTCTGAATTTACTTACCTCGTAACAAAATGCGGTCTCTTTCTTTATAGAATTAGTATACTTACTAGTAGCACAGATATTATATACTAGTAGATAGTATAATATATAATGCCTGCGACTTTGTAAGCCACACATCGATTATCCGGTATAAAAAGTATTCTATTTAGTCTTCTTGTCAATGACAAATACTAAATGCTATATGATAATTCATTATTAGGTATAGATGTGAAACAGACCGACTTTCTGAAACTTTCTTTCAAATGTAGAATCAAGTTACGATAGCCTGAGTCGAGGTCCGAATCCCAGCAATCAGGAGTTTGTGGATCTATATATAGCCGCTCCATAAGTCCATAGATTTCGAGTAGCTTCTGCTCTCGCCCCCAGTTCGCCAGCAGAAACTGTAAATGCCAGCTGCGGCCAACACACACAAAATTTGGCCTATTTTGCAATCAACATTATTCCGACCTTAAACTGCAGTACCCTTGATTAAAACAATGTCATTAGCCCAATGGCATCGCCACAGTATAAATAAATCAACCTACAGGTAAGTAGGTAGGACAATATAGGTACTCACGCGTGCTTTCCATTTCAATGCTTATGTTTTCCTTGATTCAATCACATGAGTTAACTGATGTCGAATATTGATGTATGACATTGGTATATTTAACTTCTAGAATATTCGCAATCGTCCTCAGGGGCATTTATATCTAGCTAATGTTCTATTTTGTACAGTATCCGCCGTTGATAACAAAATAATATAAATCCATTAAGTAATGAAATGGATTTCCGCAAAATAACACCGAATTCGATAAAGTATATACATACATAATAATCAATTGATGTTCCTTTGTCTTACTTAAAGACGCCTACACTGGTTCTAATATTTTTCTTGTTGGCTCTTATACAGGGATGATTTAGCAAATTGAAAAAACAATGTAAATTTTGCATAGGATGCGCTTCATATTCCTTTGAATAGTTTCGTGGTTGTACTGTCTAGTAATTAACAATATTGTTATTTCTTTTTAAATAAAATAATTTGTACAATACAATAGGCAGAATGGAATACAGTATGGACAAAAAGGGACTTGACATTCATAAAATTAATTTGGCAGATTTGAGTGCCTTTGACTGCAATTTGGATGCCGGTTTTTTAGTGCTTTATAACGTTCAGTAAAATGCTGTTGTTGCTTGTTTGAAGTCCATCGAAATTTATCTGGCATATTAGGTATATAACGATGTTCCACGCCAAATCAGTCTGTATGTTTGCGATAATCTCACACATCACTGAAGGACAGACTGACTTCTAAAGGAGGTAAACCGCAATGGATTAGGGTAAATTGATAGTTTACATATATAATAAAATATATTTTAGCTAATTCGAAGTTCACCGGGTTACCCAGTTCGTATTACAAAACTGCATTTAAAATAAATTAGTTAAATTTCGAATCGATACAACAATAAAGACTAATGACAAAAATCCCTGGGATGTCAACGTACTCGTATCTTCCTAAATAACAATAAGTATTGTAATTACGTAGTCAATTGAAGTATCTGCTTACGAAACATGCAAATGGTTCGATTAACATTATTTCAATAAAATTGCGTAGTCTTAAATGAAATGTATCACAGGTGTATACAAATTAAAGTATCTACCTACCTTATATTTGTGTGTGTAGTTGTCAGCTTGTGACATATATAAAATACAATACCTATGTACTATTTATCCTATCTAGTACTATTTGGTATGCCTATCTGATTCATTTATCATAAATATGTCTTACAACACTTTAGAGAAGTACTTGTATCAAAAAATGTTACTAGCGATTGTTACCTGCAACTTAGTCTGCTGATCTCATCCCTAACTTCGGACTGCCAGATTATTTTTTGAGATAAAATACATCCGTCCTTGTGATACAATCTATCTTCAAGTCATATTTCATTACGGTCCGTTTAGCCGTTTAGTCGTGAAAAGGTAATCGTGTAAGAAAAACTGGTAAAGGTAAGATCGCCAAGGCGCAAACTAAGTTAGAGCTTCTTCTATTGGTACAAAATAACTGATACTTAAATAAAAATGTCTGTATCATGGGAAATCGAAACTCGAATTGCTAACATCAGACATAAACCACTATGCCACCGAGGCATGGTATTAATATAACATGTGTATAAATATAGAGAAATGACTTGTATTGTCAACTCCCAAGGTTTCCCCACTTTAATCCACAGGGACGGTAAATTTATGTGTACTAACATGTATGTGTACTAACTTACTCATATATAGATAACACACGGTGTGTAATTTTCAATGAAGGACATCCGTTGTTAGCTTTTCTATGTAAAATAACGCGCAGGCAAATGTTTGCAGGTGTTGTAACATTTTATTTATTTATATTGATTGGTATATGTCTACATTCATTATAATTTAGGTTTTCTTAGAATATTATACACTTTGCTTTACAAATAACTTTATTTATTTATCTTATTCTGTAATACCACATTAGAATTTAGTTCTCTAAAATAAAATAGACGTAGAATTACAAAACAAATCTATACTTATTGTTTATGAGAAAAGCTAAATAAACACGGGATTGCTATTAATGTAATAGAACCCAACACAATAATTATAAGATTTTTGTATGCGTACTAATCTAAGAAACGGATTAACCTATTTAGACTCGGTTTTCAGTACTTTAATTTAAAGTTTAATGTTTGTTTATTCCATTCGATTACAAAGTTATAAAATATTGTTATTACGAATACCCCTGAAAGAAAAACGCGGGCTCAGTTACTAGTTATTAAAAAATACCGGTTAGTAGCGTGTAAGATATATATTCTTTAATATCAAATTCTCTCGGTTTTGTTGTGTCAACAACTTTTTGTCTAATTCTTGTTTTTATTCCTGTGTGTTATTATTCCGGTTTTAATTTCTCCGTAATTACAATTAGGTATAGTAAATAATAATAAACAAATAACCCTTGACAATTAACACATCCGCCATTCAGTGCCGGATTTATATTTTTGATGAGTGTAGGCCACTTTATTTCCGCCGCCCCATGTATATAAAATAATAATTTTCCATTTATAGTTTAGAAAGCCTTAAAGTTAAGTAAACTGCAGGTCTCATTTATCACTCACGCTATAATTTAGGTTTTGATAGGAATGAGTTTCCATAGGGAGTACAAAATTCCATGAGAAACCAAGTGAATGTGTTTGACTTTTATTCTCTGAATCGAGTGACCGTCCTCTCTCTGAAATCTGCCCCTAGGACGCTGCCGGCCCTAAGCAGTGGCCTATAGGGCCTATTTATAAATCCAGGACTGGCGCCAACTAATCCCTATGGGACCAGTTTTAAGCAGAGCTTGTGTTGTGGGTACTAGACGACTGATATAAAAACATAGATTTTTTATGTAATTACTTACATAATATACATAGAAGACACAGAGAACTGATAGAAATACATAGATATGGTTTTTTTTTCGTAAATACATACATATTATACATAGAAAACACTCAGACCGATACAAACAATCTTACTCATGAATACAAATGTTTGTGCCGTGCGAGGAATTGAACCCGCGACCATCGGAAGTAAATCGCTAGGCCACCGAGGCCGTCAAATATTGTTTTTTATATATAAATATTTATCCTTGTTCTTGTGTTATTTACCTATAATATATGGTTGATATATATTAAAGTATTGGCTGAAATAATAAATTGTCTCATCTACATTCGATTTGTGTAAAACTTTATCTTTTTTGTCGTCAGGATACCAGCCGCTTTACTCAAGATGTCCTCTTGGATACTCGGCATCCGATGGAAGGTACGAGGGCTGGAGAACGTAGACAACTCTAGGGGAGCAGTCGTCTTACTGAATCACCAGAGTGGAGTCGACCTATATGGTAAGCAAATACATATAAATAAAATTGGAGTGTCTGTTTGTAATATTGATATAACCGTTTTTTACTACATGCATATGAATATAAATACGAAACATACACCAAAAAACATTTTTTTAATGTTTGTCAGTTTGGCTGTCTGTTTGTTCCGGCTAATCTCTGAACTAAGGAGTAACAGTTTAGAAAAATAAAGTTAAATTCCATGCGGACGAAATCGCGAGTACTATTAGAGCTAGTTTATCATATTGATGGTTATTACTATTTAATAATAGTTACTTAGTTACACCAATATTGATAATGATATATGATGAAACAAGAGATAAAATCGACATGTAAAATGGTACACATTGTATTTTAATCTTGTTATTATAAGTTTAAAGCATTGAAACATTAATGTTTATTGAAAATTTTCCACGCAGACGTAAACTTGTTTCTGATTAAATTATAATGTCCAAAATATGAAGTAATAAGTATTCCATCGATACTTAATATTATAAATGTGAAAGTGTGTTTGTCTGTTACCTTTTCACGATTAAACGGCTGAGTGGATTTTGATGAAATTTAACATGATTCACTCAGTAAAATGACAACAAACATAGGCAAAAAATGTATCTAATGATTAAGAAGTCGCGGGTATCAGCTAGTGAAACTATAAAATATACAAGATTGATATTTCCTTGATTTTTTTTTTGTAAGATAGAGACGATTAGTGTACTAAAAACGTTATCAACCGCCTGCGTATAGAAGATTTTCTATTTGTTCACGTTTTTGTATAATAATAATATTATCACAGAACTGTGTGAATTGCAAATATATACATAGAAAACACTCAGACCAATACAAGTAATCATACTCATGATTGTTTTTGTTGTAAAAAATGAATTGAACTCCCGACCATCGGAAGTAAGGCGTTGTGGTAAATCGCTAGACCACCGAGGCCTTCAATATATTTGTAATGTGAAGCTATACATTGTGGCTATTATTTCCTGTATAAAAAAAATCAATAAATTATGTGATTGTTAATTTCGGTGACATTTTTCATTGGGAATGTATTTACATAATTCTTATTGTTTATTAGTGACCGTATTGTAACCTTTTATATAATTTTGTCACGCACTGTTCATTTATATAGTTTGATAGCAATATCACTGTCATAAAATAATGATATAAAAATTACTATAATGACCATTCAGATCATCAACATTTGCAAACAATAAACTCGGATGTTTCCTGTTTGTATGAATAAATAATTTCATGTGTCCAGTTAACTATAAAAAAAGCTAATATCGTTTTCTATGTCATTTGTTTCTATGTAGGTACATATATATTTTTGAATCCTGTCGTACGTAAGACAGAATTAACTACAAACCTACCTACGGGGTATAAATGATCAAAGATAATAATTGTTATTAATGTAATTCATATTAAAATTAATTAACTTGTGGATGTTTACGTCGCTTTTAATTAAATTCAAGTATACATTTAATTATGTACTAAATGTTAATGTTCATTATTTTTAGTATAGATATGCAATAACATACATATGCTATTATCTTTGTAAAAACAAATTACATACACTTCATCGTATGCTCCTATCTCCTTATGTGTATCCTGTATTTTGTTTCTGTTCAGTAAATAATTATACCTATGCCCTGTTTTTCTCAGCATAAACGATTCAGATTAAAATAGATTTACTTGTACATGTTTATATGTTGCTATTAATAACATTCAAGTATCTATACATTTAAATATTTTACGCTTATTATTACTAGTCTAAATTATATACCATTATCTTTGTAGCTAGAAAGATCACACTATAAAATTTCTTCAGTGTTTGTTTCCTATCTCGATATGTTCTGTATTTTGTTTCTGTTCAGTAAATAATAATGCTATAAGCTGCTTTTCTTTAAGTGACATATAATAACCGTAAACTCCTGTTTTGTTCAAATAAGAGATGTCTAAACTTAATTGATAGGTACAATAAATATTTTTCTAACATATATAATATTTCTATCTTTTAAGTTCAGTTAACCATATTTTAAAGGCGTAAGTAACTAGAGATGGTTGAAAATTTGTTATTGAATTATTTTTTAACGAATGATGGATTAGAATGGAATCTGGGACACAGATAGATAAAGTTCTAGCTTAACACATATGTAGGCAATTTGGACCTTAATCAGGCGGGGTTAATCGCGGGGTAAATAGATATGGTATGATTTTACGTAACCCTTATAACAAATTCGAATATAAATCAGTAATACCAAAATATATATATGATAAATACTTCGGGTACATCAAACTATGCCTCTCAATAACATGAGGTAATGAGAGGTGTAGTTACGTAATTAAATTAGTATAATTGTACATATGTTTTGTTAATATTGCAGTGTTGGCAGTGTTATGGCCCCTAATGGCGAGATGTACAGTGGTGTCGAAAAAAATGATAAAGTACATTGTGCCATTCGGGACAGCGGCGTGGCTTTGGGGCACGGTGTTCATTGATCGTGGCGCACAGTCTGGCCGCGACGCTCTCAACAAACAAACAGAAGCTGTAAGAGATCACAAGGTAATTGTCAATAGAGCAATTTTTAATAATCTCTAAGTATATGGAATGTTGTGCACTAAGGTGTACTATAAGCTAGCTATTAGTTATTAATTGGCGAGAGACTAATTTAGGTTAGTTATACTGTGGCGAACTCATAAGGCTGTAACCACGACAGTTTCTAGCCTGATAGAAGTAACCTGATAGAATATATTTGTAACAGCGATTTATTATTAAAAGTATCTAATAATGTTAATTTAGACGAAGTGACGAAATTTACAATAACTCCGTTTTTGTAGGTACTCCTTAATATTTTGTTTAGAATAAACATGCTAATAGGTGATTAATTAAATTTAGCAATATTTAACTGATAGGCAACTACCCACTAAGTAATCTAATCTTTGGTTTACTCGAATTTGTACATCGAGGACAAAGGATTCCATTTGACGCTTCTATATCTGATATAAGCTGCAACATTCGTCATATTTTCCATTCCCTTTATAGGTAGAACTGTTACATAGGTCCCACAATGGTTATAACCATCTATACGCCTACAATACCTGTATATACCACTTACTAGATAGCTGTGAGAGGCGAGTGAAAGTGCATATTTGTTATCTATCTAAACACACGTAGTAACTAAACTAAATATACCTACATAGTTCTTTTATCACTAGAATCTTCCTGTTAGTCTCGAAACCAAGCTGACTGGGCCCACAGACTGTTTACACATACATTATCGAAATTTTGCAGCTGACGTCAATCGAGTAATTTATATGGGGTGCGCCCGACGCACTCATATGAGAATTGGCAGACAATGTTTATGGTTTGTAGTAATAGGTACAATACAATTTTTATAGCAGTCTAACGTGACTATTATAAATTTTGGTGACAATCGAAATTCACACATAATGTTTATGATTTGTAGTCATTACAAGTAGAATACGAATTTTATAGAAGGCCAATGTGAGTTAAAATTCGGGCATAATCTTAAGATTAAAGAACAAATTAAAACTATGAGGGACATATAGTGAATAACGTGTATAAAGTACTTACTCATCTGTATAATAATAATACTAGGTACCTATAAATTCTAAGACGAGGTAATTTAAATTGTTAAGAGGCGACATTTAGTTTTAAGAGTTTCGTCATACAGGAAAAAATATACGATATATTTGTGTAGTTTCGTTTACTTTAAATTGTCAACATGTTACATCCATTTGGCAAATCTTTTTTCGGAAGAATTTTGTTGTGTATACAAAAGTTGTGTCACTGAGGTCGACGCAGTTAATTAATAGACTTACATTGTCAATCTTTGTACTTTCGACTCAGCATAATGCGACTGGCATAGTACCTAGATACATACTTTTGCATATTGTTGCACGTGACTGTAGATAGTTAACTATACCTAATATAATGAGGTTTATTCATTATAATATGGCAATAAATATCCGTGACAGATTAGATAAAGATAATTAAGTATGTTTAATGTAGGTATTTAATTAATAAGTACCGAAATAAAATATCCTACTTATCTTGGACAAGATAAAACAAAGGTGTCGGTCGGTCATTAATGTACTCCTATTTAATGCGGATTATAATGATTCCGTAGATTTTTAAGGGTTTAAATGTTCTTTTCAACATACTAGTATGAATGCAACTATACTAGAACATCTACGAGGGTTCAATAATCTCTAAAAATAATCTGAATTCACAAGAATTATTAATGTATAAAAATAATCGTTTATATAACATAACATATATAATATTTTGATTATTAGCAACGTAGCGAATTTCTTATTGGGAGAAAGTCTTGAAGTCGGCTATTTTATGTAAAAGCTACTAAAATATAAACCATATATGTCATTCTAAACTAAGTATTTTACATTACGTCCAAAACGGTATACTTACAATTATTTGTAAGTATTTACACTTCACACATACATACAATTTAGAAAATCAAGTAATTATGTAATTACTAATTGACAATATCAAATTAAGATATAATAACAACAATGACTTAATTATAATCTCATTAGGTAATACAGAATAATACACATACAATTACTATGTAGAGTTTCATGTTAGGTATAGGGTGTCAGGTTCAATGTAGGTTACAATAATAATTAAAATTTAATGGTATAAGTAAAGCATTTTTACTTTCTCACTAATTTATAATATTAATTATGTGTACACATGTATTTATTGTTATATCGTCATATGCACGTTTAGAAATTTATTTCTCTACATCGGTAGTTATTTGAATCTGACATATTCTTATAAAGTTCTATATATGCTTTAATGCTGTAATATATAGGTATAGATAAACACTTGGACAGTGATAATAAATTTATATATATTCTGTTTTGCTAGTGATTTAGATGTGGAATCCTAAAAATTCGCATGTGTTTGGGGAAATCTAATCTCTTTAATTAATTTAATCTATTAATATTCATTCCGGATGTAAAAGAAATAACCATTGTGAAGTAACGTAAATATTAGTTGCTTAGATACCTAAGTACATTTTATAAACGACCGATAGAAATGTAATGCAATAGAGTATTGAAATCTTCTATATTTTTTAAAAATAATCTTCTTACTTGTTACTTTTACTATTTTATTAGTGTGTTAAGACATAATTCCATTTTATTTCTTATAAATATATGGATATATTTAAACAAAGAGTGTTTGCGTAATTTTATATACTTCATATAAAATGGCTCATGATCCGTGTACAATAGACTCTACCCTAGCACATTATCATACACTGATAATGGGAATTCCTGTGTCACAAAATTTTGAAGCTGAATAAAAATTTGAATAAAGGTACTTTATTTAGGTATTTCATTAATGACATGACAAAGAAATTAACCGATTACAAATTGAATTTTTTTTTTCTTTGGCAAGAGGCTAGTGTTGCCTATTATGCCACTAAAAACAGGAAACGAGACGGGATAATGGAAAGAAACGGATTAAATTTTGAATATACTCGGAATTAGTGAATTAAATTTGATAACTAATCTACATTGACTTTTAGGTTGCCAAATCCGGAATTATAATATAATTGTCCACAGAGTTCATATTATTGTTGAATGTTTGTTGATGTGACAAGCTAAATCATTTCGAAACTGCAATTTTTTGTATTGTATCGTGATAAAGAAATCATAATAGTTAATCTGGTGATTACATCGTCCGTTGTGTCATAGCATTGTATTTGGCTTACAACTATATCCTGTTTTAATCTAAATCTAAATATTAGGTACAACGTTAAGTCACTCATAGTACGTGAATGTGTCACTTTAATCGAATTGTGATTATAAAGTAGTTTATCTTGCATTTTATGTAAGTAACATATTATGTTTACAATAACAATGTTGAATCTTTCCATGTTATTAATAATAACCATGAATATCTCACATAGCGCCATCTAGATCTAATTAAGTGAAACTTGATGGATATTAAATTACTAACACCCATACTCAGCTATAATAAGATTGATTTGAAGACGGGCCAAAAAGGATCACTCTAGAGGCTCGGTGTAGTTTATAATAAAATTATATACAGAAATATTGAAACATACAAACTATATTTATAGAGATACTTACGTAGAGAAAGCCATGTTACAGTTTAAGACTTAATCAAGTAACCATTGTATCAACCAAATCCAAAACCAATCACTGAGGGTTTGAGGTCGACTAGTTTGCTGGCAATAAATGACTATCATAATTGGATGATCATTTCAAGCGTCATTTGTTTTGTAAAATTTAGTTGCTACACGGCCGAGTAGAGTAATATCATTTTGCACGCAAACTACTTACGTAGGTACTTATAGAAATGACCTATTATGGATTGTATTGTGAGGAATGATCATGTCCCTGAGATAGACAACACTGATTACCTTTTTAATACAAAACTGAATTATAAACGCATGAGGTTTTTTTTTAATGTAATGCTGGGGCTTTATTTTAAAATATTACTTTGAAGTCGGAATTTTACTTTGTCACTTATATTATTTATTGATAACTTTACTTTAAAGTCTCCTCTCAACAGTATTTGATAGTGTTTTAGTAACAGTGCGTATATCAACGAATTAATACCTAGTTCCTTGTATCTTTAGAATGCAATTATTTGAGGTCAAAGCCAATTATTTGCAACATTGTTGGTAATTGTAGTAAAGAAAACAATGTTGGGGTCCTGATAAGAGAGGGCATACGTGATAATCTAATTAACAGTACATATAACCGTTTATCCCGACTGATTCATCGAAAGTACAGTCTAAACTATAGCTACTAATTAGAAACGGCCAGGGCAAATGGGCTCACTCGAGGCCCTAACCTACACCACACACAAACATACATATTTTTGTGACGATTTTATGTAAAGATTACTAGATTAGTATATGGAATATGGACATGGATAGCTGGTGGGATATGGATAGCTAGTTAATTAGAAATATATAGTAATATAGCATATGTAGTAATAATTAATAATAACAATTAGAAATAATATGTATATGATACAAGTGAGAAAACAAGCAATTAGTACTTTAAGTTTCCAAGTGATCTTTAACAATAAATAAGGAGAAGATAAGCCGGAGATAATAAATTGAAATGGTGACTTCAGACTAACTGCAACTTGCATAATATAGATATGATATGAGGTAGATACAGCTACCTTATCTTAATGTGGTTATTAATTGAAATGATATTAATTTATTTGTTATAAAAGTTGCACATGATAGCAGTCTTATTATCGCTTTTAGTTATCTTGTTCTTGCTTTTAGTTTTTACAGATGTAAATATATGAATTATCGTAGTATTTTTATGTAATTTAACAAAATTCATACCTTTATAACTATGTTTTTTTGCAACAAATAAAATAATGTACCTAATAGTTATATTCTTATTGAATTAGAAGAAAAAGTATATATTTTAGATTAGTAAAAAAGTTAGCCATATTAAGTGTTATTTGAATTTAGGTCGGTTTTTTTAAAAAAAAATGCTTATGTGCAGCTTCGTTATATAATCTATCTTTATATCAAACACTCGTTCAGTCGTGAAAAGATATCAAATAGACTATCACACTTTGCAATTACCTACAATATTAAAATTTTAAGTATGGATTATAAACTAATATTCAAGAGAATACCTACCTATACATAAAATAAATTTCGAATCATTATTGCTATATGTATTTATTACAGCGTAAATTACTGCTGTTCCCGGAAGGGACGAGGCACTCTGGAGATAAACTTTTGCCGTTCAGAAAGGGTGCCTTCCACGTGGCTGTGAATGCCGGCGCTCCCATACAACCAGTGGTTGTCTCCAAATATCATTTCCTGGATTCAAAACGTCGACGTTTCGGGTCAGGTGAGTGTGAACTAGCTACTGTACTACTATCACAAGACATGATTGAATTAATTAATTCATGCAGGTTGTCTTTGCCAAAGTCTTACATATATATCTACATATGAGTTGCCCAAGTCGCTTGCTTATAACGTCGCGTACGATAGATGGAATGAATTAAAGGATACGTAAATTTGACATAGTCCACGTAAGTGGAAACGCATACCTACCTTAGGTACGACATGGTGATGGCAATCAGCTTGTTTGTCATTTTAGTTACAAAAAAATGTTGGTCGTAATTATTAATTCACTTCTTCGTTCTATATAAAACTTAGAATCGTAGGTACATGTACTATAAGTTTATCTAATAAGTACTTTGTAGAAATCTCAGATAAGCACCTGTTTAAGATCCATAAACCAGCAGCAATTCAGTATAGACGAAATTTGTCATATTTATGAGACAGATTTGTAATATAATCTTTTAAAGTACTTACTTTGAGATAAAAGTAAGTATAGTGATACAAAATATAAACAGGTTACAACAGCAAGATTTTCAAATCTATTTGTGAAAAAATATGAGAATAATCTAATAATTTTTAATCTAATATTAATACTTTATGGATTTATATTATTTTATTTAATTCCGGTGGCATTAGCAACACGAGATCACAAATATTTAGTGAGGAAACCTGACTACCACTACTATAGGCATTAATACCATCTATATTAGTGTTGAATTTCCATATCCCACAAGTGTTTTGTCTCTAAACGATGCGTCTTATCATCAAGCTGAGAGCTGAGATATCGCTTGGAAGTCTAGTGTTGAAGTTCGAAGAAAAACATTATATTTGTTTCAAACTCTCAGTGTGCGAAGCTGACTCGCAGATGATCCGATTTTATATCTGATAACAAGCAAAACTATTTTAAATTTACAGGTGAGGTCATCGTAACAATATTACCACTGATTGAGACCGAGGGTATTACGAAGGATGACATTCAATCGTTGGTAGATCAGACTCAAATTAAAATGCAAGAGGAATTCACGAGGACGTCGGCGGAGACGGCTTCAAGACGAAACACTCGTATTAAGGCTGATTAATTAAGGTATTGTAATTTTAGATCAAGTTGCACAAAAAATAGTCATGAAATCAACATGAGATATTAATATTCCTGTAATGGAAATTAAAAATCCATAACAAACAGACATACACATTTTTAAAATGATAATGAAATAATTCAGTTTTTTTCGCTTTATACTGGCGGGACACCAGTGAAAGATGATAAAATGATCATGAGGTCGGGTTAGTTAGCCCATCTTAGCAAATTACCACGATGGTTTCCAGGGGGAACCGTATGCTAGCAGTGGGGTTATTAGCCACTTTATTACCAATCTCCTTCCCCCTCATAGGGTACCTATTGCCATACAAACAGCACTAGGTAAGTGTACAGAATGTATCTTGATGTATAAAAGTGATCGATCGCGTATCCATTTCTCAAAGGAAGAAAATGAATTGATACAGCGGTACATCGCCAAAGTCGTGACATTTTTGAATAGGCTATACATATCTAGATATTAGGTATATTAGAAAAGTGGGTAATTGTTCAATATGTGTCCAAGAACAATTTATACTTAATTATAAAATAATTCGGGTATAAATTTCGCAAAATGTTAATCATCTGTTTTAAAACCTAAAAGTTTTATTTGATAGCCTATCCCAAACTTTAGGACCAATGTGCGTTGATGCCTAATGATCACAATGCCATGCAGATCATTGTTTGGGGTATGACTGTTTTTCGCTTTGTCAAGGAGTAGGTACCTACTTATTATCTTCAGAATCCAACCTCTTTATAAATAACATCGGGTATTGGTTTATAATAAATATAACAAGAATAAAGATAAAAAGGATCAATATAAAATATTCAATTACAATTTTCTAGTGAACCGTGTCACTAACGAGATTTTCTTTGGACAGAGGAATTATTCGTTTTATAAAAAAATAACTTGAACTTTCTCTTTCCACTTATTATTTCTATTGTAAATATACCCATAAATATAAAGATGTTATGTGCACGATACGAAATCTCCATATTAAAGTTCGGTAATATACGAAATTGTCGCACCACCGAGTTCGACAGATTTAGAATTAAAGTACAGATTACAATTGATTATATTTATTAACAAGTACCTATGTTTTCATTTCAGATACCTGTTGAGAAGTTTGTTACTATTAGGATCTAACAAATAGAAATATAAAATGGGACTAATAAGCACCTCAGATATACTATAGAAAATGTTGAAATTGAAAACGACCCTCGTAAAGTACCTATAGTGTGTATAGTGAATATCTCACATCGTTTTATTGTTCTAGTACAATAAGAGTCTAGACCCAGGGGTCCAGTAGGTCGGGGTCCTACTAAATAGCTGTGATAATTACATCGTAAAAGAGTTTAATTTTGGCGTTTAGTTTTTATTTACATGAGTTGTGTACATATTTTTTATAATAAATATATTTTAAGACTAGTTTGTAGTTTTATTAGTAAGATATTTTTTATATATTGACAAAAAACTGACGGCATACCTAGTAAGTCGTATATGAATTGTACAGCAGATATCACTTCATCATGTAACGTCTAAGGAAGCACTCATATGTTGCCATCCCGGACCACAAAGTTGTAATACTTATGTACTCTATAAATTTTCCGTCATATACATGTTCCTTCAACTTACTACACATGTTATACAGACGAGGGAGATGTACCCACGTAGATTTCTTTCTAAAAGGTCTATCTTATTAATAAATATGTAACAAATGCATTTAGGTCTTTATAGTATCAAAACTATACCTACTTCTTGGCAGAAAACTAATATACTTTTGATTGGTCTACAAAGGTACTAATAGAAATGATTTAGTTCAGTTACGGAAAAGAACTTATAAGGTAAGGTATAAAACTATATATTAGATGCCTATACATTTCTTATTTTTTAATTGATCGAACAGTGCTTGGTTTTCCCGGCTGCGCTGTAGCTATACACTTTGCTATTCAGATGCATGTCTATTTATATGCATGCCTGTAGATGCTTTTATACTCTTATTTTTATTCATTTCGTACACAACAATTCGGCATTCATTACCTGAAACGTAGTCATATTAAAATAGATTTGAAAAAAAAAAACGAAAAGTTGTCCTGTATTTTTTTATTACAGACTTTCAAATAACGAAAATATCGAAAAATACATTTTATTGGTTGTATCTAACACACAACGTGGGGTACAGGATAAATTTACATCTAACGTATATCACATATTTTTGAATATATTTTAGAAATTTATGGATACAATATACCTACGTTTCCACTACAAACAGTAACTTTGTGGCTAATAAATGTTAGATAAATGAAAGTCGTACATGCATATGTAAATATGTGAGTAGGTACGAAAGTATATTCAGCCTAACTACTCTATGAAACTTAAAATATGTTAGTATGTAATAATACTTGCAATATAACATTAGTATTAAATATTGTTGGGATGAGTTAACAATGTTCAATATTAGTCGTCGAGCCAGAGCCTAATTTCATCAATAATTTACTAGGCCGAAAACTTGCAAAATAGTCAAAATAGTTTTCAGCAGAGGTTCTGAGGCTGGGAAATGCAGGACTCTCACAAACTTTTAAATAAATTTGCTTAAAAATAAACCTTATACATAATCAACTTTAAAGTTCAAGAATAATTTAATGCCTTACAATTTATTACTCTATTTTTTGCCAACGCCACTTAGTCAGCCTGACAACTTGTTAAAAAGAAAATTTCTAAGTAAGAACTGAAATGAATTTTACAAATAATAGATCATAAGGTCTACTTTTATCAAATGTAATTTTAAAATCTTTGTGAAGTTCTGTTGCTCACCTTACCGCAGCTGACGTTCACTAATCTTCATAATTCAATTGTCATAACCATTTTAAAAGACTTAGAAATTGGTCACAATGATGTGTTCACAGATTATATTTTCGATCCTGAACGTATTTCATTGTTAATAATATTATTACGGTCGACATAAGGAATATACAAATATTATAATTGTATAGTATACATATATAGTAGTTAAGATATTAAATTATTTTAGGTATAATATTAAAACTAACTAAATACAAGTTTTTTAGAAATTGCTGTATGTTGAAAATCATATGTAGAACGAAATTTAGCCTCCAGTATGATAATTTGTATGATAAGCTGACTAATAGGTTATCATAGCTAACATAGCGTTGAGTGGCATTGGCATGCGGCAAATTATAGTAAAGTAAACTAGATAAGCAGTACCTATATTATAACATATAATAATTAATAGACTAGGACTTAAATTGAAAAAGAAACTATGACTTAAAATGTAATGTTCGACAGAAATATTTGATATGGGCTACTAAACAGTGTAATTGGGAATTTACTAATATTTAGTTAGTAATACCACAGATAAGATAATATTACATAGTAATACTACTGCGAAGACGATATTCTGCCATTAGTATTTAATATAAAACGTTATTTAAGAAACATCTGGGTGGCATGGGCGGTTCGTCATGTCCGTTTGGAATCCTTCAGCGGGAAGCTCACGTATTTTTTTTCTTACAAAATTTGTGTCCATTACGTCTTTGTAACTAATCTGGTACGACATTGTCGAACCATAAATATTACTGATAAAAGGTACATAATTCAAATTGAATTGTTATTACATGTATTTTTATATTTCTACGTAAAGATTATTTTCATAATGTAGCTTATGAATATAACTAATTAAAGAAATATAAATTAAATGATTACTTGTCTTTAAAATTTAAACCCCAATTTAAAAATGATTTGGATTCATTTGGATGTTAGTAGCACATTTCATTATTTCAGTCGTCTAATACTTGATATTCACAATACAAATTGAGTATGAAATTATATTTAAGATGGCTACTCTTATAATCTATCAATTGTTGGATGATTAATGTAATGTTCATTAATTACACATAATAAAAAATTAAAAGAATTCGTCGTAGTCGAATTCGAAGAGGATGATTCGTTTGACAGCAGACAATGATATCCCTTGAAGAAATATTAAAGTAAGGAATTTTGTACAAATTAGCTTATACAGAATGGGATGAAATCTTTGGTCCTAAAAATACGAGATATATTCAATATTATATGAAGTATTTTGAAATGTGAATACATTTCAACGCCCGCATTTCTCTCAATGGAAATAGAAGTTGTGATTACCTCACAGGTATTATAGTAATTTATTATATACAGACGATCTAAGAACAACCACTAAAGCGTAGAAATACTAATATATATATTGAGTAGTATGTTATGCTCTTTAACCAGACGTAAATTTGTCGAGAGAGATAATTTTTGACAGGGCCTGTTACTTTATATAATAATAATTACTGTAATATAAACTAAAAGTACTAACTAAAAGCAGTTCCTGTGCTTTAGTTTACTTAAGACTCTGACATAAAAGTGACAATAGGTTGCCAGTTTTACTTTGCGACCTTACACAAACATTTTTAAGATAAATATTGTCAATATATTTCGGACACGATTTTAAAAACTGGCGATTAATGGAATGATGACGACTAGAGTCCACTCACGTGAAATTCATATTCTCTACTGCATGGCAAAGCAAGTGGTTTAAAACGGACATTGTTTTGATGAGTTATAGAATTTTTTAAAAAGCTTGCCGCCGAATTTTACTTCACACCAGAATAAGACATATTTCTCTTATACACGTCAATAAAATTATCTATTGCAATTGGAATCTTAGGCTACCACAAATTCTTTAGTGTTTGGTTTGGTTTTAGAAAAGTTTCGGATGAACTTACAAATTCTTCAATATAACACGATAAGGATTTATGAACAATATTATGTGATGAGATGAGTTTAATAACTAATACGGATTTTACTTATTATTCTAACGTCAAAATATCGAATGGTTGTTAATTTATTCAACTTAAGGTGATAGTATAATTCATTATTTTATGGACAATAACTTGTACCAGTTATTGTCTATAAAATAATTAATAACCTTAATAAATAACAATTGTTACAGTTGACATTATAATTATACCAAATATAATAAAAAAATAGCTTTAGTTAATAAGTATTTGAGAAAAACTATAAGCCAGTACAATATTACCTATAAATGTTACTGAATACAATACTTTAAAACATTTATAAATTGTTAAGAACTCTATAAATTCAATAATAGGAATTCTACACGTTAATTTAATAATACTCATGTGTTCGGAGACAGTTGGTGTAAAATAATTAAATAATTATATTATTGATAGAGAAGATGCGATTTCCTATCAAAAAGTAAAACACTAACCTACTTGCTTGCTTTTATAATACTTTTATCATTTTGAATAATATTTCTTTCAAAGAGTGAAAGAACTATTCAAATAGATAGTGGTTTTGGAGATTAGATAGATCATGTATATTTAAGAAGATCAAACTCTTTCCTTATTAGAATAAATACTTACTTCAAACTTAGTAAAATTTCTAAATATTACAAAGTTGTATGTAATCACTATTGTACTGATTCACTAAAAACCCCATTAATGTGGTTTCAAAATGTTTTGAAGTATTCATAATGTTACTATGATAAACTACTGTTCACATATCAACGCACATGAGTAATCCAGTAATTTTAGTAAACGTAAACAAATACTATACAGCTGATGACTATGCATGAACTGGATATTACAAGATACGACAATACATTCTTTTCTAACTAGTGCATAAGTTTATAGTAATACTCATAATAAACTTGTTTGAAAGAATAATAATAATAACCCTGGACAATTAACACAGCGTCATCTAGTCCCACTACAAACTGAGCTTGTATTATGGGTACTACACAACGGATATAAATACTTACATAATTTTACGTAAATACATAGAAAACAACTAGACCGATACAAACAATCGTACTTATGAATATAAATGTTTACCCCGTGAGAGGAATCGAACCCGCAACCACCGGAAGTAACGCGGTAGACCGTCAAATCAAAAAATTCTTTTTACATAACATCTGAAATATTTCAGAACACAACAATTATAGGATAGTGGCGTACTCAATGGTTAATGTATATATGGTTGGCACATTCGAGTTATTTTTGAGATCAAAATCACTCTGTACTCTGTATTGATATAGGGCGAGATTCTTACGTACCGTTATATTTATATTTCTTAACAAGCCCGCAATGTATACTCAATAATATTTTGTTAATTTTGACACATAAAGTTGAACAATATGTATATACAATTCATGGTAGTCAATTTGATTAAAGCAAACATTTTTATTCTTAGTAATTGTTAATATTTTTATTAAAAAAAAAATCTAATTATTATTTATTATGTATATTAAGATATTATTTTGTTTTGGAACATATATAAGACTATATTATCTAACACAAGAAATAAAATAATAATTCCGCGGTACCTACCTACTTATAATTGTATACTGTGCTTACAACTCGAGTGAGTTTTGTTATATTATAATAACAGTATTTTAGGTTATCGTTTTATAATTAGTCTAATACTACAGACGATATCCTTTGGTTAATGTTATAACATTGATCAAAAGATATTACTTTTTGTCCTTATACGGTGGTTATACTAATAATCGTGACTCAACAGTGCAAAGTCGCGTATATAGTATGCGTTATATGTATACGATGGACTATAAACATTTCCCAAATATCGGATTTGTCGGAGATTAAACATCATGAAAATAGGTTTTTTTTCTATAATTAATAAGAAGTCGACTAACTGGAAACTAAGTATTTGCGTGTCAGCAGTTGTTGTCGATTTTATATAGATTCAAGGAGAGCTTGCTATTATTTCGCCTACTCTGCTATTACTTCGGTGTAGAATCAGAAATAAGTTACGTTTTCTATACGTGAAGTTCATCTAGAGCAGGGTAGAGCAACACACGACCCGCGGGTCGGCTATGCATGTTTATTCCTGCCAAGCATTTCTATAATTTTATTGGTTTTTCGACTTTTTCCCATAAGTGTATTGTTATAAATTAATTATAATAAAATCATTAAACTTGCAATACGTTTGCATTAAAATTTGTATAGAAAATCTATACTTTTTTTTATAATATTAATGTTTATTATAAATAAAGTTCTGTAAATTATTAAAAGGTACTATAAGTGCGGTCCGCCAAAACATTTTAACATTTAAATTGGTTCGTTAAGTAAAAAGGTTGCTGACCCTTGATGTAGAGAATTAACAACAACCGCCAATTTCTAATTGGTAACATTTATAAAGTTAATGCTACTTCGCTCTGTTATATCATCAATATTAAAAATGTAATATCACAATGAAAGTAAAGTGAAATCATCCCTTTTTTATAAAATGTAGTGGTTAATCTTACAACAATTTTGGCATGTAATGTAGGTATAAATAGACAAGAAAAAACTTTCTACTATATTTCTCTAGTCTGTTACTTAAACCATAAAAGGTGTAATTCTGTGACAAGAAAGAAAATACGTTAACTACTTTGTCACAGTTGAGGTATTAGTCATCCCTGTTACACTTGTTTCCCAATTAATTATGCCGTCATAGTACTTAATGTCACGCACGCTAACGTAAAAAGTCGATTGCATTTAAACGCAGCATGCGTTATCAAGTATTTGTTATTCAGCTCCAAGCAAGCACAACGCAATTTCAAGTTATAAACAATAGTGCACCCGTTGTATACAAACTAGAAACTGGGCGAGTTGTGTCGTAATGAAAAGATTGTTATGCGGCACAAATTATTGCGCACACGCATTTACCTAAGTACTGTGAACATGGTTGTTTTCTTTCTCGACAACAAATTGTCACTGTTTCCTAACGAATATCGACTTTTGTTTGACATTATGTTCATCTTAATAATTAATTATTTCTACCTATAAAAACTAATTAAATAATGGCAATGTGAAAATTTGAATATGATTTAAAAAAAAAACAATTACTGATCCAATTGTTTCAGAACAATTCTAATAAAATATAGAACATTCTGTAATAAAATTTTGGTACAATCACAGATATGAATGCATGTTGTCTGAATTAATCAGACATAAGTCTTAATAGAATCACGGTGTACGCTTACATAATACCACAATTAAGATACACCAATGAGATAAAGTACAATAGTTAATAAGTGCTGCCAACTATAAAGGATGGCAAACTCTGTACATGCCGCAGTAGATTGATTTAGTCTACTGTCGCAAGCGGGTAGTTTGGTGGCAACGCACTTAACACTTCCTTTGAGAGTTCTTTGTACACGGCGTCCATTGTGTTACGGACACGGTTTATTAAATCTGGCACGTCATCCATGGTCAAACCTTCTGTCGGCACGGGTTCCAGGCATTGGATAACGACATGACCTGAAATATACATATGAAACTTTATTTGGATTTTAGGATATTAAAATAACAAAAAGGGGACGGCCCATCTGTTGGATTGTGGTAACCGCTACGTAAACACATAAGCACCAACACTGTCATATCACAGGATACCCATATACTAATTTGTCATCCTCCGTACCATGTAATTAAAATGGTATATTATTTTTTACTGAACATTCAAATCTGGAAACAATTTATCAAACAAGCTGATTGTCTGCAGAAGTATGTAGACAACAAGACGAGCGGTTAAATTTACGTCGATAAAATTTTAAATAGTAACTGATAATTAAAGTGAATGCCTAAGACTACATATGACTATGTATTAATTATTTAACACTGTACAAACAGCTTATGATATAAAAAAATAATTGGACGATGAAAATTATCTTCAGTGAGCTGTTTACCGATATTCTTTTAATAATAAACGAATTAATTTAATGGGAATTTTGGATATTTAGATATAAACTGCGCTGTCGCCTAAAAATAGTATGACCGTTTAAACATCTAGAATCAAGAACATCTGCGTTTTCAGTTGTGGCTTCACATTTTTGTTCGTCTTACTAATACTACAACGCGAAAGTTTGTGAGGATGGGTGGACGTTTGTTACTCGTTCTCGCAAAAAGGACTGAACCGATTTTGATGAATCTTTACAACTTATACATCAAAATACATATAGGCTATAATTGAATAGGATATTAAGTAAATTGGGCGAAATGTGAAGAATATGAAGAACAAATGTCAAGTAATCACACTTACTTGACATTTGTTCTTCATATATGCAGACAGAATATCCAAAACAGTAGATATTTATTTTAATTATCTTGCATAATACATATGCCTAGTAGGAAGGGTACGGATAATACTGTATATTAAGTATCAAGAAGTAATCAACCCTGTCGTGAAATATTAATATTACAAAAAATACTATAAATTCATTAATGAACAATTACTGCTGCCTATTACTTATATCACTTAACGTTCAAGGTTTGTTTATTTGTTTTTCGATTATTACTCTCATCATATTTTTATTACGAATACAAATATAGTGACAAATAAAATATTTTAATAATCAGGAAAACAGTATTTATGATATAAAATTTCCCTATTTTATTAATTATGTTTGTCGCTGATATTTTGTATTTTATATAAAGAATTTGCATCACTGGAGGCGAATAATTAACTGTTAAATATGACAAGGTCATAACCTTGTGATGTTTGAACATATTATGAAATACCCGTATATTTATTTGTATTATACGAATTTCTCATTGATAGAAGATTTAATTTAGTTTATTTATAGAACTATGTTAATTCTATATATATTGATTGAACTCAACATCAATTCAGACATTGCATATAAATCAGCTCATATTATGTTAAAATACTTAGACACTTCTTATTCTAATGTAAACAGAAAAAAGTAACAAAACTTTATGATATGATCAATTCTACGATTTGGCCACGACATATGCATTATTCATAGAAGTGAACGTGACGTAATCGGCTGGGTATTCCTCCTACATGAGTAAAAACCTCTGGTTCAGGTGTTCCATTTAATAGGAAGTAAGATCACGAAAAAAGAAAGAAAAATTAACCTGTTACTTAAAGAGTAATTGACCCATAGCATAATGGAATTTTATTTTATTTAACAAAGTAGAAGTTCCGCCGATTAATGATTAGATAATAAAGTATCTATATAAATAACAAGAGCAGCTTCGAATAGCAGTAATAATGAAAACCTTTTAGTCAATTATGCTAATGTAATTGAATGAATTTTTATAAAATACTAAACAAGTGCAGCCATTGGTGGACTATAGTTAGTAGTTTCTTGTTCTTCTTGCTTCAAACTACTTTCAGAACTGACGATATAGATTTGACTTTATTATAAAGTTTCTGTAATACATGACTAAAGATATTTTGATATGATTGAAGCTGTGGTTATAAAGAAATATTAGGTAATAGTCAGAATACAATAGTCAATAACGTGAATACGATTTGTTTATCTTTAGTAGTGCTCGTTGCCAAAGGTCAGAGACCACATATTTGAATTATTATATATTTAGTATCATATTACATAATGTCTATTGACGGCAATCGAGGTTTAATAATTTAGCAAACCGCCTTACTTCCGATAGTCGCGGGTTCAAATCTCGCACCATACAAATATTTCTATTCATGATTTTTTATACCTATTGGTCTGAGTGTGTTTTATATATACTTACTATGTAATTATTAATGTATAATAATAGAAGGGTGCAGTTAGCTATTTCTATTAGGTTTTCACAGTACTTAAACCACAACCTCAGCTAAGACGCAAATTGATCTGGGTTATTATTATATAGTAATACAGTATATCTAATTATAATTAGTATTTTTATAGGGATACTAACAATATTATTTACTGGTTATATTCATGAAGTGCCTACGTACCTACATTCATAGGTAAGTCACTCTAAATATTACTTATTTATAATGGCTTTACTATAATTTTCTTTATTAATTATCCTTCTGGTGATGGAGTAAAATCCAATGTGTCACCACAACACATCATTCCTTATATCCCTGAGATGTTGTAAGACGTAACTAGTTGGACAAACAGGTTACATCAGTAAAATAGGAAAAAACTTGAAATGAACCATGTGTCCCGCCCCCTGTCCAGAGTTAAAGGCAAAGTAGGTTAAAATCGTTCATAAGTTAAATGGAGAGAGGCGAATAAATATGCCCTTGATTAAGGGCCCTGTCTAAATATAAAACTAGTTAAGTAAACTTGTAGATGTAAACGTTAATTATAAAATAGACCTTGTAAAATTCTGGCAAAATGTGACTTTCAACTCTTAACTTTACATTATACATATATATAGATGACCTCGATGGTACAGCGGTGGGTTTTTGCGCAAATAAGGTCTAAGGTTCGTTTATACGCCAGACCAGTTTAGGAAATAAAGTTAGGTCAGGGTGTGTATCCGGTCGAACTCTTATTCAACTTTTAACAGAATACATTTTGGTACTACTGCTTAGTGTTATTACATGTACACTACTGTTACAATTAAATTACGTATACAATACTAGCTGATTAGCGCAACTTTATCCGCGTTTTTCATTTAATCACCATTCTTCCATTATGGGTCTTAGCGTGATGTTTATGTGTCCTTATAGGCTTTCTCGATATATGTATGGTCTATCCAAAACTACATTACTACATTTTTCAATTGAAATCAATAAACCATAACATTAGCGCGTTCTATTAAATAATTAAACAAATAAATAAACTCTTCGACTTTATAATATTAGTATAGATAAGGTAGCAAGGTCACAGTAATTAAACAAAAGTTAAAAAAACAATCTGGAAATATGACATGTTGACATTTTCCATACAAACGTGAATTAATATTTTTGTAATTATTTCTTAATTTAACCTAGAAGATATATAATAGATATGCAGTAATTACCTTTGTTAAACATGTTTTTGTCTCTGTTTATGAAATAATAAGGTGAGTAGACAACAGGTATGATAGGCACTTGTGCCGCAACTGCAATGTTGAATGCTCCTTTCTTGAATGGCAACAATTTTGTGAAGTCTTTATTCCTTGTTCCTTCAGGGAATAGCCAGATTTTTGTCTGTAATTAATATGTTCTTATAAATATCAAGTATGGAATCATATGTTGAAGAACTTAGACCTATTTTAAGTAGCTCAATAATTACTTTACTACTATTAATAATTACAATAATAAGTAGAAGTTACACAGGGCAGAATATATTCATATTCAATGTTGCCTACATCGAATATAAATATTATTATAATACTTATGGTATTATGATAATGGTGGAATTTTGAGACTTTAATGTTATTATATTTTTGATACATTTTGTATCGTGTTTAAATGCAAATATTTAGTTTGCTGTTAATTGGCTTTTAAAAACAGCTGTAACCACTTCAGTTACAATATGCCTTTATAAAACCTTAATTACATTAATCAAATAAAATTTGATATAATTTTTATTTTTTTACTAATTAAATTCTACCATAACATAAAATTCATGTATTACAATAATATATTTAACACCATGAAATTCTGTAGTAAAGGAAGGCTTTTGAGTTTACCTATGGTAATTCATTTTTTATTTGATTGCAGGCATAGTGCCTACATTATAAGGTATAATTAATACACTATAATAATTGATAATTTGGCTGATGATGAACACACACATAGAACAACTTGATCTTTCACTGTTGCTTCATAACATGGAAAGACTTTCTAAACTATATGAATATTATACAAGTTTATTGTAACAATACTATCATATCATACCTTATTTTTTATCATAACCTCTGAAGTCACTTTCAGTTGTTTGTATGCTTCCTTAGAGTTATTTCTGTCAATGAAGACAACTCCTCCAAGATATGCTGCTAGTCCAAATGGCCAGACATAAAATATCTCTTTCCTTGCTATAGCTGCGACTTTATCTGCTACATGCCATATGTTAAACATACCTAAAATTCAATTATATACAATATACTACAAAACAGCAGCTAATGCTACTATATAAATCTTACTTCTTCATAGTGTTAATGTTTGTGAATTTGTGTGCAATTGTTATCTAATTACACATATATGTTTGGATAATTTTAATCTATACATATAAATAAAATTGGAGTGTCTGTTTGTAATATTGAAATAACCATTTTTTACTACATGCATATGAATATAAATATGGTACATACTCCAAAAAATATTTTTATATGTTTTGCCTGTCTGTCTGTTTGTTCTGGCTAATCTCTGAAATGTCTGGACCGATTTTGACTGTACTTTTATTGACAGGTATAATGAGTAACTTAGGCTTCTTTTATTGCAGAAATACATTTTATTTTAGAAAAATAAAGTATATTGCAAAACTCCATGTAGACAAAGTCACACATACAACTAGTGATATATAAATTTATTATTAATGTACAAAAGGCTGACAGCAGATATTATTACACAGGATACTTTGTGTACTAATCAATGTGGCACATTATATTCTATAATTTGTATAAAAATATATTAAGTATTTACGAGATTTTATTTTTTATAAGAATAATTTATTAAGTAAATACTTAATGTTTTCTAATAAGTATGTATTCAAGCACTATTTACAAGTAATTTAAATATTATATACCATTGGATATGGACCTTCACCTATTTCCATAGGTGTAAGTGGCTCTTCAGAATTATTAACAAATTGTCACTTTATTATTGAAACCTATTAATATACAAGTCACACAGTGACTCACATTCACAGAAGTCATTGAACAAGTTTAAGATATAGGCTTTAATACAAAATGAGCATTGAATTTAATATAGCATTATGTAAAAAATCAGACCTAAAATATCAATAGTAGATTGGTGATTAGACACAACAACAGCTCCGCGGTCCTCGGCAAGTACTTTACCATTCCGCAAGTGCCATTTGATTTCTAATACTTTAGTTATATGTTTCACTATTTGCGACGCAAATCTGTAAAACAATGATTTCTTTAAATTATCAGTGTTGTACTATTACATATTAATAAATATATCAGATTATGCTAAAGAAGTATACATAAAGAAAATAACAGAGACATCTAGGAATTTAAAATGTAGAAGCTATTAATAAAATATACAATACTTATTTCATAAATGCTGATTTTTGGATTTGATTTACAGTGATATAATTTTCAAATGCTGAAATAGGAGAATCAATATTTTCGTCGTACATTTAGAATAGAAAATAACAAGGTTTAGTAGAGTAAAGCAATAGGATAGATGCAACTTACAATAAAAATTATTAGAGTTTTCTATGACATGATGATGTCCCAAACATGTGGAGAATTTTATACTCTAATCAAATATAGAATATATATAAATAATAATGAATTTTGATAATTATCAATTTTACTAAGTACTTACAATGAGTTTTTCACATTTTTAGGATTAAACACGAAGAACGGTAGCAACACAATAGCAATTATAGAACTCCAAATGTAGAAAATGAAAAATTTAGATTTAAATTTTATAAAATTTGGCGTTTCTGAAAACAGTTGCTTCAAAATGTACGTCACCAAAGTAATGATACAAATGTATATAATTTTATGCCACATATTTATTATATTTTATTGAAATAACTTGTATTCAAGATATATACGTGAAATTACACTTCTTGCCGGTTTGCACACTTTTATTATAAGGAATCGAGACAGAAATCGATAATTCGCGCACAAACTATATATGATTTCAAACACAATATTAAGTAAACTGAAAATTAAAGTAAAATTCAATAAATCTCCGATATGGATTTTTGAATGTAACAGTGCGATTAATCAGATCGCAGAACGACCGAATGTAACTAAATTGAAATGAAATGTGATTGATTATATCAATATGAATTTTAATTTGTTTGCGTTCTGTTAGTCTTGCTGTCAAACAGACTGTGTCAAATGTCATGTACTGTGTTGCCAAATTAGTATTCGGGTATATAGTATATTCAAAGTCTTTATAATCTAAATTAAAGAACTCTAATATTATTCTGAATATTGGACAAAGAGGAAGATAATCATAAGAAAAAGAATAATTAGATTATTATTTTACGATTATCCTATATACATTGAAATAAAAAAATGAAACCATCACAATTTTATCCTATAAATAGTTAAAAATTAAAGCATAATAGGATTACATGGGATTGTCACATGGCCGTGAAAGGAATTAAAAAAGTAGTTTGATTGATGGCACTTTGACAATGACAGCGGTTTATTGTGAAGTTGACAACATACACAGATTAAATATTATTTTTCATGAAATGTAAGTTGTATAGAATGTATATGAAATAAAATAAAATAAATATAGAATAAAATTTATTTACAGCTCCGTTATATTATATAAAAATTTTAGTATCTTTCTTGAAGCTACGTAATTACAGCAACTTGTATATTTTTTTATATCTTATTGTAAGAAATTTGACATGATTTATTTGTGTTGTTTTACGATTGTAACATTTGCCTACGCTAGAGATTCACTATCACACTCTAGAAGCTATATAATAATAATAATAATAAGTTATTGTGCAAAAAAAACAGTTACAAAAATGGACTTAACTAAGGTTCTATATCTACTATATCTTCACTTTTTAAATTATACTAATTTAAAATTTTTATGTAAACAAATCGATTGTATATTAAAAAAAAAAGAAGAAACAGATACAACATTTAAGTCTCAATATAACATTATGTCAATGCTGTCCTTACTAGGTCATTATAATGACCTGTATGAAGGACATCCAGTTACATTCCCTAGGTGAAAGTTCTAGATATTAAAGAATAATGCTATATTATATTAGCGTACTGTGCAATTTCAAGGAACCTTTCTGCGTAATGCCACAAAAAAACCCTTCTGCCGTTGTTTGATGAGATTAGTGATTAATTTGTTTTTAGAGACAGAACGGGGTTTTTATATAACTGTAGCTATAACTGTAGGTATACTATAAAGGAAAAGGGCATAAATGATTAGTAATGAGAACTAATTGTACCTACTAGTGTAGGATGTGTCCCGTTAGTGCAAGGATGCCCAATAAATTAACTAGGATAATTGCCTGGTGAATTTGCCAAGATGATGATGCACACTGATTTAGACTTTATGCTCATTTTGTCATATTATTCGTCACTGTTGTCAGTTCGTAGGCGGATGGCCGATAATATAAAAGACATGTACATTGCTAGCAATTAGACTATTAGATCCCATTACTAATAATCACCTCCTCTCCGTTGCCCAGTTGTATATCTAAAAAGTTTGTAAGTTATATAGGTACCTACGTATTAATAGGTAGGTACTTAGATATATTTATAAGTGGGTTTGTTAATAATTAATAAGGTAATTTTAGGGGTAGGTAAATGAATAGAAAGGGATTTATAGAATAAACTCGTTTGAAACATATTACAGAAGGCTTTTGGAATACATTAGTATTTTATGTTGAAGGATAACATCGTGTTGTTCTGTATTTTAATATAATGTGAAGGGAAGTGTATTAATAACTGTAAGTATATATAAAGAGAACAAATAATAGCTGTTCAGGTAATGTATATGGTAGACCATAAGGCAGTAATTATTAGAAAAATCATTCTGGCTATAATATCGGATAGAAAATATGATATAGACGTATAAGTTAAGATAACATTATATAAATTCAAATTCAAAAATCATTTATTCATGTAGGAAATTTTAGCCGCTTATGAACGTAAAATTTTTTATATCATAATTTTCAGTATATACCCTAGATCTTCTACTTATTTTTAAAAGCCAGTTTATTTACAATGTATAATTATTTATATGTGTGTCTATGTCTAACATTAAATGAAAATCCCGAGCATGAGCATTTTTTTTTTATTATTAGTGGTTTTGCGCTTGGTCTTACCTCATCTGATGGGAAATGATAAACCTAGGATTATTGCCATGCACGCTCGTCATTCGTTTAGTGAGTAATAGGTATACTAAACCACTAGACCACCAAGGTCGTCGAATACATAAGTATAGAAAATTTGTGAAATAAATTTGGAGATTGTAATATTATTCTTAGCTCGGAAGAAAGTCTACACTTACGAAATAGGTTATTATCGTCGTATTAACAAAGATACTCACACAAAACTATTAATCATGATATCTTGATATAATCCTTTAATAAATAACGTACATATAAATAACCGACTTCCTCAACAGTTGATGTTGTGGGAATGGATCATGAGTGGGTTATTCTGGAATCCTACCATCAAAATTGCCCACGGCTAGCTACGTAGCAATATATGTAGATGATAACACATTACACATGCAAGCCATATAACAAGAAAGCACAGAAACAAGCTACATATAGCTAATACACATAATAAGTATATAACAATCTTATGTGGTTATGAAGAACTTGGAATAAAATAAAACTTTGGAAATGTAATACTTTTATTTAAATTTGTAGCATGGGTATTGTATGGTATGGTATTGTACCCACTTAATAAAAAAAAAAAATTATGTAAGATATACAATCCACAATTCATAAGAAACTAGATAATTGAAGTCATGATTTCGTATATCGAGGAAATTTTAAACTTTAACTTTAACAATTTGGGAAATAGTTATCTTATAAAATAATTATATGTTCAAAATAAATTTAGGTATAATATAGTTCACTTAACCTTCCGGATTCGTTTGTAAATTAGCCGAAACAATAACCGAAATGAAGTATTACGTTCGGGAGTAATACGTAAAAGTAATTTATACTTATTGTGTCTTATAAAAATAATATTATCGATCGAGAGTCAAGAGTGAATTTCAGATCGATTATTTTATTATTACTTAGAAAATATATTTTTTTTACATAACCACTATATTATTTATAAAAATAATAGCAATAATACGTAAATACATTAATACAGAACATCAAGAATTGATTGTTTACAGTAGTTTAGTTGTCTTCCAGTTATTGCTTTAAAATTAATAAATAAATATTTTACTTACCTACTTATGTAGACGAATATTTAAAATAACTCCTCGTTGTAAATTTAGCTTATTATAAAATGGTAAAATCACAACTCTTAACTTTGATGCTTTCGTACTTATACATATCGACTATTTAGATATGTATAAATATAATTTGTGAAAACTATATTTTAAAACGATATATTATATTACTTAATATTATTTACTCTCATGCTATTACTTATGTATATCTATGTATATATGTTCACTTAAATATATTCTATAATACATACCAACTAGATATATATATAATTTGTTTTTACGCTTTATTAAATAGTAAATAAACCTTCTAGTTCAGGTAGGGGCACATTACACAATTTTATAGGATCAATCTATTAAATTAAGAAACTATTATTGCATTATAACTAAAATGTTTTAGGTGAACACTGTCTTATCCAATGTAGACTATTGAGATCATATTTGTTTATAACTCTATCCATATGTCTACGTCATAATGTATATATTGTGATCCTACAAACATGATAGTGTAAAAAGTCCCTAATCTGTGTAAGATTTGTATTTGTATTTGTATATGTTGCCAAATACCATAAGTAAGGACATATCTTAAAATATATAGATAATATTAGTGTAATAATCTTTTGTAGGTGTTTTTGTAAACTTTTCTTAAACAACTGAATCCATTTAGATGAAATTTTGTGTGTATATTGCAACAGATTTTTCCTATATAGTAAGATAACACAAATAAACCTTGTAATAATAATAATAATAATGCTGCTTTTCCGGGCAAGAGGACGTATTCTGTGTCTGCTAGTAGAATTATAATCGTGACTTCTACCTAGCATTACCTTCTACTAGGTAGACTAATTGCAAATAGTCATCTATTATATTTTTATAACATTGGTGTCAAAAAGTTTATGAATATCGATACAAAGTAAAAACCATTTTTAAGGAACATAACCGCTTGTGCCCCGTATATATAGGTGTATTTAGTTGGATTATTTGCAAAATATGAGTATAGTTTCAAGTAACGTATGCAGAAAACAAATAGTTTGACGAGAGATCATAATATGTTTCTTTTTCACGGACTAATCGATCTAAAAATATCGATACATCAAAGTATCAATATTTTGGAATACGTATTTTGTATTCTTTAGTAATCACCGCTAGTTCAAGTACCTAAAATTTATATTCCACCATAAATCTTTTGGCATTTTGATACTAATCATATTCTTATCCTTTTAGCGTGTAAGGATAGTCAGCTGGCAAGTCGTTAATTATTTCCTTTTCGAGGTCTTTATATACCGCCATCATTTTTGTGTGAATTTTTTCAATGAGGTCTGGGACGTCTTCCATGGTCAGACCTGTCGTTGGTTCTGGATCCAGGAATTGAATTATCACATGACCTGTAATGAAATTACAAAGGTAGACTTTAAAAAAAAGTCGTCTACGTGGGTACTTCTCTCTACTTACTTCAGTCGTTAAGCAAGCTGCTTTCTAAGTGGTATTTCGGGTGAAAGATGGCAGTATAAGGCAGTGCAATTACAGGATAAGAGGCATGACCACTTAGTCTATCGGCATGAAAACTTATCAGTTGGACCCTCAGCTTGTTTCCTACAAAAATGTATGAATTTTTCTGCTAATGCAGATATAATAAGAGGTAAGAATATTATTTCTTATTTTCTGTATTTTAGGGAGCTCCTCAAAAAAGATTTTATTATACATATATACATTATCAACAAGTGACGTGACTTTGTATAAATTCACATACGTGGGTGGTACCCCTATATCACCTATTTCAGCCTCCAAGTAGTTATCAGTGAAATTACAGGGTACGGAGGTATCATATTAGTTCTTCGGAATGGCAACGGATGAGTGCCATGAAAATCACATGATGCGTTGACGCTCATGGCATCATTCATGTATATAGGCAATTAGGCAATGGTTAAAATATGAACTTTCACCATAATAATGTAATTTGTGATTTACCACTACGGTGATGATAATGACGAAGATGATTAATATTAACCTTTAATTATGGTTAATTATTGTATTTTCCTGATATATACATTCCTTTTTATTATTGAAATAGTATGGTGTTAAAAGTATGGTGATAATGAATATGATTAATAATGAAACTTAATTATGAATAAATAATAGTTTTTACCTTTGTTAAATATATGTTTCTTTTTATTAATGAAATAGTAAGGCGAAAAAACTGCAGGTATTATTGGGACTTGAGCTGCTACGGCCATATTGAATGCTCCTTTTTTAAATGGCAACATGCCTGAATAATCTTTGTTTCTTGTCCCTTCAGGAAACAGCCAAATTTTGGTCTGAAATGTATATTATTAATGACTTCTTACCGACATATCTACATTATTCAAAGAAACAGAGATAAGCTAATTAAATATATATATATATATATATATATATATATATATAAAGGAGCCATATTAACTATAGAAACCTTCTAGGCTAGCTAGAGAGAGGCAGCTATAATCTATCTATGTATAAAGGAGAAATGTAGACGAGTTCTACAATGGATTTATTCTTATATTTTTATATATCTTTTCAAATCTTTTATGAAAACGGAAGTCGGACGTGTAAATGGCAAAGATTTTTATATAATACAATAACTTTTGCACGTGACATCTTTCTGGTTATATAGGATACTTTTACTGACTCGACAAATCGTTAATAACCATCTTCATTTCATATAGGTATACCTTATTTTATGACAATTGAATCCGTTATAATAAAAGAACAATTTACAAGGATTTTCTTTACCAGAAGTCCCAGTATACGCAGAACGCTCACCAAAGTTATATAAAAATTGGATGAATATTTTAGAGTACTAACATACGAATATAAATTTTTATTTTTAATAATTGTTATGTAAAAAATACAAAACAGATTTTGTATTTTATTTATGCCTTAGTTTTTTAAATTGTTAATTGTTTAACTCAATTTAAAAATTTGTAAATATAGCTCATTGTAGGTAAAGAGATCTAGCAACAGGATTAGATTTACTTATATATATTATTATTATAATGATTAGAGCTATATTATATTCTGATTGCAATTAGCCAAGTTTTATTTACAAACTTTCATTAAGTATGAAATATTTTTATTAGTATTAGTAATTAGATAAATATCCGACAATAACATTGAATTTCAAACATTTTGCATAAACATAAATGATTTACTGTGACCTTATGTCACAAAGTCCTAAAGAGTTTACATATAATTAAACATTTGTGAACTTTGTCACTAAAACAACTTATTACTAATAATGTAATAACATGGAGACCTTATACAATAGATATAGGTACTTTTGTTATTATATTGTAAAGGTTTTGTAAGTAATTATGTAAACAATGACATACCTTCTTGTTAACCATGACATCCGACGTCACTTTCAGGGCGTCGTATGCATATTTAGTTTTTGATCTATCAATGAACACCACTCCTGCGAGGTAAGCAGCCAGTCCAAATGGCCACACATAAAATATTTCCTTTTTCGCTATAGCTGTCATATTTTTTGCTATATGCCACAGCTGGAACATTCCTGAAATATGCATTTCATTGTACTCACAATATATTATCGATCTTATGGTCTACATATTTATTTTGAATAGTCGAGTTGTTGCTTTGATATTTTAAATAAAATAAATAACTGCAAAATTGGGGCGTCACTTGCTCGGTTTTAAAAATGCTTTTCGTACAATGCTTTCGTACAACTCTTTTTATACTTAGAAGGTAGATTACCTAAAATATCAAGTGATGATTGGTGGTTGGATACTACAACTGCTCCTCTCTCTTCTCTTATTACGTTTTCGTTTCGAAAACTCCATTTTATGCCAATAATTTTGGTTACTGGTTTTAACAGTCCAGCACCTATTCTGGAAATAATTTCATTGTATTAACAGTAGTCTATATATTACGTACATCTGTTATCCTTTCTGTATGGCATGCAACACCTTTTAAACATAATTATAAAAAGGAGGATATTCTATTTAATTTCTGTTTAAACAATATTTTATGCAAGTTTTCTCGAAATCTAATAGATTTTAATAATTGTTTGAAAGCTGGTGTGTTTCATGTGGTCACATACGAATATCATCATGAACTGGCGGGTAGTGTTAGTGTTAGCTATAATAATTTATTCGTGATTAGAGAAATTTTGGTGGTCCGTGTTGTGACTGGTTTAATTTTTTGATCTTGTATATTATTAGATAATAGGCATCATAGCAAATTTTATTCAAACCCGTATGTGATTGCGAAATAAAATAAACATACGAATAACTTTACAGACTTTTAAATTATATTGGTACCTAGTACACAGACCTACCTACTGTACCTACTATTTATTACTAGTATAGTACTATGTATAATATAGTTTATATTATACATAATGTAATCTAATTATATATACATATATATAGGGGTATATGTTCTAAACGGATCGCTGTCTGAACATTGAAGAAATATGAGGCGTGCGTGCTGATATCAGAAACGGGTTAATGTAATTTAGATGCGGTTTGGACTAACGCATACTAGTAGGTTTTACTTAAAATTTGGTGTTTGTTCTATTTTAAGTAGGCCGATAATAAAACGGTTATACGTATGTTGTGGGCTTAGCTATTGCAATAGCATAATTTTATTATAGTTACATATTTTGTGCTCATTCGGAATCCCTGACGATGTGCGTTACCGCCTCGCATTTTGGCGGCTTTTTATATTTAATGTCTAGAGTTTCACATGTAAACTTGGAAATGCCGTTAAGCCGCATAAATGTGAAAGCTTTATAATGAGGGGCTGACTGAAAATCGGCATTGTATGTCTATAGAGGCAAATATGTATAGTATACATATATATATATAAAAAGAGGCAACTTTAGTGTATTTGCAATTGTATTTCTATTTAAGTATTTATATAAGTTGTTCAGTGCCCACAGTATCCATCACTCACGCTGCTTAACTTGGGATTAGATGGCGTTTTATGTAATAAAACTTTTATGATTTCACATCAAATTTATTTTTTAATAATGGGATATTATTTAGTATGCACATATTCGATTTAGAATGCACTTTTTGGCGACTTTTCATTCTGCTCAATCAAAATTTGACATAACAAACAATGAACAAATAATGCATGTCGTGAAACGACTTATTGGAAAGTTAAACAAATACCCGAAATGTATTTAGTGCCGACGAATAATCGATGTTTGGGACGGGAGTTTACCCAATATTTGATATTCGGCAAAATCAGTATATGTTCGTTTAATTCGTGGTGGTGGTAAAAACTAGGCTTTTAATAAGTATAATAAAATCTTGATGATGAAAAGATAAATGTAGAATAGACACTTCTTTTATGACTGTTTTACCTACTATAAATTATTGCAACAAAATAATAAAAATGTGTTTATTATGTAATAATAAACTACCTAAATATATTTCATTATCTAACGCGAATATAATTTTGTAACAATAACTAAATACATGGAATGATTCATATTTGACGTCTATCTACCTAAGTGATATGAAAGTATTAATCATCCAAAATAAAATCAATAAGATAAAGGTAATAATACATGATAAGAAAGAAATACAATAGTTAAGGTTAGGTATAATTATAATCAATACCTAAAATTTCGTTATGATTTAATTGTTTCTATGAGAAAAACACGGTAGATAGGTACACAATGACTATACAGTGAAAATTTTCGCAATTTTAAAATTGTGTGATAAATATGTGAACCATATTCATGAGTATTTTTAAAAGTATTTGTATAGATATTATATATTTTAATGACATTTGAGATCTGTATATATTATTATTTAAAATTTATCGTTTGAATAATAATAGATATGTGTAGGTACGTAAATTAATTTTAGACACGTAAAAACCATATAAATATCTATAGGTATACAAAAAATATGTATTATAATACGCAATCATTTCAAATTCGTTCTATAATTATATAAGTTATCAACTTTGTATGCAAAGTATTTAATTGTTTACTATTAATAATATCAACATGATAATTATTTACATTCAAGTTTACAGAAACATTAATTCGTAACTAATCACTGTTTTGTGTCATGTCGTTATCACAATGTAGGAACACTTCTACGTCATATGTACCTATTACAACTACTTATTTGTATAAATATGATAACAGAATATGTAGGCATAATTACATAAATAGAAAATTCGGGTTTAAGGTCAATAATTTGATTATATCAACTACAGATGAGGAAGTGATCGTCCTTGACTGATTTGACATGACCTGATTGTCGTCTAGCAATTGTGACGTCTTAGATTTCAGTGGTATGAACTTTTATATATAATTATATCTTTTGCTATGTATAATGTATGTACAAGAAATCTATGTCGCTAACTGACAACAAGAATAACAAAATGCCAGATATTCTGGTTCCAAACCCATATCTTTGGTTTTCTTAACATTCGTCAAATTAAACATAAGTAGGTATTGTATGCCCCAGTATTCACGTCAGTCTATTTAAAGTACGTAATGCCGACAGTATATTTTTAGTCTACTGTGTTTTTCTTTCGTATGAAGAGATCAAAACGACATCCCTTTTTATATATCACTTCGTCGGTACACTATACTAATATAAGCAGACAAATTTTGCTAGGAGTAAAGTATACTCCGAAACCACTGCAATGATTTGAGAATACATTTTTCGCTTCGCTAACAATATGTGTTATCGGGGTACCAGTGAAGGATAACAAGATGAACATGAAGTTAAGTCTGTCACCTTAGCGTCATGAATTTACTAAAAATTAATCATGTCATTTTCGTAGAATCGCGTCATGATGTGATCATGTACTATGTCGGGTCATCTCCACGTGTTTCCCCTTGAAAACCATCGTGACTGATTACTGAGGAACCCATATTATAATGGGCCAGTTCAGGGATGAGCAAGACGCGCCCCCGGGCCGCTTGCAACCCGTTAAACATGTTTTTGTGACGAGTTACTAAATTGTCAGCGTCTTGTTCAAACATGCAGTACTATTGTTTGTATTAAAATTGATATAGGAAATCTTTACTCGAATTTAATTTTATATTGGTATATACTAATGTTTATTATAAATAAAGTTTTGTACATTATTAATAGGTACTTTATGTGCGGCCTTCCAAAAAAAAATATAATTTAAATTAGCCCGTTGATTAAAAAGCTTCTTCTATATTTCACTGGCACCCTCTCAATATAAACTATTATCGTAGGCGGGACCACTATTCAAATATCATCCATAAACCCCACAATTTTTTATTTATACAGCATTCATCTCTTTTCATATTGATATTCAACTTCGAACAATACAAGGACCAAACTTCCAGCTGTTGGGGATTCTCAATGCTATAAATTCCATACATACAGAGTTTTTCGCATCGTTATAAAAATAATGTCAGTTATGAAATTTTCGTAATGGGTAGATGTAATTTTTAATGTAAAATATTGAAATACTCACCTTGCATTTTTTGTATCTTTTAAATTGAATAAAAATACGGGCCATATAAAAAAACCGACTAGAGAGCAATGTATGTAGTATAATGCAAATTTATAATTAAACTGGATCGCGTTGGGTTCCTTTTGTATTATTTTCCAACACAGAAATGTAAAAACACACACAATAATTAACACAAGCGCATTGTCCAACATTTTGATTTTTTTACTATATATTATATGCACAGTCTATTCACTAAATGTGTACGTTCACACTGGTTTAATAACGATACCCTACAACTTTTATCAGATTAGGATCCTCTATGTATTTAATCTAAACCGTAATACTACTCATATCTACAGAACACTGACACCATTATTTACGAACAAATTACTGTTCCTGTTATAATTTATTCACTTTTACATAATTGCAAACATTAATTATTAAAATTATTTATTATGTTATTTATTAAAGTCGGGGAGTTTATTGCTCAATCAGTTATATTAATTGCGCGTTGTGCCGTCACTTCTCGTACACTTAAATAAGACTATCCTGACGTAACAAATAATTATTTGTGACATGCAAATCCATTGTCAATTAGTAAACTTTACAATAGATGATATAGGTATATAATAATTATTTAAGCAATTGACAATAAGTAGTTGTAAATAAAATTGTGAATATTTTTTAAAAGTTTATATAGGTTATATTTAATTTAAAATACTATGATATTATAATTGTTACTTAAATTGTTAAATCACAAACAAATAAAAAGACTAACTAATGTAGTTATATAAGGTATACGTGATAAGAATTCTAACGTGATTTTTTTATGTGTTCGCATTTCATAGTGGTAGAAATAATCTAAAAGTCTATTATAGTACGCTAAACTTTTTAAGTGTATTATTGTAAAATTTATACGGAACCATTATTAGACGAGTCTTCCGCGTATTATAGTGATACACTATCTGTTTGACCTGTAGTAATTTCGAATCAGTTTATAAAGTTATTCGCATCGGCTGATAATGGTGTTATCTATTTTTATCATTTAGACTAGCGACGATAGGCCCGATACATTGTATTCACAATATACCAAATATTAGTGATATAAAATGTTTGTTATTATATAAATTGTAATTATTATTTTGCTACAATAGATACACAATTTATGGTAAATAACGAATATTGCTGTTTGGCATAAATTCACTTGTCATTTATTACATAGATAGATAAGTCATATTAACAATAATAATAACTTGTTTTTCAATTACTTTATTTATTTATCGTAATCGACATATCTACAAGTATATGAAAAATACCTAAATATAAATACAATATACCCACAGGGAATAAATTTCATTAACAATATTACATACTATGACATCGCATTATTTTGTTTATATTTAAGAGACTCTACATACCTACCTAAGTCTATGGCAAGCGGTTATGTAGCCTATGGTAGTAGTGTTAAGTATTCTTTACCTATGTGATAGGCACACTACAGATGGCACTAATTCATCGTCGAGTCTTGTGTTGTTACTGCAATATCCGATCCATTAGAGCGGGTATATTAATTTGCCAGTAATAATTGAAACCCAGGTTTATGTGCGACCGTGTAGACTTTGTAGTTTGCGAGATTTCGACCTTAGAGATGAGAGGGTTTCTAAACCAGTATTGAAGGTGAATGGTAATAGAAATACTGTTTTTTCAGATAGAGACTATATAGTACGGTTAAGTCCATACTTATAATATTCTCCGGTACCAGTAAGTACAATATTTCTCCATTTATGATATTTTCAGTTTAATTTTAGACCTATAGACACCTAAGTAAGTATAATGCCATATATTGTATGATACTAGCTACTCGCCTGGGCTTCGCCTGTAATACGCTGTACATGTATTATACATACAAACTTTCCTCTTAAATCACTTTATCTATAAAAAAAAAACCGCTTCTAAATACGTTGCGTAGTTTTAAGGATTTAAGAATACATAGGGACGGACAGACAGCGACAGCGACTTTGTTTTATACTAATGTAATGATAAAACAAATACCACCAATGCCGAGTGGCATTTTCGATGATGCCATAGAAACTTTGTCCATCCTTAAAGTTCAAATTATCACTGATTTTTCCTAAGCATTCTTCTACAAATTAACTAAGAGTTTCATTATTGTTTAAATCATCATCGCTCATGAACCTTTCACGGTCAAATGAGATGTACCTACCTATCAATAAAATGTTGTGTCAAATTTAATTTAAGTAGTTTAAAAGACAATCAATCACATTACTTATATTAGGATTATAGCTTTTATCCATTTTGTGATGTCAAGTTATTATCTTGGTACTATTTTTTACCTATGTCATCACTGTTTGCTTAAAAAATGTGTCCAAAATTTTATCATTTTGAAGTAACATTATTGCTATTTATATATGCTACTAGCTGTGCCCGCGGTTTCACCTCTGTGAAATTTATACCCTACATGTTATTCTGATGTTTAAGCTATATAACAGCAAAATTTCATCTAAATCCGTTCAGTAGTTTTTGCTTGAAATAGTAACAAATATCCATCCATACTCACAAATTTTCGCGTTTATAATATTAATTAATAAGATATTATTATTATTAATTATTACTACTATTTATTGAGAAATTCTTTTACTCTTCTCTGTATGATGGACAAATAAAATTTAATGATACATATTCTTTTCGTCATCGTGATATTGTAAGAGGCAACTACGGGAAACAAAACATGTGCAAGATACGAAAATTCGAAATAAAATAATATTAAATAGTGTGGTCAAAGTGATCTGTAATATAAAACTAAATCCGTCTTTTATGAGTACTCGTGCCCAACAGTGAGACGATAATGGGTTGTTATGAAGACGATGATGGCTTTTATAACGTTGAGTACTTTGTTGTTTACTGAGTGATCACTTTACAAATAGTTATTCCTTTTTGAAGTACTATGGAATAAAGTCCAAATGCCTGCCATATCACTTTGCAAGTACTATTGTATTTCTTAATAAACTGCACAGAAGTACTACAAATATCTAAACAGACAGCAAAGACAATTGGATCTAAAAAACTGAGATTGAAACTCTCAGAACATTTAATTACATAAGAACCTAAGCGTACACTACAAAATGGCAATTGGAGCTTTGTGCTGAAACCGACAGTGTCGCCGCAAAATCCAGGCGAAAAGCAACGAATTTACTTATATTTTAATCAATAATAATAGAAATCCGACAGATCTCAGTATGGAACTGATGTCAGAAACTGCAGATATAAAACTTTTACGAGTTCCTTTCTTCGAGTCGTAAAGTAAACCATATACCTAAGTATCGTGCAAAATAACTATGGAATTCTTATAAAAAGAAACAGTCCTTGTTTTGAAGCAGTTAATATAATTGAAATAACAAAAAAAATGGTCGATGACTAATCAGCTGGAATTGAATAGAAGAATGGAATTCGGGATATAATTTAGGAAAAGCAATGCGTCTATTACTATGCTACGAAGGCAATGTAAATTATGAAGAAGAATTATAACAGTGTTCAACTGTATTTTTGCGAATAAACTGATCTCTGTTATTTAATGAATAGCATCCCTTGAAGTTATCCATATTTAACTGAACCAGAGTTTCTCAATGATGTTTACATATATAGAAGTATCCATTTCTAAAGGTTACCTAGTAGATTGGCTTGAATCGTGTTCGAATTTCTAGTATGTCGTTGAACCGATGGCTTATGAGTATAGTTTTAAACTTTGGATACAGATAAAAGTTGCATGTGGCAACGTTGAAACTCTAGGGATGGTAACAAAGACATTTCAACATTGTATATGTTGTCTACAACGATTTTGAAGAGAAAATGTTCGCGTGTTCTGTGTTAACCAATTTTCATAAAAAATAATATTTAGAATTTTATTTAATATTGTAGAAATTTTCTTTCTTGTATTTGAAGATAAATTTCTAGGTATTTTTAGTAGATACATTATTCTTAATTTTTGATCATAAGTAATACAGTGAATTCGATGTCCAATTTATTTTCATTGTAATTATTTTTAGCGATATACCCTAAACTATTTACTACATGGGCAAGATCAGGCACTTTTGGATTTCGATTCTATATCGATTCGATTTGATCATACCCTGTTATAATATTTTTTTAACCTCTAAAAGTAAAATCATTAATGTTGTAAATTATTTTTTATTTAATATTGCTTTGTTTCAAATTATTTGTGATATAGGAGTATTATAAAAGCAATGGCTTATAAATAGAAATTGATTATCGTAGTTACTAAGTAATAGGTATTGGTAGATAAGTCGGTAAGGTAATTTAAGTCTTACAACTTACAAAAGTATCTTTTTATAATAATATATCAGTTATGTAAATACGTTTAAAATACACACACACTACATATGTATTATATATAAGCATATAATTCGAGGGCGATTAATATCCGTTTTCAGAATCAATGCTAAAATCACTATTTTTTATTTCAGAAAACATGTTTCAATTAATTGATTAACCATATCGCAAGTTTTACAGCATAAGTTAATGGTCATTTAATAAATTCGCATCAAGCACATTTGTGCAATAGAATACACAATAGATCGATTACTATGTTAAAGGGAACCATTTTCTTTATTGTTGTTTGTTTCCTGTTTACGTGCGATGGGATGAAGAGGCGTAATAGGACAAGCTCTAAATATGTTTATCCACAGCTTTACAGAGATTATGTCTTTTATAATTTGAGTGAAAAGGGAAGGGAAATATTTTACACAGTTGGCATACGTGAGTACAAGATTAAGTGTTTATGAGTTATGCTTAATTAATGTTACATTACATTGTTCATATTTATGCTTGATACGTCTTTTGTTTCTTGCTCACCGACTATTTATGAATAATTTTCTTGCCTGTTTTTACAATCTTTTCTAGATAACTTTGTATTATTGTACATAATCCGAAAGTTGTGAGGATATGAATCAAATATTGCTGTTTATATGAAATAATTTGTCAATAGAATAATACAAATATCTTTTAGATCCACTTTGTGTCGAAAAACAAGGAGACTGTATTCCAAGAAATAAATGTATTGGCAAGAAAATGTTATATTTCTCTCGAGTATGTTACCATCGTGACTTGGTTTGTTGTTACGATGACACTGTAAGGTTCTATGTTGCGAATGGCTCTTCGGGCAGTACCAACCTAG